TGCCAGGTTGAGGCTCTAAACGCATCACAGGGAAGGACGGGGTAGAATCTCGATTCAGGCTGTATTTGAAGGTGAGCCTACCTAACTAATATGCAATTTCTTATACGGTATGTGAACTGAACAATGTGCACTTTTCCAAATCTTGCATTCCATCCCCCAGCCAAGTTCTGTGTACAGAGGTACATGTAATAGGGCAAAACACATGGGTGAAAATGCATTTATTAGTGAAAATAATATACAAGACTGCATTATATTAGGGAGAATTGCTTCGCAGAAATGTGCATATGTGGCAATATTGTATGCCGTGTATATTGAGAGAAATTCACACTAAAATGGCAGATTTTCATGATGAGGACTTTGAGTGGGGGGGAATCAGCAAATGGAAATGTGGAGAGCTGAACTCTAGATTGGAAAAATTAGATGCTGAGGGAAACCAAAATTGGCAGGTTGACCCATCTTTAATCAGCATATTGGTTTTTAACCTGTTTCAATGTTTTTCCCAGTTGATGTTGGCTTTCCAAACTGATGGTTAGTTAGCTAGATTCCATTTATGAATTGCTTCCCGCCGAATATCTCACAGGAAAATTAAAATTAACGGGGGGGGGGGGCATTCCGAAAGAAAAATCCGTGCGGGGAAAAAAATCCCATACATAAAAGCCACTCTATAAATATAGAACCAATTAAAAACAACTCCACACGTAACGATAATTTTGTACGGGGTGGGCATTTCAAATCCAATGCAGATGCAAATTAGGATAAGAATCTCCCTTTACAAGGCTTATATTATGCTTGCAACGTGCTGCTCTGGGAATTGGTAAGGACAAAAAGTGCCATGAATAGAAATAATGATAAATAATAAGTAATAAACATCTTTCCACGATAGTTAGTTGCTGTTTCGTGAGCCGATTTTAAAATTTCAATATGGCTTTTATTGCATGGTTTATATAAATATTTATAGAAATAAACAGAACAGTTCTGTGTTGTGCCTCGACAACTGGGTGTATTAGCTGAACAGAAGCTCTTCTTGCTTACAGCTCACTGCAATTCTTTTCAAAGTCCACCTGACACTCAAAGCCCAGCCCTTATCGCTGCTGCAGGGCCAAGATTTCCTAAAGTACACTGGCAGAGAAGAGCCTTAAAACCCACCAACGCAGCCCTCATTATTCTTTCAGGAGCCATGTTGGCGAGATGAGGAATTAAAAGCGAAAATCACTGTAACTCCAAAAGAACATCTGACTCGCAGAGCTACAGAAGGCATATTTTCTCTCTCTCTCCCTCTCTTGATCCTCTGCGTGATCCGTAAAGGAGGATTCCATCCCCCCCCCAAAAAAAACAATTAATTTGGTTGCCCAAAACCTTCTTAAATCTAAGGAGATTTAAAGGAGCGGGAGGGGGGTGAGTAGAGAAATAAAATAAAACCTCTCATCCTCTTGGGGTCTTTGTGGGCAACCTGATTGCAAGATAATTCCATCGTACGACGGTTATACGGACTGCTATGTGGTACATAATTGGACTGTTAAGACAAATGGAAAGACCCAAGCAATCGCCCCAAAACCTCTTTGCATTAATTCTGCTGCCATCGTGGTGCCTTTAATGTCTTCCCTCATTACTTTCTCTTCAAGAAAGAACCAAAAAAACACCTTATGTATATGTAATTATTTGGATGGGTGGGAGGGGGGTTGTTCCTTCATTTTAACACCAAGGTATTTTGCTAAGCTTGGAGATGAGAAATGTAGTCTACATATACAACCCGTTGCTGGGGGAAATTTCTGGATGCCGTAGGAAGACAATTAAGGTGACCTCTTGCCTTTGTGTCTAGGCGCTGAGAAACATATGGTGATACAGTGGTACCTCGGGTTACAGACGCTTCAGGTTACAGACTCCGCTAACCCAGAAATAATACCTCAGGTTAAGAACTTTGCTTCAGGATGAGAACAGAAATCGTGCAGCGGCGGCAGCGGGAGGCCCCATTAGCTAAAGTGGGACCTCAGGTTAAGAACAGTTTCAGGTTAAGAACGGACCTCCAGAACAAATTAAGTTCTTAACCCGAGGTACCACTGTACACTGAAACAGAAGGGTCCGGTGACTTCTGTTTCAGTGTATCTGAAGAAGTGTGCATGCACACAAAAGCTCATACCAATGACAAACTTAGTTGGTCTCTAAGGTGCTACTGGAAGGAATTTTTTTTCCCCGACCCCTGGATGGTTAAGTCCAGTCAAAGGCGACTATGGGGTTTTGGCGCTTATCTTGCTTTCAGGCCGAGGGAGCCAGCATTCGTCCACAGACAGCTTTCCCGGTCATGTGGCCAGCAGGACTAAATCGCTTCTGGCGCAAGGGAACAATGTGATGGAAACCAGAGCGCACGGAAACACCATTTACCTTCCCGCCACAGCGGTACCTATTTATCTACTTGCACTGGTGTGCTTTCGAACTGCTAGGTTGGCAGGAGCTGGGACAGAGCAACGGGCGCTCACCCCGTCGTGGGGATTTGAACCGCCGACCTTCCGAACGGCAAGCCCAAGAGACTCGGGGGTTTAGACCACAGCGCCACCCGTGTCCCTAATTTTGCCTAAACCCCCTTTAAAGCTACCAAAGTTGGCAGCCACCACTCTGTCTGGTGGTGGGTAGTTCCACAGCCATGCCCTGTGTGAAGAATGATCTCCCTTGTCTTCCTCCACACTCCATTCACCTCCATTGAACGTCCTCTGTCGTGGAAGAGGAAGAGGAAGACAAATGGCTCTCTATGAGCTTTGTACATGCCATGAATAACTTTCCACACCTCTGGCATGTCTCCCCATACTCGCCTTTTGTTGTATCCTTTCCTCCATGGTCTAGTTTGGGGCATCAAAACTGGCTTTGGGAAGCCTCACCTTCTGAGTGGTGCAACATCCCAGTTTAAGGCCCTTTTCATGCAGCAATTTTCTCCTTCTAGGCAATGGGGTTTATCTATTGCATTTAGAGCACACATATTTTCTCTCCAATGTGTTCTCCCTTCCTCATTTATCCCCACAACAAGGTGGGTTAGACTGAGAGGCAGGGACTGGCCCAAGCTCACCTAGTGAGCTTCATGGCTGAGTGGGGATTTGGACCCTGGTCTCCCACGTCCTTTTCCAATACTCTATAATCACCACACTGGCTATTTAGGGCTCTGGGAACTTAACCTGCGAAATCTCTGGATGGCTGTCCCTTCAGAAGTGCATCTTTTCTTTTCTTTTTAAGATAATCTTTATTGGTTTTTCAGTTACATACTCCACATACACATACTGTATTACATTTTACATTTATACTTGCTCCTAGGAGCTGACTTCCCTCCTTCCTTCTTCTGGCTTTTTTATATTGCCTCTAAATTTTTCGCATTGTCTTTATCCATTTTGTATATTGTTGTTCTTCTTCCACATTTGCCCATAAAATGTCTATAAGCAAATAAATCCTGCTATATATACTGTACAATTCTTGTTGCCTATGTTCATTTACAACTGCTATTAGTTACATTGGTCACATTGTACGTTTTACTTCTTATTGTTTTTATCATCCAGTAAATTTCTTTGTATTTTACATTATGAGGTTTGTTTCAGTTCTTCTGATTTCACTATTTTACCTTATCTTTCCTATATACGACATAAATTTGTCCCATTCTTTTTGAAATGTTTCATTGCCCTGTTATAATAATAATAATAATAATAATAAAATTTTATTTATACCCCGCCCTCCCCAGCCAAGACCGGGCTCAGGGCGGCTAACAACCAATAATAAAAACAAGTTGATTAAAATACAATTTAAAAAAGATTAAAATACAACATTGAAACACTAGGATGCAGCCTCTTCACAGGAGGAGAAAGGAAAAAGAAAGAGGGGGAGGGAATCAAACTGATTCCAAGCCAAAGGCCAGGTGGAACAACTCTGTCTTACAGACCCTGCGGAAAGAAATCAGATCCCGCAGGGCCCTGGTCTCATGAGACAGAGTGTTCCACCAGGCCGGAGCCAGTGTTGAAAAGGCCCTGGCTCTGGTTTAGGCTAATCTAACTTCCTTAGGGTGTTGCTATTTATGGACCTTAAGGTCCTCCGTGGGGCATACCAGGAGAGGCAGTCCCGTAGGTACGAGGGTCCTAGGCCGTGAAGGGCTTTAAAGGTCAAAACCAGCACCTTAAATCTGACCCTGTACTCCACCGGGAGCCAGTGCAGCTGGAAAAGCACTGGGTGAATATGCTCCCATGACAGAGACCCTGTGAGGAGCCTCGCTGCAGCATTCTGCACCCACTGGAGTTTCTGGGACAGCTTCAAGGGCAGCCCCACGTAGAGCGAATCACAGTAGTCAAGCCTGGAGGTGACCATCGCATGGATCACTGTGGCCAGGTCAAATTTGTTGTTGTCAAATTTGTTGTTGTTGAATTTCCCCCGTTAATTTAGCTATTTCTTCATATTCCATTACCTTCTGCTGCCATTCTTTTACTGTTGGCAACTGCTGGTTTGGAATCAGAAGTGCATCTTTGACATTCCAGGGGCTAGTTTCAGGATCTGGTGTTGCTGCTTCCTTGCTCTAAAAGCAAAACATTTTGGATGTAAGAATGAAGTGGGTGTCCTGATCTGCTGGGGCTCATGACTTTTAGAGGAATTGGTTGCAGACTTACTTAGGGAAGGTTCTACACTTAAGCAGGAAGAACCAGGAAGAACAAATATAAGATGGGGGACTCCTGGCTTGCCAGTAGTACCTGTGAAAAGGATCCAGGGGTCTTAGTATAGATCACAAGCTTAACGTGAGTCAACTGTGTGATGCAGCAGCAAAAAAGCTAATCCTATTCTAGGCTGCATCAATGGAAGTATAGTGTCCAGATTAAGGGAAGTAATAGGGCTGCTCCATTCTGCCTTGGTCAGACCACATCTGGAATACTGTGTCCAGTTCTGGGCACCACAATATAAGAAGGATATTGACAAGCTGGAATGTGTGCAGAGGAGGGCGACCAAGATGATCAAGGGTCTGGTAATCAAGCCTTATGAGGAATGGTTGAAGGAGCTGGGCATGTTTAGCCTGGAAAAGAGAAGACCGAGAGGAGATATGATAGCCATCTTCAAATATCTGAATTGCTGCCACATGGAGCAAGCTTGTTTTCTCCTTCTCTGGAGGGTGGGACCCGAACCAATGGATTCAAGTTACAAGAAAGGAGATTCCAACTAAACATCAGGAAGAACTTTCTGAAAGTAAGACCTGTGGTGGCGAGTTCTCCTTCCTTGGAGGTTTTGCAAGATCTGTCATGCAAGACCTGGTTGAGATTTCTGCATTGCAGGGGTTGGACTAGATGACCCTCGGGATCACTTCCAACTCTACTTTCTATGATTCTGTGACATCAGGTCAAGCCAGGCTCAAGAGACCGTAGTAGCTGGACTTGGCAAGGTGTCTCCAGAGTCAGGCAGGCCTTTTCAGGACCACGGAGAGCTCCCAGTAAGCTGAGTTAGCTGTAGACAACCCTTTGTGGTAGAGAAACAGATATCTTGCCTCTGTTCTGTAAGCCTTTGCTTCTGTGAGGTAACAGATCATTCTTAGAGTCTGAGGAAGGCAGAAGGTCTACGTCCTCAGAATGGGAAGGCCCAGGAGGAGGAGCTGAAGGTGCTATCCCAAATGAAACACCCTCTTTCTCTTCTTCATCTTGGTCTTCTTCAGGACAGCAGATGGGTTAGGCTTGGCATCATAAGTGGCTCTCTCCCATTCTAAAAAGACATTTGCATCAGCTCTCAGAAGTTTGGTGATGTTTTGGGAATTAACAATGTGCCTCTGTGTGTGAGAGAGAGAGGAAACGGCAGTGGTTCTGCAGAAGTGTTGAGACCGGAATCCTTAAATAGTTTAATATCTATCAAAAAGATAAAGACAACTGCGAAGGTTCATTCCCTTTGAGCTTCGGGTGAAGCTGGAGGCCTGGAAGATTAATGGAATTTCCAGATCCTTTTGCATCTCAGTGCAAGTCCAAAAATAGTTCCGCTGCATTACTCAAGGGAAGACTGGAAGCTGCACAAAGACTCCTGGAGCTCACGGTTATGCAAGAGCAACCATCTCCTTTGAAAGTCAGCTAAATGTGGTAGCTAGTATGTATAATACAGCTGCAGTCCCAACCCGTTACCTGTGAGTAAGCCTGGTTGAATTCAATAGTACTTATGGTCTTAGTCTCCCTTCACTACTGGCTTCTTCCGGTTGTCTGTGAGAACAGAATGCTGCTCTAGATGCCTTTGTTGTGTACTTGAAGTTGTTGTTGTTCTGGGAAGTGTAGGTGTTTAAAGTTGGGTGGATGTTGAGCCTCAGTGTCCCTTGCTGTGAAATGGGCATTTTTTGGTGCCCGGAAAATGTTCTCAAGTTTTCCAAATGTGCCCTCAAGCCTCGGGTGTGTGTGTGTGTGTGTGTGTGTGTGTGTGTGTGTGTCAGGCTCCCCTGGTTTAATTAATACCAGTGTCCCAAACACAGAATTATAGAATTCTGGTTAGGGCCATGAGAGTCAGCTAGTCCAACCCCTTGCAATGCAAGCTCGAACCCACAACCATGAGATTAAGAGTCCCATGCTCTTGCCAGCTGAGCTATCCATGGAAAGGTAGCTGCACTGAAGCAACACGGTCATGAATGGGGTTTCACAAACTAAGCTGAACCACGGATTGAATCCATACAGGAGGAGCTGGTCCTTTAAGATATACAAGGCTCAGGCATTTATCATCACTCATCATCATCACTTTTAATTTGTATACCATCTTTCTATTTTACAATACTGTACAGTCATATCTCGGGTTACAGAAGCTTCAGGTTGCGTGTTTTCGGGTTGCGCACCGTGCCAAACCCGGAAGTACCAGCAGAATAACGACCCGCATGTGCGCAGACGCAACACTATGGGTTGCGAATGTGCCTCCCGCATGGATCACATTTGCAACCCAAGTGTCCACTGTACTCAAGGCGGTTTACAAGCTGCAGGAACAAGGAATGTACATCTTATAACCATCAATGTAATACAAAAATGTGATAATAAAACATAACTTTAAAATATGCCACCTACATAAAAAATGTAACATTCAACCATCATTAGAATAGTATAGAATAATAATACCAGCATTTAAACAGAAATTCACTCTTAAGAATCACAATAAATAATATCTAAACTACAATCAATAAAACGATGGCAAGCCACAGTGCATAAAATAATGCAATACAAATTGAGAAGCAGAGACCGGAGGGTAGGGCAAGGCAGGAGGAATAAGGCCTTGCCTGACGCAGTCTCTCCCCTCACAGACATTAAAGGTTGAAACTAGCACTTTGAACAACAGATTGCTGTTTCCTTGCAGTCTTGTGCCATGCTTTGACATGCAGTTTGTCACACCCTGGTGGTCTCTCGGGGTATTGGGTGTGTGTGCAAGTTCCCTTTGAATGCAGAGAAGCTGCACTTTGCACATAAGGCCTGTGTGTGAACAGTCCCCTAAGTCTTACTTTTTTTTTTTTAAGAAAACCCCTTTAATTTTTATAACATTTTGACATTTTCAACATTTCAGCACGTGATGTAAATCTTATCTTAAACCTAGTGAAAGGCAAAGAATTTTCTGACATCTGAAGGTGGGACTTCATTTGTGGGGTTACATACCCGCCAACTTACTTTATTAAAAGTGGATTAAAGCACTCAATCACCACTTTTTAAAATGAACTTTTTTCCAGTTTGATGGGGGAAACGCATCAAAAAGAGTGGAGCAAATGAATGATTAATGCAGAGGCGCTGAGTTGCACCCAACATTGGGTGCTTGTCGCGCATGCATGACGTCACATGTGCTCGACCTTCAGCACTCTGGCGCAACCCTGCCGATGAGCCCAGTGCAATTTCCTGTCTGGCTCTCTGGGCTCCTCAAAGGGTCGTGCAAGAGCATTGGATCTTCAGAGTGCTGGCCTCCTCCACCCGCTCAAAACTGAGGGGGCCCCGGCCCCTTGCCCAGAGATTTTGAGGGGGCCAAAGACACCTTAGCCCCTTGGGGTTGGCGCACCTGGATTAATGCAAAGACATGCAAACACCCCACACCAAGCAAATCGGGATGTTTTTTGTCCTATAACCTCGCTGCAAGTAAATTGGAACAAATGCTCAATAAAAAAAACCATGCATAGTTCAATATCTGCATAGCCTTTGTGCCAGGACATCAGGATGAATGCTGAATAAACAGGTTGGAGGAGCCCCTAGTTGTTGGGGCAAGACCATCACATGTGCGGTAACAGTCCCAGGTTCTCTGAAGCCACAATTCATAATTTTAAGAGTACTGTAAATGGTTATATGCTGGAAAAATCTGTTGCTCCGGGACAGAATCTGTAATACAGGCCACACAGTAGTTCTTCTGCACAGTGGATGCCAGCACCAAGACAGACACACACAACCTGAATGTTGTTATTCAACACTTACTTGCTTATTCTATTTTTTTGTTTGGGGAGTCAGGAAGAGAGACAGTCTTCTGCAATAACACTATAATGGAGCCGCTCGAGACAAAAAACCTGTCCAATTCTTTCCAAGACAATCTTCTAGACTCATCAGCATAGACAATCACCCCTTTCATTTGTGCCATAATAGGAAGATTTTAAGCAATACCTTTTGATTGGAGTTGGAGAGGCTAAGAGGTGGTGGGAGGGAACCCCACCATGACTTAGCTGGGGGCCTTATTTGAAATGCAACAAGGCTGCGAAATGGACAGTGCAATTTCCCATGTGGGGGCTGTTGGGGAAAAGAATGAGGCACTTGTCCCAGTTTTCTTAATTGTCTCTGATTGCTGTTTGTGTAGCCCTTTCACTTTTCAGGCCTGAAAATCACCTTCGAGGGTTCCTCCGGTTTCCTTCCCGCAACCCTTATGTGCTATTTTGTGTGTGTGTGTGTGTTGTGCGCAGATATATATAAATCAACCAAGGGCTTACAAAACAGCAAATCATTTGACCATTACAACAGCGGGGGGCTTTGTGTCTGATTTTAGCCTTTAAAATTTGTTTTATCCAATTGACCTTACAGGGATATTTAACGGACAGCTGGCAGGAGAGAATGTATTAAGTGGCGCAGGGAACATGTTCATGATTAAGGTGATATTCTTAACCTGGCACTTATTATGCTTCGCCCTGTTTGTTTCTCACCAATAACTCCCCCCTGCCCTGCCCCCCCCCAAAGAGAGGTGCTAATTTCCAGTAACAGATGAATCTTTCCAAGGCTCTTTTAGTCACATTGACTGAGACCCTTGATATGCTCGTAGCAGGATCATACCACACTAAGTGGGTTGGGGAAAAGCCTGAGGCTGTCTTGTTGCTTTTTGCTCTGGGGAAGAGATGTGGGGTCACCATCCCAAATCCAATCCCAGCAAACCTATTCCCAAAGTTTTATTTTTGCAGAAAGGGGCAGTTATTTTCAAGCTCTGGAGGCAGAAACAACCATCCAGTGTGGGTTATGAAAGGTTAGCAAAATCTGTCCGTCCGTCCCCCGAATCATGGGGTCCATGTGGATATTAGAATGTTTCGGGGGCTGGGTTCCCACCTGAGCAATTAAAATAAAAAACAAAAATATGCAAAACGTTTCCCAAGCCTGCAGATACATCCCTCTTGTCAGTGGGTGGGGTGCTTCTGCTGTTTGGGCTGCTTAAGTCCAGGTGTTGCTATGTAATACAGTTGTGCCTCGCAAGACGAAATTAATTCGTTCCGCGAGTTTTGTCGTCGTGCGATTTTTTTCGTCTTGCGAAGCACGGTGTCGGGAAAGTTTTGGAAAAGCTTCAAAAATCACCAAAGTCTTTAAAAACCTCAAAAAAGGCTACCACACCGCGTTCTTTGAGTTGCTCCTCGAAGTCAAGTCGCAACTGTATTAACGGTGTTAAGGAAAAGGAAACAAACTTGCAAGACGTTTCCGTCTTGCAAAGCAAGCCCATAGGGAAAATCGTCTTGCGAAGCAGCTCAAAAAACGAAAAACCCTTTCGTCTAGCGAGTTTTTCATCTTGCGAGGCATTCGTCTTGCGGGGCACCACTGTATTTATATGCCACCCTTCAAACGCCTTATCAGAGTGGCTTACAATTTAACACCCCCCCCCCAAAAATACCTAAAATTGTGCTGACATCTTTAAATGTATGCAAGCATCTTGAATATAATGTTAGACTAATCTGAATAAAATGGATGGGGGGGGGAAGTAAAAATTATGGGGAAATAAAAATATAAAAAAGTTTTGCCAGGTACTGGGAAGACATCCGAGTGAGTGCCAGGTGAAACTCTCTAGGGAGAGCATTCAAAAAATGGGGGTGCCACCGAGAGCCACCCACCACACTCAGATGGCAACGGAACCCAAAGAAGGAGCTTTGGTGGTAATCTCAAAGTATAGGCTGGCACATGTGGAGGCAGGTGATTTCTTGGATAAATTGCTACATTTTTATTAAAGTAACAAAAGTGTACATTTTTCGATATATCTGTACATTTTGCATATAAAAACACTATTGTACAATAATCATCCCTCCCCCCCCCAACACAAAATAGCTTACAAACTTTGTATTATTTGCACCAATTATGAAAAGTAGGTCCCGCTCAACAGTCCAGCTCAAGTTTTGCAAACGTTTTTGAAAAGAAAGGGCACACACTCACACCCATAAGCTGTTCCTAAATCACAGCTAGTCAGGACTGCAACAGTTTGTGTCAGGCTTGTAGTCAGAAGGCAACAAAGAGCATACATCAATTCACAGCTTTTACATGCACGTTACAAAACAGATTTTGGCCAAATTTGGTTGGCTTAATGGTAACAACAACAAAAATCTTAATACTAGATTCCATGCCTGGTCAAATAGCATGATGTTTGGTAACCTTTTCTGTTCCCCCAATCAACCATTCAAAGATGTTGGGGAGGTTTGTTGCTTTTTTGCAGAGTTTACAGGGAGGTTAGACAACGTGGGCTGTTTACTGAGTTTGGATTTGCCTGCAGATAGGTCAGGTGATGTTGCCTTGAGCAAATGTTAATCCACACCTTCATTCCCATCTTTATTGCAAAAAGGCTGGTTGGGGGGTGTTTGTTCAAAAGCCCCAAATTGCTCTTCAATTGTACAACCTGATTTTGCCAGTGACAGAATCCCACCCACAAAATAGCAACAGTCTGGAAGCCCCGACAGCTGCATTTTTTTCATCCTTATTTTCCTAATAACTAGTTTTAAGGGGCTAAGACAAAAGGCCACAAGGAAAGGATGTGTTGGGAAGGAACTTGGAACAAAGAGGTTGTCTAAACACTATCTAACAACAAGAATATGTGTGAGTGCAACAATGAGAATTGTATTAGCATAAGATGTTTAATGAAAACCGGTCCAACCCTGACAACGAAAGGAAACTCAGCCATCCTTGCCAGGAAAGGACAAAGCTGGCCATGAAGTTGCAGCATTTGGCCTCAAGAGGGCACTGCAAGGCAGTTCAAGCCAAACCTTTGATGGGCAACCACCGCTGCAAAAAGAATGAACAATGGAGCAAATCTGCTACAATAGTCATTATTTTTAAAAATAAAATCCCATAGCAACAGGCTCTTCCCTTCAGCTTTTCTGTGCTGTCTTGATTAGAAACAGCTGTATTTCCTTTTAATTAAAAAACAAACAAACCTGTGCTGCCTTGGAAGAACGCATGGGAAGATTAACCTGGTCAGCTTTTAATACCCCTTAAGATTCCTCCAGTGTCAAGGTCTGTCTTTGGAGGTTTGTTCTGCAGAATATTACATGTCGCTAGCAGACATGGGGTACAGCAGGAATAAATGAAGGTGGGGTGGGAGAAAGCTGGGAAATTTGTTCTGGTGTTATTATCCTTTACAGTGGTACCTCGGGTTAAGAACTTAATTTGTTCCGGAGGTCCGTTCTTAACCTGAAACTGTTCTTAACCTGAGGTACCACTTTAGCTAATGGGGGCTCTCGCTGCCGCTGCGCAATTTCTGTTCTCATCCTGAAGCAAAGTTCTTAACCCGAGGTACTATTTCTGGGTTAGCGGAGTCTGTAACCTGAAGCATCTGTAACCTGAGGTATCACTGTATTAAATTTGTATACCATCCAAAGAGCTCCGTGTTCTGTGGATTTGGAAAATAAATGGCAGTCTGCGATCAACAAATGCTTTCTGTATGTACATACAGATAAGCCTGCAACATACATGAGTTTAATTTATGCACGTGGCACAATAATAATAATAATAATATATATACTAATACTAATAATAGGGGCGGAAAGGGGGCAGAAGACCAGGAAAAGCGACTTTGGCAATCCTGCTCACCATTGAACCCAAAGGGTTTTGACTATCCGCGATTTGGACTTTAGATCCATTCTCTGGAATGTAACCGCAGTGTAACTTGCGACTTTACCGTATTTCATAAATAATTCTGGGAGCTGTATCATAGAATGTAGAGGTGGAAGGGATACAGAGGGTCATCTAACCCAACTTCCTGCAATGCAGGAATCTCAACTGAAGCACCCATTACAGATGGCCGTTCAAGCTCTGCTTCAAAACTTTCTGTGAAGGAGAATCCAGACCTTCCGAGGGAGTCTGAAAGTTATTAAGCTTGTTCTGTTACGGCTGCCACCCCATCTCCCTCCCTTTCTGCAGTCGGTTTCACTGTTAAAAATTGAGCTGAGCTGCCCAAGGCCGGGATTTGTAAAGATCGCCTTCACCAATAGCATTGTATGAAGGAACGAAGGAATAGCAATAATAAAAAACTTGAGTGTGCAGTGGCATTGCACAATGACTCCCTGCTGTTTATCAAATGTGATTCTTTAGCCTATGATTGCCCAGTTTTAGACAAAGGTTTGGATGTCTCGAATCAGGTAAGCAACATCCCAAAAACCCATATACCTTTGGCGAGATGCTGTATAAAATGCCAGATGAAAAAGAATATCCACTCGCACACTTATTATGCAAATTCAACTCAATCCAGGGAGGGAAGAAGGCTTCGACGTTCAAAAACTAGATGAGGAGAGTACATGATTATACAGGCCTTGCGTGCGCCATTACTAAAATTAGATCATTTCTTTTGTTCTGCTGAACCTTCTGCTCTATTTGCAGGGAATCGTATTAGCAACGGAAACTGTGAGAATCTGTCCAAACATATTAAGTAAAGTTAGGGACTAAAATAATGAAGGCCTATTTAAAAGCTCATTTGAGTGTTTCACTTATAGGAAGTAGTTTAAAAGTAATCATAGCCCATAGTGAAAAAACAATAGATCGGCCCAATTAAAACTTGCTGTGAGTGGTCTTTGTTGAGGCATTTTAACTATTTATACATTTCGTGTACGAAACCTCACAGTATAATCCTACTTGACCTGAAACGAGTAAATCAATGCTTCTGAAACTTCTGAGGACTTTGAAAATCAAAATCCTATACATCTTTCAGCCAGAAATGTTTACCTTTATAGTGCAGTCTTAAGCATGTCTACTCAGAAGTAATCCCATACTTCCCTGGGGGTATGTGTGTATAAGGATTCGAGCTTTAGAAAATCGAGGAGTTCCCTGCCCTGAAAGAAGCACACTTCCATCAGATTCTGATATGGGTGTGTCTCCCCGCAACTGGAAAAAGCCATGGTTTATTCAGAGACACAATAGGTGGACAGTCTCTTAGGAGGGCTGGTAATTTTTCTGCCTCTCTTGCTTTGTCTCTGATGAGCTCATCCAGTGGAAGCTAATGTGGAGGACATAAATAGGGAATTCTCTGGGGCAGCCCCTAGGTTGTGGAACTCCCTCCCCATAGAGGTGTGCCTGGCACCTTCGCTATACAGTTTTTGGCAAATGCTGCCAAGCCACAAAGGCTGTGTGCGCACTGTACCTTTAAAGCATATCCGAAGCACATTTTTCTTCTAAATTAATTCTGGGCACTGTCGCTTTATTAAAGGTTTCTGGGAACTGTAAGTCCAGGACTTTTTTTCAGCCTAAACTTGCCAGAACTCAGTTCCAGCACCTCTCAGGTGGGTGCCATTGCTATTATAAGAGAACCAGGGAGGCGTTTATCGTGAGTTCCAGCACCAGTCAAAGAGGTAGGGGTGAAAAGAGGGGGAAAAAAGTGACTTTATTGGTAACTGGTCACATGCTGGCTCTTAACAGCTCATGGCTTTGGGACACAATCTTACTATAGAATCATAGAATTATTGAGTTGGAAGGGACCATAGGTATCATTTAGTTCCACACCCTGCAATGCAAGAATCTCCCACCCAACGTGGGACTTGAACCCAAGACCCTGAGATTAAGGGTCTCATGCTCTACTGACTGAGCTATTCCGCTTCTGTACCCTTGTAGTAGATTTATCTGTCAACTTAAGGGAGATGTATCCTCTTACTCGCTTTTCCTCTAAACTACAAAGCCCCAACCCTGCAACCTTTCCCAATAGGGGGTTGCTCCATCCCCTTAATTATTTCGGTCACCCTGCTCCAAACCTTTTCCCACTCTTATGACAACTCCCACAGTTCCTGACCATTGACCATCCTGGCTGCGGTTGATGGCAACATCTGGAATGTCACTAGTTTCCTAGCTCTCCCTTAAAGCCTAAAGGCATGGGTATACAAACTAAGGCCCAGGGGCTGGATCCAGCCCAAGAACCTTCTAAATCCGGCAAGCAGACGGTCCGGGAATGGGCGTGTTTTTCCATGAGTAGAATGTGTCCTTTTATTTAAAATGCATCTCTGGGTTATTTGTGGGGCCTGCCTGGTGTTTTTACATGAGTAGAATGTGTGCTTTTATTTAAAATGCATCTCTGGGTAATTTGTGGGGCATAGGAATTTGTTTTCTTTTCTTTTCAAAATATAGTCTGGCCTCCACAAGGTCTGAGGGACGGTGGACCGGCCCCCTGCTGAAAAAGTTAGCTGACCCCTGCCTAAAGGCATCTAGCATTTCAGTACTGTATTGGGCATTTTAATTACTGTACGTCTCAAACTTTTCCTCATTTTGTTCTATTGTAAACTGTTTTTGAGGGCGCTGTTGTTGTTTTAAATAACTTCCTGAATTTGCTAAAGTTAATATTTAGGTAAATTTAATAATTTACCTAAAAAAGCAGAGATATCACCTTGCCAACAAAGGTCCGTATAGCTAAAGCTATGGTTTTCCCAGTAGTGATGTATGGAAGTGAGAGCTGGACCATCAAGAAGGCTGATCGCCGAAGAATTGATGCTTTTGAATTCTGGTGCTGGAGGAGACTCTTGAGTCCCATGGACTGCAAGAAGAACAAACCTATCCATTCTGAAGGAAATCAGCCCCGAGTGCTCACTGGAAGGACAGATCGTGAAGCTGAGGCTCCAATACTTTGGCCACCTCATGAGAAGAGAAGACTCCCTGGAAAAGACCCTGATGTTGGGAAAGATGGAGGGCACAAGGAGAAGGGGACGACAGAGGACGAGATGGTTGGATAGTGTTCTCGAAGCTACCAGCATGAGTTTGACCAAACTGCCGGAGGCAGTGGAAGACAGGAGGGCCTGGCGTGCTCTGGTCCAGGGGGTCACGAAGAGTCGGACACGACTAAAGGACAACAATAATTTAATTTTTAACCATTAAGTTTGTTCAGTAACTCTCAATCTCAGGATCAGGGGTTCAAGACCCACATCAGGTGAAAGACTCCTGGCACTGCAGGGGGGCTGGACTACCTGACCCTTGTGTCCCTTTCCAACTGTACAGGTGAGTCCATGAAATATAATGAAACCAACACAAACAAATACCCAAATTTGACTTATTCATTGTCGAATCACTGACTCCAGCTACAAAAGCTGAGGCTGCTCAAGAGGCCAGAGACCATATATTTTATATTTTACTTCATTTAGAAATGTTTTCTTTTGAAATGTTTAAGACTTTAGTTGTTGTTAACTTTGTTTGTGTTAAATATGTATGCTAGAGTTGACCTCCAGTGTAATGTTTTGTTTTGAAGTCTCTTTAAGATGTTTTAGTTTCCTGTTAATTAGGTTGCTCTGAATGTATACTTTGTATTTGACTTTCTTCAGTAACGTTTCATTCTGGATTGTTTCGTTTGATGTTTTAATGTGCCACAAACCACGACCCATAAAGCACCAATGTTGTTGTTGTTTTTTTTATAATAATATTTCTTAGTTTTCCAACAAATTGAACACAACACTACAAAAAACCAAAAAAGAAAAAACATACAATACAAAAAAAGAAAAAAAGAAAAAAACACACTGCAAAACACTAACATACAACTAACAAAACAAAAACCATTTAAGACACAATCCAATTTCAATATCTTATCTCTCTTTCACTAATTTCCATGACCTCCTCACACCTCCCTTTTTGTATTCCACTTCTATTAATTGTTTCAGCAATTCCTTTCCATCATCCTTTGTTTTCTATCCTATAATTGTCTTAATACATTCTAACCTTATTTTTCCCTTTAATGCTCTATTAATCTATTTATACTTAATTCCTTATGACATTTCTACTAAAGCCATATAACTTCATTCCATCATTTTTCTAACATTCATTAATTTTACAGTATTTCTGTAAATAGTCTTTAAACTTTTTCCAGTCTTCTTCCACTGACTCTTCTCCCTGGTCTCGGATTCTGCCAGTCATTTCCGCCAATTCCATGTAGTCCATCAACTTCATCTGCCATTCTTCCCTGGTGGGTAAATCTTGTGTCTTCCAATATTTCGCGATGAGTATTCTTGCTGCTGTTGTTGCATACATAAAAAAAGTTCTATCTTTCTTTAACACCAATTAGCCAACCATGCCCAGGAGAAAGGCCTCCGGTTTCTTAAGGAAGGTATATTTAAATACCTTTTTCATTTCATTATAAATCATCTCCCAGAATGCCTTAATCCTTGGGCACGTCCACCAAAGGTGAAAAAATGTACCTTCAGTCTCATTACATTTCCAACATTTATTATCGGGCAAGTGATAGATTTTTTCAAGCTTAACTGGTGTCATGTACCACCTATAAATCATTTTCATTAAATTTTCTCTTAAGGCATTACATGCCGTAAATTTCATACCTGGGGTCCATAACCGTTCCCAGTCAGCCATCATTATGTTATGTCCAACATCTTGTGCCCATTTAATCATAGCTGATTTCACCGTTTCATCCTAAGTGTTCCATTTCAACAGCAAGTTATACATTCTTGACAGATTCTTAGTTTTTGGATCTAACAATTCTGTTTCCAATTTTGATATAAAGCACCAATGTTGCATGCCTTTTACTAGGGACTTCTATTTGTGTTGTGTGTTGTAAACTGCTCTGTGGTCTTCTGGCAAAGGGCAGTAAATAAATTTAATAAATAGTAATAATAATAGTGTAAAGCAGTGAACTTCAGCTGAGGGGCCAGGACCCACTACTTGGGTCGTGGGGTGATCTAACCTGGGTCACAAGAGCAGCACTGCCAACATATATAAATATAAATTTATAAATTAAAATTAGAAATAGAAATCGTGATGGTGTTTTTATATGTGCTGGAAGCCACCCAAAGTGGCTGGAGAGACCTAATTTCCAGGGACATCCCTGATTTACAGGTTTCTGATTTCATCCTGGAATGTCCTGCTTTTCCTTAGGACAGCCCTTTTTTCATCGGAGAAATGTTGGAGGGTATGGAGTTATCTGACCCTTGAGGCATCTGAAGGCAATCCTATATCGGGAATATTTTTTAAAATGTTTAATTTTTTATTATGTTTTTATATATGTTGGAAGCTGCCCAGAGTGGCTGGGGCAGCCCAGTAAGATGTGTGTGGGGTATGTATGTATAAATCATCATCATCATCTTAAAAATATAAAGAGGTATAGAAATGAAATGAATAATAATAATGGAATGGGACGTCCCTATTTTCATTGGATAAATGCTGGAGGGTACAGATCCAGCCAGATGGGCAGGGTAATAATAATAATAAATTTCCCCCCTGAAAATATAAAGCGGTATAGAAATAATAATAATAATAATAGATTTTTGTCTTTAAAGTATAAAGCGGTATAGAAATGAAATGAATAATAAAAATGGAATGGGACGTCCCTATTTTCATCGGAGAAATGCTGGAGGGTATAGACCCAGCCAGATGGGCGGATGATAATAATAATAATCATAATAATAATATATTTCCCTCCCTGAAAATATGAAGCTGTATAGAAATAAAATGAAAAATTATTATGGAATGGGACGTCCCTATTTTCATTGGATAAATGCTGGAGGGTATAGATCCAGCCAGATTGGCGGGGTAATAATAATAATAATAATAAATTTTCCCCCTTGAAAATATAAAGCGGTATAATAATAATAATAATAATAATAATATAATATTTCCCTCCCTGAAAATATAAAGCTGTATAGAAATAAAATGAAAAATTATTATGGAATGGGACGTCCCTATTTTCATTGGATAAATGCTGGAGGGTATAGATCCAGCCAGATTGGCGGGGTAATAATAATAATAATAATAAATTTTCCCCCTTGAAAATATAAAGCGGTATAATAATAATAATAATAATGGGGTTTTGCCAGCTGCCCGCCTGCCTTCTTCTGCCGGAGCCTCTTCGTCTTCCTCTGCGCCCACCGCTCACTTTTGCAATTCGTCAGGTGAGAGAGCCTGTTGTTAATAAAGCAGCCCCTTTTTTTCCTTTTCTTTTCCTTTCTTTTCTTCCCCCCTTTTGATTCCCCCTGGAAGGGAGAGAGGAGGGGAGGGAAGGGGAGGCGCCACGGCCGGCCATCGCCGCCGTCGCCGAAGAAGAAGAAGAAGAAGAAGCCATTTCCCAGCCCCGCATCCTCCTCAGGAGCCCAGGAAGGAGCAGAATTCAGAGAGGGAGGGAGGGAGAAATAAATAAATAAATAAATAAACAAGCAGAGAGAGAAATAGGAATATCTTTCCCTCCCCTCAGGCTCCCGGGGAGGGCGAAGGAGAAGGGCGGGCTCCCTCGGCTGGGTGAGTGGGCGACGGATCGATATCTCTTGATCGATATCGGGGGGAAAGAGGAGGAGGAGGTGCGGGTCCCCGTCAGCGAAGGCCGCTCCCTCCCCTCCTCAGAGGAGACCTATGTTGCGCGCTCTCCTCCCTCCGCTTTCCCGGGGCCAAAATGGCGGCGGCGGCCCTGAGGAGAAAAAGGCGCGAAGAAGGGAAGGGAGGAGGAGCGGCGGCGGCGGCGGCTCCTCCACAGGCTCCCTTCTTCGCCTTCCTGTCAGGTTTCCCGCCTTTGGGGCTCCTTCTCCCTTCTCGGCCCCCTCCCCACCCGGCTAAGCATGAAAGGCTTTTGCCGTAATAATAAACGTGTGGTTTTTTTTAACTGGCCACGGGACTCGCTGTGTGGTTGTATTTTCGCCTTCTCTCGGCCTCTGCTCCGCCCGAAAAGCGGCTGGTTTGGGGTTTTTCCCGGCGGGGAGAGGGAGGGAGGCGCTTGTTGCTGCTGCTGCCAGCCAGGGTCTGGCTCTTGCTTAGCCTTCCTTGCCTCGGTGTGTTGCTGCCAGCCAGGGTCGGGCTCCTTGCTTTGCTTCTGTATGTGGCTCCTGGGTGGTCGCTGCCGGCCAGGGTTTCACTCTTGTTCAGCCCTTGCTTTGCCATGCAACTCCTGGGCTGCTGCTGCTGCTGCCAGCCAGAGTCTGCCTCAGGTGCAGCCCCTTTGCCTTTATTTGGTATGTGGCTCCTAGGTGGTTGCCAGCCAGGGACTGGCTCTGTCTCAGCTCCTGCCTTTGCTGTGCAGCTGCTGCGGCTGCAAGCCAGTGTCCAGCTGTTTCTCAACCCCTTGTTTTTGCTTTTGTATGTGGCTCTTGGGCTGCTGCTGCCAGCCAGGGTCAGACTCTTGCTCAGTCCCTTTGCCTTTGCTTTGTGGCTTCTGGGCTGCTGCCAGCCAGGGTCAGGCTCCTGCTCAGCCTCTTGCCTTTGCTATGCAGCTCCTGGGCTGTTGCTGCTGCCAGCCAGGGTCAGGCTCTTGCTCAATCCATTTGCCTCACTTTGCTGTGTGGCTCCTTGGCTGCTGCCAGCCAGGGTCAGGCTCTTGCTCAGCCTCTTGCCTTTGCTATGCAGCTCCTGGGTTGTTGCTGCTGCCAACCTGGGTCGGGCTCTTGCTCAGCCCCTTTGCCTTGCTTTGGCATGAGGCTCCTGGCCTTCCTATGACAGCTTGACCCTTTCACTATAGAAACCATCAAAAGGTAGAGTTGTGGGTGTGTATTGTGCCTATTCTGTGTTTGTTAGTTCCTCTGCAGTTGCCAAGTGATGGTGGGTGAGGGAGAACGGATCTTGTTAATTGCTCTGCTTTATAACTTGTTTTCTTCTTTTTTTAAGGCTACGGATTCTCTTTAAAGGGTTGTTTCGTCCAGCCAGCAAGCCTGCAGTTCTTTTCAGCCTCTGAAATGTAACCTTCCCTAGGTATGTTTGTTTCTGCTGTGGAGTTGACCTCTGTTTGGTCCATGTCTCTTGAGAGGCTCAGCCTCAACTTGCTGGTTAGGGTTGCCAACTCTTAATTGGCCATTGCACCCTGTGCTTTTTAACACCAGCTTGTGTGAGCGAATAGCAAAACATTCTGTATTTGCAGATTTCTGCAAATCAGGCTGCTGAACAGGCACAGAAGTAGGCCGCATTAAAAAAAAAAATCCTGATAAGTTGGCAGTCGTACTGTGGTGCAGTGGGTAAAGTGTTTGATTCTGAATCCCCGTGAATTTGAATCCCCTTTAAAGCCACTCTAATCTTTTTGATGAATTGGCATAAACTGCCCCCCTCCATCCCCAAATGACACCTGTAAAATGAGTTGCAAGAAGCCTCTTTGCTTGAAAAGTAGCTTTAGTTTTTCATACTTGAAGTTTATATTTTATATGTGCGATTCCCACATGTGCCTTTCTGCGTGTCTCAGTGTACACTTAGTTAGGCTTACATTCTAGTTTATAAAGAACTGAAAGCTGATGTTTTAACATTTAATTGATAAGTACACCTACATTCAATCTTATAAACAGTCACTTAACCTCAGTTGAACCCGAGCTCGAATTAAAAGCTAGACTTCCACTTTTTGTTCATAATCCGGCTTCTTCCAATATCTGGGTTTGCACCTTTTGGTACAGAACAATTGTGTGTGTGGACACACACTCTTGTGCAGTTATTAATGTATTGGGAGCAATTAAATCACTGACTGGTTCTCCAGTATTTGCAGCAGGGCTAGTGTGCGGTGCAATGGGGTCTAGCTTCCACTGTGCAGCAAACTTCATTATACCTGCCTCTTCCACATGAGGCCTTGACACATTTTAGTATAAATGCTGTCAAAGGAAGTGCAATTACAGCAGGACCTCAGTTGTTGAACGCTTCAGAAGTAGAACGTTTCAGCTTTTGAATGCCAACAACCCAGAAGTGAATGCTTCCATATTTGAACATGCCTCAGAAGTCAAATGGCTTCCGTGGCACGTTTCTCCATTTTTTCGATGGATTTTGCCAACCGCCCATTGCTCCTCAGTTGTCAAACGTTTCAGAAGTCGGAACAATTTTCCGGAATGGATTATGTTCGACAACCGAGGTTCCACTGTAGTAGCATCTTCGGGTATTAGCAAGAAACTTTATTTTTGTCCTCATTTATGTCGTTAGGCATACATACACAGGTGTGTACAGGGGAACTGCCATAATAAAAGGACAACTCATGGTGAGTTCTGGCACCTCTTTTTCTAGAAAAATAGCACTGCCTGATGCTATCTAGCCAGTGAACAAGAGCATTATAAACATACGCAATATAAAATCATCCTCTTACAAAGCACAGAGTATATCAAGTCCCTGTTGAATAACCAAGGGACAGACTTCCGTAATGCTGGTGCAAACATGCTGAAGGCCCTGTTGCCAGTCACTACAGCCTGAACATATGGTGCCACCAGTAAGCACCCGTCATCTGAGCACACATTCCAGAAGTGCTTTTAAGCCAGACCTGCTTCTGATTTGCCAACATCTTGGGCCCATATTGGAAGGCGTCTTATACTACTGTATTTTTCACTTCATAGGGTGCACCTGACTATAGGGCGCACCTAGTTTATAGGGGGGAAATAAAGAAAAAATTCAGCTAAAGCCTGCATTCGCTCCATAGGACGCACACACATTTCCACTTCATTTTTGGAGGGGGGAAAGTGCATCCTATAGAGCGAAAAATACGGTAAGTCTTGCCTTAGTTCATCTAATCTGGCACTGGTTCTCTCAGGAGGACTTGGGCATCCTTCCTGGCCTGGGCGCCCGAGATCGTTTTCACAGGAGATTCCACAGAATTTTATTCCTTGGCACGAGTTCACCAACGGTTTTCCGGTGTGGTGTTCTATTACAGGCAATTATCCATTTACACACGCTAAATACGTGTGTGACCGTGCACACATGCATTGTACTGAACCTGGAAGTGCCCTGAGAAAGTAAAGGACCAGAATAGCGTGGGGGCTGAGCGGGGTGTTTGCAGCATTTTACAATGGTGTTTCAAATATATGCAGTTTCACTTAAACACATGGTGCCCCTTGCATAAATGGTGGGTTACCTGTATTCCCATTCTGTTGCTCTCTTCTACCTGCTAAGCAAGCCTAAGAGTAGTAAGGCATCATGAAAAACTAGGATGGAAAAGCTGAATATCTCATCTGGGGCTAACTAAGTTTGTTCTTGGTATAAGCTTTCGTGTGCATGCCCACTTCTTCAGATATACTGAAACACTGAAGAAGTGTGCATGCACACGAAAGCTTATACCAAGAACAAACTTAGTTGGTCTCTAAGGTGCTACTGGACAAATATCTCGACTGCGTCAGACCAACATGGCTACCTACCTGAATCTAGATCCTCCAAGGCTGTTGAAGTCCAGCATCTTGAAGTTCTTCACTTCTGCTCTAAAGTATGTGTTCTCTCTTAAGACAATTTAGCTGTGTGCAGCAATTTAAATTTTATTACTGACCAGCTGGGGATGAAAACCACTAATCAGTGGGGTAAGATGACTGACAGTGGTACATGGTAGTGATTCAGAAAGGCCTGTGTCCATAGTTCGTAACAGGCAACGATGCCTTTATTTTGTAAATCCTGTGGTGGTTCCCAAGCAGAAGATAATGGATGCTGGTTACCAAGACACTTAAAGGTATTAAATATTATAGTAGGAAGATTTGAAAAATCGCTTTGCTTTCCCCCCTCTTGCTAGTAATAAAAGATAATTTAAAATGAAGCAGGCTGCCCTTAAGCAACGCAAGGCAGGTGAGGTTTAAGGAGTGTCTAGGTTAGTGCTTCTTGTTCTATGGCCACAGATACCAGAAGAAAAAGCAGATGTAATGTTGCAGTTGACCAGGAGAGAGCTGATGTAGTGAGACGCTTCTGGGGAGAAGGCTCCCCTCTGCATCAGATAATGATGTCTTGATTTGTGGTCATGCTTGAGCCCACTGAAACCGCTCTGTACTTGCATGTTGTTCCTCCGATACTGTATGGCCTGATGGATAGTAATGTCTGTTATGCAATTATAAATATACAGAACAGTTCCCCTAAAGCAGCGGTGGGGAACCTGTGGTCCTTCAGATGTTTTTGGACTCCAGATCCCATGAGCTGCACTCAGCATGTTCTATAATTGGGGGACGATGGAAGTTTTAGTCAAGCATCTTCCCAAGTGCTACCAGCTCTCACCTGTGGCTCCCAGAAGCTGCCAGCATGCGATGGTGGAATGGCCTCCTTCAAGAGGTTGTAGATTCTCCTTCCTTGGGAGTTTTTCAAGCACAGGTTGGAGGGCCATCTGTAATGGATGCTTTAGATGAGATTCCTGCATTGCAGGGGGTTTGACTAGATGACGCTAGGGGATCCCTTCCAATTCTACAACTTGATTCTATGACAGCAGCCACACCCCAGGAAACAGTGGGGGGGGGGATTGCGAGGGGAGGTTGAGGAAGAATCAGCTGGTAGAATATGCCCAATGGCCCCACCCCAATAGACCTAAAGTTGCCCCAATCAGGGTTAGGGAGAATCTGTTTTTTAGAATGGAGCTTTCACTTTCATTTTTTTTGGAGAAATGCTGTTTTATTATCAATATTTAGAATGGCACTCTATTAGTAAAATTTTCCTTTTGTCCCTTTTACTCTTCAGAGAAAATGAGATTCATTCAAAGTCTGATTGAATGAGAATGGGCCCAGATGTTCCTCTGCTGAACGACCACAAACAAGAATTCCTCCTGAAACGTTTTCCGCAGACTGTTTTGGGCGGCCCTCGATTTAAATTGGGACACCCTGCGCCTCTTTATGTCTACGTGAACCAGATTCTTCTGTTCCTGCTACCATGTCTTCTGGGAGGTGTGGGGACGCTGCTCTATCAACTAAGTATTCTGCAAGACTATTCTACGGCTGCTGTTTCTGGAGGACTCATGCTAGTTGCAGCTGTTACTGTCCAGGCAGCAAGCCTGTACGCAAAACAGAAAACGGCTTCGGTGGAAAGAGTGCATACTCACAGTACCCTAACGGATGAAGATGAATGGGAGTTCTCTAGTTGTCTGGGCTCAGAGACAGTCAAATTTATTATTCCAGGCAAGAAATACATAGTTAACATCATCTTTCACTCACTTCTCGCTGGGGTGCTGTGTGGCTTAGGAACTTGGTACCTTCTACCTAATAGAATCGCCTCGTTGTATGGAGGTAACATTGGAGGAACTGTTATGATCTTTGTCTTTGGTTGGGTAACGGTCTGCATTGGGGAGTACTCCTTAATTGTCAATACTGCTTCAGAGACAGCTACTTACCAAGCACTAGACACTTACGAAATTGTTCCTCTGATGAGACCTTTCTACATTTTTGTCTTCTTCGCAGTGGACCTCACTCACAGGTAAAAATGTATGCGCTGCCTGCAGCCCTCACTGCCTTAGAAGATTGTAATTTATTTCTTGCTATGGAAGCCAGGTTATAATCTTTTAAACAAATCAGTACTTTTTACTGGTCCATCTTGTGCAACATCTTTCTGTAAACATTTGTATTTAGTTACATATATTGAAACAATCCGTAAGAGGACTCAAAAACTCTTCAGCAAAATGGTGGGCGACTGGGTGTAAAAAGCCTGTCTTCTGTCACAGAAATAATACACATTTCCATTTTTTGTCCAGATTCATTGCTGATGTTCCAGCTTTAAAACTGGCAAACCAGATTTTGCACGTTGTGTTTTTCTGTTTGCCATTCTTGTGGACTCTGGGAATTTTGCCCCCACTGGACGCACTTTTTCTCTGGGGAATGGAACAAGTGTTGGAGCTCGGTCTAGGCGGTTCACCCATGTCAAGTAACACAAGGTAATCATTGTTTGGCATAAGAATACACATTTATTCCTCTTCAGTTTCATTCTGTTTTATGGGTTTTTAAATGCATGGTAAATTCTGCATTTTAATATTTTCGTTTTGTAAAAGCAATGAACAAATAGTAGTAATCTGTTGCAGCAAAAACAACTTATTTTGTGGCATCTTAAAGGCGAAGACATGTATTAAAGCTTAACCTTTCATGAACTAGAGTCCTCTTAATCGGATGCAGGAAGCATTATCCTAATGGAACTGTAAACAGTGACGTTTGAAAGAAATGGCCTGCATTTTGCATCCTCCTGAATTCATTCCTTCAAATTCCTCACCCTCTGCAACCATAGCTGCCGATTTAGGTTAACATTTTGCATATCTGTTGAAGTGATCTCCAGTCTAAGATAATTTATGCTCTCATAAGTTTATTAGGTTCTGGGGTGCCAATATATTCTTTATTTTAAAAACCATGCAGTTCAGCAGACGCATATCCCTAAACTACACACAGGCTTCAAAGCAAGTTTCGCAAACCCTCCAGACAGTTTGCAAAACTACGTAGGAGATGAATTGCTAATATGATGCTCAACTCAAACTTCCAGTATGCCGTGTTGTCATCACATTGTGTATAGGACCAGGAGCATCCTGTTGAAAATCACAGTAGGTGAAGAAGCTGATCCTTGGATCTGCTTGTGGTAGAATGGAAAGGTATGAACACGTGAAGCTGCCTTATACAGACCCTCTGGTCCATCTAGCTCAGTATTGTCTAAACTTACTGCCAGAGACTGTCCAGAGTTTCAGACAGGGAGTCTCTCCCAGCTCTACCTGCAGACGCCAGGTATTGAACCTGGGAACTTCTGTATGCAAGGCACATGCTCTGCCACTGAAGTACAGTGGTACCTCAGGTTAAGTACTTAATTCGTTCCGGAGGTCCGTTCTTAACCTGAAACTGTTCTTAACCTGAAGCACCACTTTAGCTAATGGTGCCTCCAGCTGCTGCTGCACCACCGGAGCACGATTTCTGTTCTCATCCTGAAGCAAAGTTCTTAACCTGAAGCACTATTTCTGGGTTAGCATGGTCTGTAACCTGAAGCGTATGTAACCCGAGGTTCCACTGTATGGCTCTTCCCAAAATGAAAATAGACCCAACTCTCCAGATGTCATTTATGACTTCTTCCTAACTAAATAAATCTTTTTTCTCCCCTTTCTAGGCTGCTATTCATGTTTTTGATTTCTGTGGGAACAGCTGTTGCCTCTTATTTCATCCCCAGCACTCTTGGTGTCGTCCTCTTCATGACTGGATTTGGATATGCATTGAGTCTTAACTTAAGAGAGATTGGGTTTGCGTTCAAGTGCACTGTGATCAACTTCTTAGCCTCCGACAAGTATACAAAGGCACCTGGCTGTTGTGGGACCCAGTTTGGATGGCGGGAATTTGTTTTCTATTTGACTGCATTGACTCTGGCTCTCCTGGAAGCTGGCCTGTTGCACTCCTTCCTCGGTCCTCAGGCGTTTTCTAAAACCAGCCTCCAGGCTGTTGTGAGCTATTTGCTGATAGCATTGCTCCTTGCGACGTGGATTCTTGGACAGTTTCAGACCGTGTACCTGTTCGGAATGTTGCGAAACCCGTTTTATCCAAAGGATGTCATGACTGCGAATGTATTTGTGGAGAAACAAAAGAGGCTTAAGAAAATTGGTGTGCTCAGAAGGATTTTGCTAGCTGTAGGTAAGAGAGTCCGCAGCCTTCTGTATTATGTATAAGCTGGAGACTGAAGAAGGTTCATGAAATGTTCTACACGTACATTCCAAAATAACCCACATTAAGTGGAGCAAGGCATTTAAATCTTAATGATCTGAGGGTTTACTGAATAAGTATTCCTTTATAAATGCCACAATCTGTGGAATATACTGAATTGCTGAGTTCTCCCTTAAAAATGGGACGTGGGTGGCGCTGTGGGTTAAACCACAGAGCCTAGGACTTGCCGATCAGAAGGTCAGCAGTTCAAATCCCCGTGACGGGGTGAGCTCCCGTTGCTCGGTCCCTGCTCCTGCCAACCTAGCAGTTCGAAAGCACGTCAAAGTGCAAGTAGATAAATAGGTACCGCTCCGGCGGGAAGGTAAATGGCGTTTCCGTGCGCTGCTCTGGTTCGTCAGAAGCAGCTTAGTCATGCTGGCCACATGACCCGGAAGCTGTACGCCGGCTCCCTCGGCCAATAAAGCGAGATGAGCGCCGCAACCCCAGAGTCGGCCATGACTGGACCTAATGGTCAGGGGTCCCTTTACCTTTTACCCTTAAAAGTAAGCTTCGATTTAATGGTAATTCTTCGATTCTGAAGCAGGAGTGAGAAACCTGTGGCCCTCTAGATGTTGCTAGACTACAACTTCCATCATCCTTAACCATTTGCCATGTTGAGTGAAGCGAGTGCCCACTATATCTGGAGCACCAAGGGTCCCCTAACCCAGTGCCAATCTAGAAGAAGGCATTTAGGAGATAATATCTGATTCACTACCTAAATTAATCATTCAAATAAAATACAATTTAGCTGGTGTACTGAATTTCAGAACACAGTAGAAGAATTGAATTGGCCATTATCTAGCACAGAACTGTAGAATTTAAGGCATACGAAGCAATGAAAAACAATAGGTTTTACTATCAAAGGCAATTGACCGGGATATCTAATTTGACATGTTACAACTGATTTCAAATGTTTCAGAACATCCCTTCTCTCCCCCTCTCCCCAATTTGCTGAATAAAAAACTTTCTATAATTTTTTTCTGTAATTATAGTATATCATTTCTCTAGCAATTGGCAGATCGGTCTTATTATACAAAAAGGCTACTGGATTACACTGACTTCAGAAAGTGACAAAGACATTATGTCAATGCCCCTTGCAATAAGATTTTCAAAACAGCTTACAAAATGAAACATAAAATTGCTTGACATTAAAGCAAAATAAGAACCAGTTATTAAAAGTCAAAACTGTTAGCACAACACTAAGGTCCCAGTTAAGCATTTTCTAATGGGGGATGAACGTCTGCCCACTCAATTTTGAAGAGATGTTAGAACATATACACCTATTCTGTAGACATCTTGCATTTTTGCCAGAGATAAAAGCCAATCTGGGCCTTTCATAAGATCTTGGAACCAGTGAGAGTCAACCTAGAGAACGTCAGCCACTTGAGAGCCACATAACATCAGTGTAAAAGATTTTTAAAGGCCTGATAATCATTACGCATATAATTCCATTTTTACCTGCATGCACAAATTTAAGTGCACTGTGTTGAACTCTGTTTTAGTAAATGAAACATTCATTGCTGCCACCTTTCCAGCTTCCCAGGGAATCCCAAATAGACAAAACTCTGTAGATCATGGTTGCAAAATCTCTGTTCTGAAGCACGCCCCTTATGTATATACTTCTTGTATAAGGAAAAACATTGTGCATAATTTCTTTTCTCTTGTAATTTCAGTGTCTCCATTTGCTATGATAGCGTTTCTTTCCCTAGACAATTCTCTGCATCATCTTCCATCTGTATATGTTTCCATTGGATTCTCAAGAGGCTTTAGAATGGTAACTTTAAAGTATTTTGTAAAAAAAAAAAAAAAAAGCACCATGGAAGAAAAGCACTTAATTTTTAGGGAAGATAGAATAACAAATGGATGTGAGAATTACATTTTCCAGTTCCTGAAAGGAGATATTTATTCATAATAAGGGATTTTGACCCACGTAATTTGGTGGTAGACAATGTGACTTGTATGTTCACGGCCCCAAGTTTAAATTTAAGTATCTCTAGTTAAAGAATTCTTCGGTAACATTGACCTAAGTCATTGTTGGTCGTTGTTTGGATTTAGGCAAGGGATTGTTTTCTCCCGCAGATACCATCGTGTATTGTGGAGGGTAAAGGACTGGCCAGCGTTAACGTTTGTAAGGATTACTGAGATAATGCATGCAAAGTATTTTGACTACTTGGAAAGCATTAATAGAGCACTATTTATAAAGTGCTTTTTCTATTATTAGCCAAGGTTCACTCTAGCTTACTGGTTTGATGTACCGTGTTTAAATCTAGATGTATTTTGTGTCTGGAATATTGCCATGGTCTTGTATGGAGTTATCTAGTGCAGAATTCAGCTTGCCAAGTTTGAGTTTATTGCTATTTTTTTCTTTCTCTTCTCCCCTCTCTCTCTCTGCCCCCCCCCCCCCCGTTTATCACCATTTTGGATGTGCTGTTGAGAACATGGGGGAATTATATGGTCTGAACTTTGAATTCTGAGAGAGGTACGAAAAAAGCTGGCAGTGGGAGCAGCTGGTGCGAGTAATTTCTTGCTCTCCGTTATGGGCTCTGTTTGTCTGACTCTGCCAATGCTCTATTGCCCAATCCCATTTTATTTTCCTCAGGACCTGAGTAAATGTTCCAGATTAATTGAAAACCAGATTCTTGGAATTAGAGCAAGTCACACAAAACAAGCACATGGTGGACTGCACATGTTGTTCTTAGCCTAAGGCAGTACAGTGGTGCCTCGCAAGACGAAATTAATCCGTTCCGCAAGAGTCTTCGTCTAGCGGTTTTTTCGTCTTGCGAAGCAAGCCCATTGACGGATTAGCGCTATTAGCGCTATCAGCTGTTTAGCGGCTATTAAAGGCTTAAAGGCTTAGGGGATTAGCTGCTAAAAGGCTATTAAAGGCTATTAAAGGCTTAGCAGATTAGATAAAGGGGGGGGAAAGCGAAAAAAATCTCAAGACTCGCAAGGTATTTTCGTCTTGCGAAGCAAGCCCATAGGGGAATTCGTCCTGCGAAGCAACTTCAAAACGGAAAACCCTTTCGTCTAGCGGTTTTTCCGTCTTGCGAGGCATTCGTCTTGCGGGGCACCACTGTACTTCTATAACCTAGCAGTTCAAAAGCACGTCAGTGCAAGTAGATAAATACAGTGGTGCCTCGCAAGATTTGGAAAAGCTTCAAAAATCACCAAAGTCTTTAAAAACCTCAAAAAAGGCTACCACCCCGCGTTCTATGAGTTGCTCCTCGAAATCAAGTCGCAACTGTATTAACGGTGTTAAGAAAAAGGAAACAAACTTGCAAGACGTTTCCGTCTTGCGAAGCAAGCCCATAGCGAAAATCGTCTTGCGAAGCAGCTCAAAAAACAAAAAACCCTTTCGTCTAGCGGGTTTTTTGTCTTGCGAGGCATTCGTCTTGCGAGGTACCACTGTAGGTACCGCTGTGATGGGAAGGTAAACGGCGTTTCAGTGAGCTCTGGTTACCGTCACGGTGTTCTGTTGCGCCAGAAGCGATTTAGTTATGCTGGCCACATGACCCGGAAAGATGTCTGTGGACAAATGCCAGCTCCCTCGGCCTGAAAACAAGATGAGCGCCGCAACCCCATAGTCACCTTTGACATGACTTAACCGTCCAGGAGTCCTTTACCTTTTTATTTTTTAGCTTCTATAATAATATGAGAATTACTGTATGGGACAAAAATGGCAAACAGAGGAAAGACCAGCAAATTTTAGGCATCATTAAAAAAAAAAAAGACACTTGAATAGCTCTTTGGTGGTCAGGCACCCAAAAACATTTGAGAAACTCCTGCAAAACAAAAACAGAGGAATAACAGCTTTGGGTTGTATACAACACTGCATGAACAGTGTTCCAGTTCTGAGGGCCTTCTGGCCGTTCCCTCACTGCAAAAAGTTACAGGGAACCTGGCAAAGGGCCTTCTTGGTAGTGGTACCTGCCCTGTGGAACGCCCTCCCATTAGATACCAGGGGATGTTAAGGGGGAAAATAACTATCTTGAGTTTTAGAAGACATCTGAAGGCAGCCCTGTATCAGGAAGCTTTCAATGCTAGATGTTCACTTGTTTTTTTATATTATGTTGGAAGTCGCCCAGAGTGGCTGGGGCAACCTAGTCAAATGGGTAGGGTAAATTATTACTATTAATGGGCCTCCATTTCCTCTCGTCCCCATGTGCTTCCACGTACCTCCAAAATCTCCTCTGTTAGGTCTCCAGAGCAGATTTTGAGGGTGCACGAGGGAGCTGTAGAATACAAGTGAGGAAGGCACAGTTCTGTGGTGCACACAGAATTCCGTTGCATGGATGGAGCTGCAGCGTTGAATATAGCCCTTTTTATTTTAAGTATTAAACTTCAGATCAAGAGTGAGATGAACATATTGTGAGTCAATAAAGTAATCTCTGTTCCAGGTATGGCAGGATACAGAGCATGCTTTGTTGGATATGGTGGTGGTGTCAACTGTGCAGTTGCTGGTGTTCAGTACTGATCTTTGGTGGAATAGAAGCTTTGATACAGGAATCAGGCTCTTGCTGGTAAGTCTGATTTTATTTGTCGCTTCCTTCAGCATTACTATTCCTCCTTTCATATATATATCCTAGGTGGTGAACCAAGTAAGCAGAAATTAAAGCAAATTATTAAAAGGCCAATTAAAAAATAAACAAGTCAAGAACAACAAGTCAGAGTTGGTATCAAACAATGGCACTGTCAAAACCTGTTTTTAAAAGGTCAGACCTGCCTCTTGGAGAAGGTTAAGTCCTAGCTGCTCACCAAAAGGCAAGCAGTAGTTGGGCCAGGGAAAGTTTCTGTAGCAGGTGCCACCACTTAAAAGGTCCCGTGCCTCATGCCTTTCCCCCACCCCCAGTGGACGCCAAAAAATTGAAAGCAGAAAGCCCCGTACAGAGATTTCTCTGTTGTGGCACTGCAGCAGACTCATGTGAGTGTGGGGTGGTTCTTAAGATACTCTGGTCCCAGGCCATATAGGGTAGCTCTTAAGATAAATTGATAACCCAGACAGATGGTATTTGATCTGACCTACATACTCCAATTAGCATTGCAGCCATGTTCTGGATCATTTTGGACATTCAAACTACTACATGTATGAAAGTTTGTTTTTATTTGTAAAATTGTATTTTAATACCTGCATCATTTTATTCTTTTAAGACATTTAGAAGCCTGTTTTGGGATTAAGTAGTATGTAATAATAATAATAATAATAATAATAATAATAATAAATCTTATGAAACGTGCTATTGCCCTTCAGCCCTCCCCTATTCCTTCCCAAATAGACTCCTATTTTGATTCAAACCAGAGTTAGGGTCAGAAAACCAAGTGACAACCAATTCAAGCTTGATAATAATATTCTGAGGGCATTCCAACAACTTTAGCAATACGAAGTGCTGTAGAAGAGCCTACAATTTAAAGAAAAAATGATATGCTATTTCTGTCCTGCTAGGTCGGAATAATCCGGGATCGACTGTTTCAGTTTGTTTCAAAACTGCAGTTTGCACTTACTGTTCTCTTGACATCATGGACAGAGAAAAAGCAACGCCGGAAGTCCACTGCTACCCTGATTACACTCAACATTGTCTTCTTTCCAGTTGTACTGACCCTCATATTGCTGTCTGCACTTCTGTCTTCCCCCCTGCTGCCCCTTTTCAGTCTCCCAATATTTCTGATTGGCTTTCCAAGACCTATCCGAAGTTGGCCGGGACCTGTGGGTGTGACGGCCTGCATATGTCCTGACACCATATATTATCAGCAAATGATTCCAAGTTTGACTACTGCATTGCAGTCGGCTCTATCCAATGGTAGCCTGGGTAAGTAAGCTTCAAAACAACTTTGTCACTCATTAGATCACATTTTATCATGTGCTGAAAACTGACCTGACTACGTGGCTATGAGGCCAGTTTGAATTGGACCTTGCATACCCAGAAGCCTCCAGTTGATTGTAGCAGCTGTGGCCTCTAAAGGCTGCTACAGCTGAATGGAGGCTTCTGGGTATGTGGGGTATGGTTCAATCCCATAGTGGTTACCAGATCTGGGAAATGATTTTCTCATAACAGTAAATGGATATAATAAGCCGGTGCAATATAAGAAGACTATTCTTTGTTACTAGGGTTGATGGGTGGGGATCTATGTTAGACATTTTCAAAGGTAAGGGGAGAAATGCAGTAGGAAACCTCTTTGGCTCACATTGGAGAGTGCTGTGCTAGGGTATGTATGCCTTGGGGATTTAAATGATTTTAAAAATTAATTATCAGGAAAAAATTACCTGGTCTTTAATGGGTGAGGCCTTGACTAGACATGTCTTGGCAGGATATCACTTTATGTTTTAAGGTTAAGGCGTATTTTATCAGTTTTGGCAGCTATGCACAATTAAGGAAACCTTTACAAAAATGTTAGCAAGAGAATGCACTCTATTAGCTCAGCAGGATAGAAAAGGCTATTTTAAATTTTAACTAATGTAATGGCAGGTTTCTTAGATTGCAGTTGCTTTATTCTGAAACTCCGTAGTTTTAACTGTGCCAACTGAGATAATTTAGTAATCAGTGGTATGCACTCAGCCGGCATCTGACACATCTCAAACCCCTGCAGTTATGTGGGGGAAGTAGTTTTGCTTCTACGACAAAATAGGTTTGGTTCGATTCAGTAATGTTCTCTTTAAGAGTGTAGTTGCAAATAATAGTTGTGCACGAACAGTTGTGCAGAGCCGATTCCTCTCTTCCATGCTGGGGTGACTGCAAGAGCTTTGTCTGCCAAAAGTCTCTCCTCAACAATTGCTGTTAGTGTGGCAGCCCTTTCCTGTAATCATTAAAGGTGAGATTTTGTTGATCCGTTCGGCACCACTGTATCCACTAATGGAAACAACCAATTCAAAGCAGAAAACCTCAACAGAAACTCCCGACATCCATGCGTCTCCAAACGTCCGTAGCTAGAATCTGTTTGTAACCTGTCGACACAATTTCCCCATCTCTCCATTATTTTCGAGGGTTGTCATTTGGGTCAGGGTTTGTCCTTTTTGTCTCTCTCTCACAATACCTTTTTTTAAAAAATGGGAAACAGTAACCCCATGCAGCTGTGTCTTTGTAGAAACTGTGTATGTCAGTGTGATAGCTGCAGTCATGTACAGCTGAGCTTCAGTAAGCAATTTCAGGATTATGGCTATGATGTATTTAGTTTGTTACTTTAACCCCACTTTTCTGTGAATATAACAACCATTGCCTTGATTCCTGCATTGCAGGCAGTTGACCTAGATGTCCCTCAGGGTCCCTTCCAAAATGCCGCTCACCAATCCTGCAGCAAAAATTAATTCTTTGTGTGTGTGTGTCTTTTTCAAAAGGACTCTGCTCACCTGGCTCTCACTACTTGTGCCGATTCCAAGACAGACTGGTATGGATCCTTGTGTTAGAAAGAGGCTTCACTTATTGTTGTCTTAATATCAAGGTGACTATTGCTAAGCCTACCTGGTACCATTGTGGCAGAGGAGTAGCTGCCCCCCCCCCAACAGTCAGTAGAAGTTGCTCTAATTTTCATGGTGCATGAACTATCTGCTAAAGTGACCCAAGGAGGGGTAAAGTTGAAAAAAGAAAACATGCTACATGTATGGGCATTGGATTCAGACTATCTGGGGGTGGAACTTATTTCACGGGACTATCTAGTCCCTTGAGGTAGGGAAGAGGAATCTTGTGAATTTCCCTCTTCCTTCTGCAGGACCTACATGGAGGGTTGAAGACCCCTTCAGAACAGCCCGGGAAGTAGCTTTGGGGGCTGTAATGTGGGTGGGAAGGAAAACTGGCCAAAAAAACCCCTCTTCCTGTAGCACAGCCTTCCCAAAACTTGTGCTCCACATGTTTTGGACTACAAAATGCTGCCTGGTGCTGATGGGAGTTGCAGTCCAGCACATATGGAGGGTACCGGCTTGGCGAAAGCTGCTCTAAGGGGAGCCTGTGGTGGGTGTCTGTGCTTCTGCTCCCAGAATGGCAAGTCTGAATCCAGCCCAAGGTGTCTGATTCATTCAGAAAGCTGCTTAGCCTTTCTGCAACTCGGAAACCGTTCTTGCTAGCATGTTTTAGATTGAATATGTTGCCTTCTGACCATCCTTCTACTGCCCTTCCCTGCCCCTCTGTTTCCAATGTTTAGAGACATGTGGCATTGCATACATAGCTTAAAATAGCCATATCCATGCACAGGAGAGGACATACCTACTGGCTTGGGAAAACCTAAAGTTTGCAGAAGTGCAAAAAAAAGGGGGGGCTAGCGGGAGACTCACATACCCCCCCAAAAAAAATCCCAGTTCAAGGGAAAGAATGAAGCATGTTTTTATGAGTACGACTAGCAACAAAATGTTGCAGTAAATCCCCACTTGCAGGATATCTTCGAGAGAAGCAAAGGCTCAGGAGCTACAACAGTTGGTTGGTGCCTTGTATGCCTCCTTCTGGGGACTCCTGCAGCTAAGCTGGTGTCAAATGTCTTGCTCTGCTTTCCTTTGGGCTACATCAGCGAGGCCGAGAGGAGGGGTCTTGTCATCTGGGCAGCCCAGGCTGCACCCCAGGGAGGTCACTTCGGTGCGGCTAACGCAGCAGTTTGATTTCACCCCCGGATGCACACTCCATTGTCTCTCAAGACAGAGGGATGCCAACCCAAGGCAGGAGTGGCTAACCTTTTTCCGCCCAATGGCCACCACCCTTTGGAGGGTTTCATGCCAGCTCATGCTCACATGCGTGCACTTGCAGCTGGGGCAGGCGAGTTGCCTGCACGAATGCTCAGCAGTGGGGGGGGGAGGTGACAGAGAAGCAGCCGCACATGCTTGCTCACTCAATTTCAGTACACACCCATCGCTACTATCCCAGTTTTGCCCTGAGGTAGAAAAACACACCGTTCTTGCTCTCTAGTGCTGCACCGTAGGTTGGAAAGGCCTTTTTCCTCTTTCTCTTAAACATCCCTATATAGTTCATAGGGTAGGAGTCTTTTGACCACACAGCACTCACCCCTTCTCTATCGTAATAATCTCTCTTCCTCCAGGATATTTAGCTCTGTTGAGACTCAACATAATGTGCAGTGGTACCTTGGTTTTCGAACTTAATCCGTTCCGGAAGTCTGTTCTTAAACCAAAGCGTTCTTAAACCAAGGTGTGCTTTCCCATAGCAGTGGGGGACTCAATTTACAAATGGAACACACTCAACAGGAAGCGGAATATGTTCTGCTTCCAAGGCAAAGTTCACAAGCCAAAACACCTACTTCCGGGTTTGCAGCGTTCTTAGTCCAAGTTGTTCATAAACTAAGCTGTTCTTAATGAGCATGTGGCTTATTTAAAAGCAGATCTAAACCAGACCCATGTAGAAACCATGAATTGGCACCTTTCTATTCCAAAGTGATAAGCACTCGGCCAACTGAACTCACTGTTTGTATGCATGTGTGCATTTTTCCCCATCTTTCCACTGAGAGTACCCAAGGTGTATAAAAAGTAGAATTAGTCATAAAAACTTAACAATTGAACTAATAACAATAAACACTGATGATGATGATGCAGAGTTTGCAGGCTCAGAAAGCTGATATTCATGCAGATGATCTTGCTGTAAGACATTGCTTTCTGTGTCCCATTAAAGCTGAAGGGCTACATAGCGAGGGAACCTGTTGCCCTCCAGATGTTGTGGCACTAAATTCCCACGGTTCTTGACCTTTGGACATGCTGGCTGGGCTGATGGGAGTTGTAGTATTGGGAGCGCCATGGGTTTCCCATCCCTACTCCATCCATATGTTCGTTGTGATGTCCAAATCAGGTGATTTTTGGTTAGCGCTACCTTTAAAACCATGGCTTGAAGTGGGCCTGCAAAAACTATGATTGTGATGACCATCTAAACTGAGCCAGTGTATTACTCTGTGTACTTGAATACCTAGTCAGGTTTTTTTAAATCTTTTTTTCCCTTTTTGTCTGTTTGATTTTCAGGGGTTAGAATTGCAGGAAACCTCCTGCCATACCGCTGAAGCTCACAAAGTAGATGAAATGTTTGAGACGGCCTTTGAACACGAGGAGCACAGGAAGATCCTCTCCCTCAACCATCACTTTTTAAATATTTTAACACCTTGTTGTGTTCTTCCTGTGAAGCTCTATTCAGATGCCAGGAACGTCTTGTCTGGAATTATTGACTCGCCTGACAACCGGAGGCAGTTGAAAGACGATTTTCTGAAAAACCTCTTATGGGTGCTAGTCCAGTACTGCTATAAGAAATCAAAAACACACAGAACACATGAAAGAACACCCATATCCAAGCATAAGTCGCCTTCAGTGGAGCCACCTGAAGTTTTAAGCAAGGCAATAGAAAGTCCAGACTCCTGGAAAAATGATGACCACCTCAGTGTGGAATCAATAGATGAGTGGACTGACGACAGCAATCTTTTTGATGATGAACCCAGCAAAAAAGGACCCAAAATGGTGTCGCGAGGAAGCACACCAAGACCCTTCTTTTCTCTCCCAGGTTCAGTTGAAATACACACCACAGACACCGAACTGCCAGAGGCACCCAGTGTCAATAAACTCTACAAACCTGTTGTCTTTGGTCTTCCTGCTGTAGACACTGGGGGGAAATGGGGCGTGGTGGATTTGCCCCCTGTTAAGTTTAGCAACTCTTATTCTGAGCTGCTAAGCATCCCCGAAGAGTGGAGAACTGTACCCTTACCTGTGGCCAAACTTTACGAAATGAAGCAGAAGTTCCCGGAAGACTGGTACCATTTTGTACTTCGCCAGCTGGACTTCTTCCACTTGAAGGAAAACCCTTCAAGTTTACTCGAGGACATCGTTAAAGATGCTGCTTTGAAAGACTTGTACGTCAAGTGTGCCCTGTCCTGCTACATTGCTGTGTTTGGGTTAGACGATGTTCTTCCCTCGCCCGGCCACATATTCAGAGCCTACAACGGAGGCCTTCCCTGGTCGGTCTGTTTGGACTGGCTGGTGGCAAAGCAGGAGCTGTTTCAGCTGGCCCTGAAAGTGTTCAGGTAACCGTGGCAAGAAACTTTTGAAATAAGAGTAGCAAAAGCGCAGCTAAGAAGCTCAAATCATATTTAGGACTGGCACCCTTTATTGGAAATTAAAACAAATGTCCAGACTAACATTCAAAATCTTTACTTGCAGAAACTTATAGATGAATTAAAACATAATATTTATAGCCCTATGCTTCTCCAAGCACGGGCTTGCAGTCTGTTCTTCTAACTTCCAGACAACTGTATTTTCCTCTTTATAGAGCTTAGCACTTTCAGCCTTCTGTATCTCAATTGGGCCATGCCTTACAGCTCCTATGAGAGATTTCCGCTTTTATCTTCTGCAGTTTTACCCTCTCTTTTTTCAAGTAGAGAAGCAGTGCTCCAGCATTACACATTCCATTTTTAAGTTTGGAATAGAGTAGTTGCTTTGGAAGACTATAATCAGGCATCCGCACAACGTGACCAGTCCAGTGAGGACTGGGCTATATATACTAATAGTAACACCTTGAACTCGGCCCGGTATCTGTATTGCAATTGTTTCCAAGGTATCTTTTGTTTATCACTTGTTTGCCTTCCTGGCCTCCTTTGGGAGGAAGAGCAGGATGTAAATTCAATAAACAATGACTGGGGATGGGGTGATTTGCTTCTGCATTGGGTTCTGGACTTCACTGCCCCCCCTCTGCGCTATTACATTGTTTTTTCTTTTACCTCCAGAAACGGGGTTTTTGAAGGAGCAGAAAAAATGGATTTGGGTTGCGTTGGGCCTCCGGACTGGGCCTTAGCCACCTCTACTATAAAGTTGTGCATTCACATACAAACATACAGAGGGAGAGAGAGTAATAGTAATAGTATTGTGAGCCGAATCACTAATGTGCCACTGTGCACGTTCAGCATGGGTTATAGAGAATGCACATAATCTGTCCATGAAGAAACACTTGTGCACATTTCCTGGTCAGTACATACAGTCTTGAACAAACCTTAAACGAATGTGCATTCCTTTACTGGAACTGCATAAATCTAGACTGTGCACTGGAGATAAAAACCAAGGGTGTGTCTCTTGGAGAAATGTACAAGATTCCAGTATTCTTTGAGTGAGACGGGACTCTGAAATCACAAGGGCATCGTTAAAAGGCTCGTGACCTGTTCTCAAGAGGCTCTGGCCTTTACATTTTAAGAAGCCATGAGTAAGAATGCTAATCAGGAAAAGTCATAAAATGGACTGCATGCTGAAGGATGTCTTTTTTTCTTTTACTTAAAACAGAACCATTCAGTAAATGAGTTGGTCAAGCCATGTGTGGCAGAGCAGCTGCAATCGCCCTCTACGGCTGCTTGGATAGAAAGCTGTAATATATTTCTTTGAAAATTGGTTTTGATTCAGTAGCCCTCTTACCATCTAATGTGCAGTCTAGCCAAAGAGCGTTTAAAAGGTGTTTGCAGGAACTACTGGCCAGACAGGATAGGGAAACCATGAAGGCTGAACGAGCTACACGCAAGTAATTTGCTCCCCAAATCAGCAGATGCAGACATAACCTTACTGTGTGATTAATGCATAATTAATCTCATAATTAATCCTAGGCAAATCTAGCTGTGGCTCCAGCCACACGTGAGTGTTCCCAGGGTGGCATTATTATAGGCATTCTTTCTTATGTAGCTTTATAGATCTACACATTGTGCACTGGTCCTTATATGGTTTATCTTGCAGATACACAGTTAAGCTTTTGGTTGACCAAGCAAGTCTGGGACCAGTGGAAAGTTTCAAAGAGCTGCTAAGCTGTCTTGAAGAATATGAAAACGACTGGTACATTGGACTGGTGTCTGAAGAAAAGTGGCAGCAAGCTGTTTTACGAGAAAAGCCATATCTTTTTTCCTTGGGGCATGACCCTAATATGGTAAGTGGTTTTTCTATTTTTCATGCATGAATTTTGCTGCAAGGCACAAGAATGTTGGTTTGTTTTTTTTTAAGGAGTGTTAATTAAAAAGAGTTCAAATGAACTTTTTAGACCCAATCCATGTGCTTGAATTAGATGTAGCTATTGGACAACGACTCCTTTAATTGAATCCAAAACTATGATTCAGCTGTTGTAACTGGCTTAGGGGCATGAAACCACCAATTTCTTTACTCAATTAATAACCTTGTAAGGTATTTTATGGCCTTGGATTGTATCCAAGGATGTTCCTCTGCTTCCAAAGGGCACTTTGACTCAGCAGATGTTTCCATCTGTGGAATAGGTAGGGACACGCTCATTCTTAGGCATGTAGGACCATGTCATTACCGAGGAGGCAGGCTTAGTTGTTGTTTGAGGACCATCCCTGCCTCCGGGTCTGGCCCTGACCAGAAGGATACTGGAATCAGCAAGGGAAACCCACATGACCTGAAAGTGTTGCTGTGCAATGCCAGGTCAATGATGAATAAGACCACTGCCATCCACGACCTGATTGTGGATGAAGAACTTGACCTGGCATGTGTGACAGAGACTTGGTTGGATGAAGCAGATGGGCCTGTCCTTGCTGCTGCTTGTCCACCAGGTTTCTCTTACACGCAGCAACCCAGGTCATGTGAGCGGGGTGTGTGTGTGTGTGTTGCAGTGATTTTTAGGAAGTCACTAGTTTGCTCCAGGTGTCCTATTGGGAAGACCCAGTTTTCTGAGTGCATGTTCTGGAAGTTGGGCAATAGGGACAGTACAGAATTCCTTTTGGTGTACTGACCTCCCTGCTGCACCAAGGATTCCCTGCCTGAGCTGCTTCAGGTCGTGGCGGATGTACTCCTGGAGACACCTAATTTGGTTGTCCTACCTAGGGGATTTTAACATCCATGCCGACACGAACTTACAAGGGGCCGATTGGGACATCGTGGAAAACATGGCCTCCATGGGGCTGTCCCTAAATAAGTTTGGCCCACCTCATAGCTGCAGACATGCCTTAGACCTGGTGTTCACCTCTATGGATGTTGGTGATCTGACACTAAGTAAAAGCGAAACAAAAGAAGTGCCATAGTCAGATCACTTCCTGGTGCAACTGGACTTCTCCGTGACCCTTCCCCTCTGCAGGGAGGTGGGACTGATTTGGATGGTCTGCCCCCGCCACTTAATGGATCCAAATGGCTTCCAGAGAGTGGTAGGGGATGTGAGAGTGGTAGGGGATGCTTCCAGAGAGTGGTAGGGGATGTGAAAGGATGGCCTTTCAGCTGATTCCCTGGTGACCTACCGGAATGCAGAGTTAACCAGGGCTATTGACTATCTGGCTCTGAAGTGCCCTCCGATTGCTCCATGGTTTTCCCTGGAGCTGAGGGTGATGAAACAACTGTTGAGATGGCTAGAGTGCAGGTGGCAGAAAACTCATTCTGAATCGGACCAGACACGGGTTAGAGCTCAGCGTTGAGCCTACCAAATGGCGACGGTGAAGAGGACCTTCTTCACTGCCTCTATTGCAACTGCAGAAAACAGCAGCAGGAGACTCTTTCAGGTGGTTCGCAATCTATCGGAACCACCTTCAGCACCAGAGCCTGGTCGGGACCCCAAGATCTCCTGCAATGCTTTTGCAAAGTTTTTTGCAGATAAAGTTGCTCAGATTCGGAAGGAGGTAGACTCCACTGTGGGAGCAGGGCTGGGGCAGGAGAGTGCTGGAGTCCTGTCTAGTTATGTTATATGGGATCAGTTCCAATCTGTTACCTCCGGGGATGTGGGCAGGCTGCTTGGACGAGTGAAACCAACCACCTGTCTCCTTGATCCTTGCCCATCCTGGCTAATAAAAGCGAGCCAGGAAGGGCTGGGTGATGGGCTCTGTGGGGTGGTGAATGCTTCCCTCTGCGAGGGAGCCTTCCCAGACCCGCTGAAAGAGGCAGTCATTAAACCGCTTCTTTAAGAAACATCTTTAGACCTGGCCAATATGGCCAACTATTGCCCAGTTTCAAATCTTCCATTCTTGGGTAAGGTGATTGAGCGGGTGGTTTCCGAGCACAATTGAAAGTGTTGGTGCTGACCTTTAAAGCCTTAAACAGCCTCGGCCCAGTATACCTGAAGGAGCATCTCCACCCCCATCGTTCAGCCCGGACACAGAGATCCAGCACCGAGGGCCTTCTGGCGGTTTCCTCACTACGAGAAGTGAGGTTACAGGGAACCAGGCAGAGGGCCTTCTCGGTAGTGGTGCCTGCCCTGTGGAACGCCTTCCCATCAGATGTCAAGGAAATAAGCAACTCTCCTACTTTTAAAAGACATCTGAAGGCAGTCCTCTTTAGGGAAGTTTTTAATGATTAATGCTGTATTGTGTTTTTAATATTCAATTGGGAGCCACCCAGAGTGGCTGGGGAAACCCAGCCAGATGGGTGGGGTATAAATAATAATAATAATTATTATTTTATTATTATTATTATTGGAAGATGCTTTATACAGAGTTTGGTCTGCCTAGCTCAGTAGTGTGTACACCGACTGGAAGTGGCTTTCCAGGGTTTGACACGGGACATTCCCAACACTACCTGGAGATCTTGGGAGTTGAATCAGCGGCCTTCTGCATGCAAAGCAGATGCTCTACCATTGAGCTATGGTCCTTCACTCTGCAACCCCGTCACCATCTCCCACACTACTTTACTAGAATATTTGAGTGAAAAACTGCCTTGCTCCCCATTCCAACGACAAGCTTCTGATGGGTCAGAATCTGCTGTCAGCAATACACAAGAGCGCTGATTTCCTGCGTATGTGCCTTTGTCTTTCAGGGAGTTTATACCAGCAGAGTCCTCACCCTTCAGGAATTCCTAGTGCAAGTGGGGAAACTGAACAGTGAAGCTGTTAGAGGGCAGTGGGCAAACCTTTCTTGGGAGCTACTCTATGCCACCAACGACGACGAGGAACGCTACAGTATCCAAGCTCATCCTGTCCTTTTGAGGAACCTGACCATACAAGCAGCAGATCCTCCCCTGGGCTACCCAGTTTATTCCAGCGAACCTCTCCATGTACCTTTGCTCTAGAACTTGACCCTTGGCCCTTTGGTTTCCTAAAGAAAAACTGCATTAATTTTCTTGACTCTTGCAGCAAGGAAAACTTAAGTTGCCAAAGATGTTGGTGGCAGCGGAAGAGGCCGGGTTTTTTGGCAGGAATATTATGAACATGTCTCTTTCAGCCCCAGTGATGTCTGAACCTCTGATCCTGTTGGGCTGATGGAGGAAGATGCTGGGAGAAGACTTAAAAGCAGGCAATAAGCTCATTGATGTATTCTGCGAGGTTGTTGTTTTTTTAAATGAAAAATCAGTAACTTGACAGGTGACTTGCATTAGAAGGCAGGTTACAGCTTACATACTTTGAAACCACAGGTTAGTACAAAAATGTACATAGGATGAAAGCTTTCCCCCCGATTTTGAAAGACCACACTTGGATTTTATCACTTGTTTATATTGTATAGCTTTATTTGCATTGTCAAAGTGATACTTGAAGAAACACTCAATAATACATCTGTTCAGCCTGCAGCTATTTCTTTTCAAATATAGCAAGTCGGATACTCTTACTTTGGTGCAAACAGTCTCATGGTGCAATAAACCTGGCAAGTGGAAAAGCTTGCTCTGCTAATGTGCCCATCTCTACATAACACTGAAATGACTGGGACCAAAATTCCTATAAGCAAGGAGAGGTTTGAAACCCAAGTTTTCACCTGTACCCTGCAAGGTGAAAAAACAAATCTCATGTAATATTTCCTGCCTCAGAGTGCTTTAGAATGACTGCTGTAGAACATGGAAATGAACATCTGGATTTCTGGGGGGTAGAAAAGGCTTCCCGACCTCGTTTTGCTTCGTTTTAGCATTAGTTTGAATTGTCCTTTAACTTTCAGTATCTTCCCATCCTGCTCTTCCACTTACATTTTGGCATGAGACTTACTAGGTGTCCCATTTAAGCCAAAGCACAAAGGAGGCTTCAAAGGCAACCCAAACCACCCGCCCCCTTTCATGCAATCTCTCTCCTCCCCCTTCCTTCCTGCACACCCACAGAAAGGAGCTCCAAAATTTCTGCTTCTAATTAACAGCAGCTTGCCGCGTTGTTTGAACAGCTAGCCTTGATGATGAAAAGCAGAAAGAAGCCAGCTTCAATGCGTAAGCTTGTGAACCTTTGTTTTTACTAGCTATAATCAAGTTTCTACTAACTATAATCAAGACACATTTAAGGCTCATTTGAATTAATCTTTTAAATTTGAAGCAGCTTTGGGTCTCGTCGCCACATAGGAGAAAGCCAGGCTAAAAGTCAACATTAGATCTAACTGCTGCCAAAGTACTTTTCTTTATAAATGTAAATATAGCGAAAACCACTTTAAGAACACAGCACTGCCTTAGTAGCATTCAGTAAGAAAAATGGAGGTGGTAGATAAAAGCTTGGCCCTTTTTGTGTACCTGCAGGTCCCACTATCCAAACGCTTGTTATGCAAAAAATCATCTAAAAACAAGGAATTAGTACCCAAACCTCGTTATACACACTGCAGATTCAGATATCCAAACAGCCAGACCTGTTTAAACAAATAAGCAGCCTTAAACGAGCCTTACTTATTTGTGTTTTGCTGGTAGATAGCAGCCATTTCACCAGAACAAGGCAGGAAGGGGGATTGGACAACTATAGAGAGCTTTCCCACCCCCTTCCTTGTTTACCTTTCACAAGCTTTCAGAGGGTTTTCCAGTGTCCCTGCCCCCTCCAATCATTTTGAGGTGAAAATTCCATGGTCAGGAACACATTAGAAATTTCCCCATAGGAATCAATGGAAATGGCAAGCGCTCGCCTAACAAACGTTTTCCTGAGAGTGCATTGTTTGGAGAGAGACACCTGCATATATTAACATTCTTTTTCGTATCCTGAGGTCTTGAAATGAAGCAAGAGGCAAAAACAGTAAATGAGTCACTAAAGACATTAAGGCAGGGCCTGAGAAGATACTGGGATGGGGTGTAGATTTGAATGGTCCCCCTAGCATACAGCAGAAGATAGCACCATGAAAGGCCAGGTAGTAAAGGTTTTTGGTGGCTAACCACACTACAGTATCAACAAGCGTTATAAAATCATTTTTTATTCAAGAGACTATAGTGGAACAGGTATGGGTTACGTATTATAACGTCATTCCTTATCCTCAAAAAAGAATGTGTACTTAAAGCAGGGGTTCTTCCTCCTCCTTATGCTGGTATTGGTGAAAAGGATAATGTAATGCTCCTTTAAGAAGATTTTTTGTAGTAAGAAATATCAGCGTCCTGCAATGAACAAAAAGCACAACTTAGTCCAGACTGCTCTTAATTTCATTTATACTTAAGTATACCCGAAGGAGAGGCCCTGTATACCTGAAGACGCATCTCCACCCCCATTGTTCAGCGCGGACACTGAGGTCCACTTCCGAGGGCCTTCTGGTGGTTCCCTGACTGCAAGAAGTGAGGTTACAGGGAACCAAACAGAGGGCCTTCTCAGCAGTGGCACTCACCCCGTGGAATACCCTCCCATCAGATGCCAAGGAGATAAATATACAGCTTATATAAGCTGGTCTCTGATCGTAATAAATTATCTATCTACAGCTTTTAGAAGACACCTGAAGACAGCCCTGCATAGGGAAGTTTTTAATGTTTGATTAAATATTTAAAATGTTATTATGCTTTTATATTTGTTGGAAGCCGTCCAGAGTGCCTGGGGCAACCCAATCAGTTGGGTGGGTTACAAAGAACAAAAACATTTTTTTAACACTCCTCCAACTGGGGTGTAAGAAAGAGGACCACTTTCACTGCCTAACAGCTTTAATGCATCATGGGATTAAGAGAGCATAACTTAAGGAAGGATCCAAAGAGTTGGGCCAGAGCTTTTGCCACCACATGCCCCTCCCCTCTTCCTCCCCATACAGCTTTTGAAAATACACTCTGGGAACCTAAATGAATACTGCAAAGGCAGAGATGTGAGAGGATGCCTTTTGTTCCGATCCTGCTTCTTCCACCTCTTCTGGCAAACAGCATGAAACCGGATCCTGCTTATTTCTCATTTTAAAACCCTCCAATAAAAACAGGCTGATCTGAACACTTTGGCCCATATAGAGGATGAACACAAGCAGCCCACAAAGTGGGTTGAGACAATACATTGCAAGGGGGCAAATGAAGACGGGGTCATACGCCACTCAGCCTTCACACATTTTTTTCTGGCTGAATAGGCTAGAGCAGAGTTTCCCAATCTTGGGTATCTCCAGCTGTTGCTGGACTACAAGTCCCATCATCCTTAGGCCAGGGATTAAGTCCCATCATCCCTAGTGGCCAGGGGTGATGGGACTTGTAGTCCGAAAACAGCAGGAGGAGACCCAAGTTTGCGAAACCCTGCGCTAGAGTGATAACGGGACATAAGAACAGCTCTTGCTTGAAGGACGTACCTCTCCTCTTTTGAAATTCTCAATTCGCTTCTTCCCTAGGCGGTTCAACAACCACCATGCCCAGGTAGGTGTGTATTGCCAGAGGTAACAGACTGCCAGGTATGGATGGTCGCTGATCCAGGCTTCCTTTATATCGTTAGCCATGCTGATCAGTGTTAGTCGCACGCAACGGCTGGTTTCCATTTTGTGAGACTGATCCCCAACGTTTGCATTTGCCTGGATGGGAGAGCAGGGGGTTAGGGAAGAGAGTAAGCTGGAGAGGGAGCATGCGATCTCCCGAGGATCACAGAGTGGTTTGCTGCGTAAGATCTTTCTTTTTTAATTATTTATTTGGTTTTTCAGATTACAGTTTTACAATCCCATATACAACATAAAAACAAGATTCCATAGAATCTCCTGAACTTCCCTCCTCCCCTTTGTGGGTCCTATTGTTAGTCATTTCCTCCTGCATCTTTTATAATAATCCAAATATTTTACATCTCCATTTTGTCCGAAATTCACAGTTAAACTGCAAGTGTTATTCCAATCCTACTAACAATTTTAACTGTTTACAATGGTTTTTAAGATAAATTATAATTCCTGCCCCCCTACAGTGTAAGATCTAACCGGCCAGGCCAGATAGGTTTGCCACACCTGTGCCAGGTGTGAGCTAGGAGGCAGGTGAGCTGGATGGGAATTGGCCCATGCTGTCCCCAAGATGGAGGCATTGATACAACCATATCAGCGTAAAAGGGACACAGTTCAATATGCCAGTCCACTTTCAGAAGGCTGTATCTGTGCTAAGAGTAGAAAATGTGGCATTTTGCCCTTGCCCATTTATGCTGCAAGCAAGAACTCACAGTACACCCGATGAATTTATTACCGTGACCACATTTGGACAATCTTATCTTTGTCGTGTTTAATAGATGGACTGGTAAGATTTTTTAAGTGTACTTTTTTGCTTTCTTCTTTGTGTCTTAAATTGTTTTGACCTGCCCTGAGATCGCTAATGGTGAGGGGCAGAATATAAATCTTTATAAAACAAACAATCTCTCATCTTAGTAAGCAAAGATCTGGTTTTTATGTCCCCATCGTAAAGAAAGGGGCTGTGTGCTTGCTCAGCAAGGCTTGTTCATCTTTCTAACAAAGTCTCTGTGTGTCATATATCTTTGAAGGCAACCTCTAGGACACGGTTAAGGAACCTCTGGTAGCCTAGACCTTGTTGTACTCCCAACTCCCATAATCCCTGTGTTCCCATCCCTGACTTAGTGGGAGCGGGGCGCAGTGTGGAGTCCTGGGGCCTAAAAGCCGGGGAGAGTTCTGGACAGCCGAAAGGGGTGTCAAGTATTCATGGGAAGAATTATGCTGAGTTTGGGGCAGGGGCTTATGAGGAAAAAGGCCTAGATTGTGTGACCCCGAGTTGATAGAAAAAGCTGCTCCCCTAAACTGGATCACTATCTTACAAGCAGCTTCAGTAGGCCTCAAAGCTACCTTAATGTCCTGGCTTATTTGAGCTGAGATATTATTGTCTGAAAAGGCTTGGTACGAACTCTTTCAGGCTTACTTATCTGGACAGTGTTCAGGCACATTAATCATAAATTCAGTCACTGCGAGCGATTGGTGCTCCGTTGCATTTTAGGAAGAAACGGCTTTGCAACCTGAAAGTTTCTTGCTTTTAAAAAAACAAAAGTGGATGAGAGGCCAGCCGGAGCAATTTGGATTTACGGGCTATGACTACATAAGAGTTTGGCCTTGCCAGAGGATTACAGAATAGCCAGCAAGACAAAAGAAGATCTGTGCAAGCGGCAGACCCGAGTTGCCTCTGTGAAGGCTACTGTGTTTGGCCTTTCAAAACCCACTCCTTTAAAAAAAAAAACATAGATGGGACACGAAATTCAGAACCACACAGAACACCTACAAAAACACAAAACTCGCCCCAGCATTGAGTTGTATTTGGAGAGCATCGCATTGGCTAGCCTAAGCTTGTTCTAGACTTGCACGTTTCCTATATATGTAGGCACCTTGGGGGGGGGGATGTCGGGGAGCATTTGGAGACACGATTGCCCTACCCGTGTCCTGAAGTGGTACAGTCCGGGAAGGACTGAACCCTCTACCTGGAAGCTGTCATACAAGATGCTGTGGGTCTTTTTTTAAAAAAATATTTTATTTCCACTGTGCTTCCAAGGAGGAGAATATGAAGCCATCTAGAGACTGGAATCCATTCATGAAGAACCTTGTGTGATTTTGTTATTGTTGTTCTGGCTTCGATTAATAAGCGGTGAGTTATTAGCTTATGGAGGAATAACGTTTTAAGGTGCAATCCTAACCATGTCTGCTCAGAGGTTAGTCCTATTCAATTCAATGAGGCTTCTAGGTTAAACTACTTAACAAACTAGCTTTATAAATATTTAGTGACAACTCTAGGTGATATCTAACTGCGCACAGCAATAATGACCCTTAACTATATTTCTTTGATTTCACAACCTCTTCTAATCCCAGTTAACACGGTCCTTTAATCATCTCAACCTTTCTTACCTTCGCAATATCTTCAGTGAAGACGTTTTGTATGATCTGTGACTGCACAGGCCCCGGGCAGATGTTAATTATACTTATCCCGGGATAATCAGCGAGCTCAGGTCGGAGAGAGTTGAAGAAGCCCTGAGAAACAACAAGAGCCTGACAGTTAAAAGTACCAGCTTTCTTCCCCCAGGCTCAAACAGGACGGAATCTCTTAGGAATCTCAGATAACCTGCACTGGGATGCACCAAGGGCCATAGTTCAGTGGCAAAGCATCTCCTGTGCATGTAAAAAGGTAAAGGGACCCCTGACCATTAGGTCCAGGTGTGGCTGACTTGGGTTGCGGCGCTCATCTCGCTTTACTGGCTGAGGGAGCCGGTGTACAGCTTCCGGGTCATGTGGCCAGCATGACTAAGCTGCTTCTGGCAAACCAGAGCAGTGCACGGAAATGCTGTTTACCTTCCCGCCGGAGCGGTACCTATTTATCTACTTGCACTTTGACGTGCTTTCGAACTGCTACGTTGGCAGGAGCAGGAACTGAGCAACGGAAGCTCACCCCATCGCAGGGATCGGCAAGTCCTAGGCTTAACCCACAGCGCCACCGTGTCCCTTCTGTGCATGTAGAAGGTCTCAAAATTAACCCCCAACATCTTTGGACGTAGGGCTGGGAGAGAACCCCTGTGTGAAACCTTGGAGGTCCCTTGCCGGCCAGGGTGGACAGTACTAGGTTGGTATAAGTCAGCTCCCTGTGTTCCTTACAAACCACAGTTGTCTCATCTATCACAGATTGGGGCAGGGCGGTGAAATGTTCACAGGGGAACAGTTAGGGGCAGAGGCATCAGCTTACGAAGGTGATTGTGGGGCGGGGACCGCCTCTCCTGGTATGTCCCACAGAGGACCCTACGGTCTTCAAACAAAAACATCTTGGAGGTCCCGGGCCACAGGGAGGTTAGGCTGGCCTCAACCAGAGCCAGGGCTTTTTTGGCCGTGGCCCCGATCTGGTGGAACGCTCTATCACAAGAGACTAGGGCCCTGCAGGACTTGACATCTTTAGGCAGGGCCTGCAAGACAGAGCTGTTCCACCAGGCCTTTGGCTGAGGCACAGTCTGACCCCCTCCTTTGGTAATCCTCACCAGAACTCTAGCCCAATGGTTGCCATTAATTTGATTCTGAATTGATTTTAGAATGAACTGATTTTTGAATGCTGTGTTACTTTTATTGTTGTTAGCCACTCTGAGCCCGGCTTCAGCTGGGGAGGGCGGGATATATATAAAATTTTATTATTATTATTATGTTGCACGCATGAGCATCACACTTCCCTCCCTAAGCTGGGCAGAAGCTTCCTGGGCTTGGGGAAGGAGGTACCAGGGGAACATTTAGGGAACTAGCCTAGTTCACTGACCGCACGCCACTGGGGAAGGGGGACCAAGTCTGTGAGAGAGTCATTTGCCAAAGGCCACCTAGTGAGTCCATGGCAAAGGCAAGAGTCTCCGATACAAGCCATGAGCAGTCGAAGACCGGAAGAGAACCCTTACCTGCAGGGCGTGTTTGCTGGCGCAATAGCCGGTGGCCAAGGGAGCTCCCATGATGCCCATCACGCTGCTGATGGTGACAATCTTCCCCTGTTTCCTCTGTATCATGTGGTCCAGGACGTATTTCGTTAGGGAGATGGTGCCAATGTAGTTGAGCTCCATGATAGCCTTGTAGACATCGATGGACGTGTCTACATAGAGGGAGCGCTGGGAACGGCCGCCGTTGTTCACCAAGACGTCGATCTTTGGGAACAAGAGGGGAAAAGTTAAGCATTTGCAAGGATACAGGGTGGGGAAACCCCTAAAACTTGATTTTTCTGTGGAGAATTCCCCTTTCAAAAGACAGATACCAATTGCAAATTTGCAAAATTTTCAGCTTTGTTTTACTAAGTAAAAGGAAAATAAGCATGCTGAATTAGGTAATCCTAGGGGTTGCCCCGAAGACTTATTTATTGAGCATTCATTCTGATTTGTTTGTGCAAAGCTTGCATGAAGGTTAGGCTGTATCTGCACTTAACTGAGCATTTGTTCTGGTCTTTTGGCAGGGAGGTAAAACAGCAATGAGCATCTTCACTTTCCTAACTACAAAAGTTACTTTCTTTTTTCCACAAGGCATCAGAGTGCTTTAAGGTACACTGCTTGCAAATTCTGATATATAAAAACAGTGGTACCTCGGGTTACAAACACTTCAGGCTACAGACTCCGCTAACCTGAAAGTAGTACCTCGGGTTAAAACTTTACCTCAGGATAAGAATAGAAATCGCACGCCGGTGGTGTGGCGGCAGCGGGAGGCCCCATTAGCTAAAGCGGTAGCTCAGGTTAAGAATGGACCTCCAGAACGAATTAAGTTCGTAACCAGAGGTACCACTGTACCGGATATAAATACTTTTATTATTTTTAAACTGAACTCAGGATCCCAACTGCATGACTAGTTCCATGTGCCAAAAGGGGCTTTGGGTTCGAGTTTCTAGAACAGCAGCCCCCTCATGCTGCTTATGACAGCTTTTAAAACCAATTTTGGATATCTCATGAAGAGCTGGCTTTTCATGCGCCAGCTTAAAGAATGCCAAACTGCTCCACATTTTATAACAAATGACCTTTGACACCCATTTTCTGCCCCTTTGCAAACTGCGGCCAAGGCAGGTGTCCCTGCGGCTCCTCCCTCTCCCTCCAATCCACTGAGGAAAGTCTGACTTACCTTTCCAAAATGCTTCAGGACAGTTTTTGTCGCCGCTTCGTGGGCACTCCTGTCAGTCAAGTCAAGCGGCACAATGAGGATATCCTTGTCAGTGAGGCTGCTGATCTCTAAATGTGTTTTTTTTTTTAAGCCGGGGAGAGGAAAGAAGGAAGAAGAGGAACCGTTTAGAAACAGTGGTAAACAATCCTTCCTCTTCTGTTTCATTAGCCCCACAGATCTTGGGATGCAAGAGGCGCTCACATGGCCTGTGTTGCACAGAATCACCATGCAGATTGCACATGACCTCTGGCAGGTCATGCTAACATTGGGAGTGGCCTTAAATTATTGGTTAGACCAGCTCTGCACTGTCCAAATGATGACCAGGACAGAAAGGCGTGTTAAATTTCCCAGCTTTCAAATTCCAAAAAGCTGTAACATGACTTGGGAATGCAAAGGATACGCTGGTTAAATTAATACACTTTAGTATACTGGTTTAGTTTTCTGCAGGAAAGGAGTCCTTGGGTGTTTAGTATTAAAGCTCCCCCCCCCCCATCTTAAAACATACCGTATTTTTCGCTCCATAAGGCGCACCGGACCATAAGGCACACCTACCGTATTTTTCGCTCCATAAGACGCCCTTTTCCCTTCCTAAAAAGTAAGGGGAAATGTGTGTGTCTTATGGAGCGAATGCAGGGGGAGGCAGGCAGGAAAAGCCCCCAAGAGCTGCACACAAGCTCCACGCGGCTCTTGCGGGCTTTTCCCCAGGAGCGGGAAGGGACTGACGCAGCCAGTCAGTCCCTTCTCCCTCCTCGTAGAAAAGCCCACAGGAGCCGTGTGCTCCTTAAAGGGTGCGCGGCTCCTGTGGGCTTTTGTGGGAGGTGGGGGAATTGCCATTGTCGCGGGCCGCCCCGCCGGCCAGGTGCGGCTGCGCACGGCTATGGCACAAGCCAAGACAGCCAGCGGGATGGATCCCGCTCGCTGTCTTGGCTTCTTTAGCCACGTGCTTATGGAGTCTTATGGAGCGAAAAATACGGTAATCAGCCTTCAAAGGTTTCTCAATTTATTTCTATACTGAACTGTATGCAGCTATTTTCAGGGTTTGCAAACAGGTTGGCAGGCACATGAAGGAACCCTTTGATCAGCTCTGCATTTTTTTCAATGCTCTACATTGCTGCAAGGCCAGCCTCCCCCTCCCCACCCACAGAGAACAAATGATTGTAAACTGCGTAGTTAATGGATAATCATGAAGGCTAATGCAGGGACCTCGTATTTTTGCAAGCAAAATGACCCCTGTGACGTTCAAATGCTGTCTATCCATTTGACCTGATCTCTCCTTTCCATCGGTTACACACTGGAATCCAGGAGCCCTGGACAACATCTAATAGGACTTGTTAATGATTAAATCTCTAAATGCTCTCCATAAGCAAAATTGGCATGGACCTTGTTTCCTTCATTTGTTGAGCAAATATGACGTGGGCTGTGCTTGGTTTGCAAAAGCGGCTCTGGCACTGCAAGACTACAACCTTTGCCACAGATAAACTGCCCATCACTGTGACCTTGGAAACAATAACCCCTGTTTTGTGGCAAGATGCCACTGTTAGAAGTAGCTGACAACCTCTCCCCCACTTGGCAATGCTTTAATAATGGGGGAAGGTGGGTGGGAGGAACAAAGGGTGTGTTGCATCAGCAGAACAACTAGGCAAGATCGCTGCTTAGCTCAAGCTCAGCAAGGGTTCAATGGATGGAACATTTAAACCATTTGGTTGCCAGTTAAAAGAGCAGTTAAACCATCATTCTGGGTTCAAGTACAGGAAGCCCCCAGCTTACTCAGGGGTAACGGATTGTTCCTAAAACCAAAATTGCATAAAGTCAAAACACATTGGGTGCAAAGAGAGGTGGGATCGCTGAAGGCTTTTTTCCTGGATGCCCACCCTATTTCTGTCCCCTTCTTATTTTATTGCCAAGCACATAAAGCTGAATGCACACAAGTTAAATGTGCATAAATTGCAGGCTTGCTGTATTCAGCCCCCCCAAAATTTTTTTATATGTTTCCAGGGAGAAGTGGGATGAGAATGCCCCCCAAATTTTGGATTAATATTCAGGGGCAAGGAAAATCCTAAGAATTTTCAAGGGGAGGCCTTATCTGCGCTGGCTGCCAGTTTGCTTCCAGGCACAATTCAATATGCTTGCGTTTGTGTTTAAAACCCTCACCGAGTGCTATTTTTCTAGAAAAAGAGGTGCCGGAATTCACAATGAATGCCTCCTTCTTCAGCTGCAATGGCACCCACCTGAGACATGTCGGAACTCAGCTCTGGCATGTTTTGGCTGAAAAAAAAGCCCTGCGCCTAACCAATTAGGTCCTAAATATCTGGACGTGGAAGCAATCTTCCATTCCCACCAACCTTCTTCGACATTAAGATGGGCAAAGCGGGCTTCTCTTGGTGCTTTTATCATGCACAGGCGTACAGGAAACGGTGGCCCAGGGCAGGGGTGAGAAAGCCCGTGGGCCAACTTTGACATAACAGCTTATGATGATGCTTGATTGGCAGGTGCGTTGGAAGGGACCCAACGGATCATCTAGACCAACCCTCTCCCATGCATAAAATACAGTTTCCCACCTGCAGCGGGGGATTGCAGGCACAGATATTCTAAAAGCAAAATAAAAGACAAGCTTTCAAGATAAAGAAATCCTACCAATGCACTTCTTTTTCACTCTCTCCAACTCGTTCTCCCTTCTCGCCGAGAGCGCAAGTGGCGAGCCGAGCTTTGCCAGCTGGTAAGCCATCTCCTCGCCGATTCCGCTGGAGGCTCCCGTCACCCAGACAACTTTCCCAGGCAGCTCCTTTTCTGTCGGAAGGAAGGAATGCAGTAATTTAGAGGGGTGTCTTTTCACCAGGGCAACTTTGGTTGGTGAATTTTTGTGTGCATGCACCCACCCCTATACAGTCATACCTCGGGTTACAGATGCTTCAGGTTGCATTTTTGCGGGTTGTGGACCGCCAAAACCCAGAAGTACTTACTTCCGGGTTTCGGCAGTCGCGCATACGCAGAAGCGCTAGATCGCGCTTTGGCATGCGCAGAAGCGCCAAATCGCAACCCGCGCATGCGCAGACATGCAGCTGTGGATTGCAAACGTGCATGCTGCACGGATCACGTTCGCAACCCGAGCGTCCACTGTATATAAATGGGGGTGGGTGCATACACACAAAAATTCACTCTATATACCGTATTTTTCGTTCTATAGGACGCACCGGCCCATAGGGCGCACCTCGTTTTTTGGGGGGGGAAATGAATTAAAAAAATTATCCCCCCCCCCGCCGCGGCTGCCGCCCCAAGCCTCGCGTGCTTCGGGCTGCAGGCTACCGCCCCAAGCCTCGCGCTCGGCGGGACCTCCCACCGGGCGCGCGAGGCTTGCAGACACTCGCCCGAGCACGGGAGCCCTCCGGAGGGCTCCCGTGCTCGGGCGACAGGCTGCAGCCCCAAGCCTTGCGCGCTCGGCGGGACCTCCTGCCGGGCGCGCAAGGCTTGCAGACACTCGCCCGAAGCACGGGAGCCCTCCGGAGGGCTCCCGTGCTCGGCGACTGCTGCAGCCCCAAGCCTTGCGCGCCGGCGGGACCTCCTGCCGGGCGCGCAAGGCTTGCAGACACTCGCCCGAAGCACGGGAGCCCTCCGGAGGGCTCCCGTGCTCGGCGACGGCTCGCCGGCGCCCCAAGCCTCGCGCGCTCGGTGGGACCTCCTGCCGGGCGCGCAAGGCTGCGGACACTCGCCGGGGCTGCAGGCTGCTGCCTGCAAGCCTTGTGAGCCCGCGGGAACTCCCACCGGGCTTGCAAGGCTTGCGGATAGCTCCTGAAGCCTGGAGAGCGAGAGGGGTCGGTGCGCACCGATGCCTCTCGCTCTCCAGGCTTCAGCGAAGCCTGCATTCGCTCCATAGGACGCACACACATTTCCCTTCATTTTTGGAGGGAAAGTGCGTCCTATGGAGCGAAAAATACGGTATATATATATATATATATATATATATATACACACTCGTCCCAGTATACCTAAAGGAGAATCTCTACCCACATTGTTCGGCCCGGATACTGAGGTCCTCCTCTGAGGGCCTTCTGGTGGTTCCCTCACTGAGAGAAGTGAGCTTACAGGGAACCAGGAAGAGGGCCTTCTCAGTGGTGGCCTCCGTGCTGTAGAACGCCCTCCCATCAGATGTCAAGGAAATAAACAGCTACCCGACTTTTAGAAGACATCAGCCCTGCTTAGGGAAGTTTTTAATGTTTAATGCTGTATTGTGTTTTTTAATGTTCTGTTGAAAGCCTCCCAGAGTGGCTGGGAAATCCAGTCAGATGGGCAGGGTAGAAATAAATTGCTATTGTTATTGTTTAAAAATAATATCAACACATTTCAGCAACATATTAAAGAAATAAAATGCAAATAATACAATTAAATGAAAAAAGAAAGACACACACACACACAAAGATACAAATTTAGATCATTGCACTCACTATCCCTAGGAAGAATACGAATAAATATTGAGGTTGGAAGGTAGCAACACAGAATCATAGATTTGTAGAGTTGGAAGGGACCCCGAGGGTCATCTAGTCCAACCCCCTGCAATGCAGGAATCTCAGATGAAGCATCCATGACAGATGGCCATCCAACCTCTGCTTAAAAACCTCCAAGGAAGGAGAGTCCACCACCTCTCATGGGAGTCTGTTCCACTGCCAAACAGCTCTTACTGTCAGAAAGTCCTTCCTCATGTTTAGTTGGAATCTCTTTTATTGTAACTTGAATCGGTTGATTCAGGTACAGGCTGGTTTTTTCGGCAGGCAGCAAGTGTATGTTTTTGCTAAGGCAGTTTTGTTCTTAAGGGCAAACTCCCTAGGAGTAGCCCTTGCTAGACTGGTTTAGGAAAAACAACAAGGAGTCTTGTGACTTAAGAGATTTATTATATAAATCAGTTTCCATGGGCTACTGTCTACTTCATCTAGACCAGGAGTAGCCAGTGTGGACAGCCCCATCCAGCAGGGCCAATGGCCAAGGATTATGGGTGTTGTAGTCAAAAGGATGATGGGCTTTGTAGTCAAGCAACATCTGAAGGGCACTATGTCAGTTAAACCACAGAGCCTAGGACTTGCCGATCAGAAAGTCGGCGGTTCGAATCCCTGCGACGGGGTGAGCTCCCGTTGCTCGGCCCCTGCTCCTGCCAACCTAGCAGTTCGAAAGCATGTCAAAGTGCAAGTAGATAAATAGGTACCACTCCGGCGGGAAGGTAAACGGCGTTTCCGTGCGCTGCTCTGGTTCGCCAGAAGCGGCTTAGTCATGCTGGCCACACGACCCGGAAGCTGTACGCCGGCTCCCTCGGCCAATAAAGCGAGATGAGCACCGCAACCCCAGAGTCGGTCACGAGTGGACCTAATGGTCAGGGGTCCCTTTACCTTTACTTTATGTCAGTTACCCCTGATCTACACCATAAATGCTTCCACAAGACGTTGCCCATGTGCTGCTGACTTGATGTTGCTGGATGTTACAATCCCTTCAGCCAACATGGCCACTGGTCAGGGATGATGCAAGTTTTAGCTCAGGAACATCTGAGGACATTACACATGGGCTACCCATGGTTTAAACTGCAACATTTTTTGCCTTTTAAACATGCCACAAACTCTTTTTTTCATTAGCAGGCACACACATGCTTTCCAATTTGAGCTTTTCATTCTTTATAGGGGGATTTCATTCTTTGGGGAATACCTTATAATTTTTTGCTGAAGTGCTGTTTTTCGTATCGTGGCTTCTTAGCTGCCCTGAGATCCCCAGGAAGCCAGCAGGATATGTTTCATTGATAGATAGATAGATAGATAGATAGATGATAGATAGATAGATATAAATACATGAATGAATGAATAAGGCGGTTTTGGCTAAGCAAGATCCAGTTTATCTGTAGGCAACAGAGGAAAGTCAACTCCACGCAACATAAACTTCTGTGTTCTTGCACAAACTAAGCTCCCTTGCTGCATCAACAGAAAGAACTCTGTGCTCACCAAATTCTCAGAAATTGCAAGCGACAAGGCAAACAAAGGGATTCCTTGCTAAATCGCTTTCTTCATCATGGGCTTCTCTTTAGCAACAGATACCATGTAGGTGTTTGCTCTCTCAATTGTTTCACATAGGTCTGAAGGCGAACGAAACACTGTTTGCAGTCATGGACTGCACTCCAGAGACAAGGAGTCGGCCCACATTTTCCTCACTTACACACACACACACACAACCCCCTGCTTGTGACCTAAACCCTTAACCCTGAAGAGAAGACTATAGAACTCATTCCCTTCTAGTATAAAAGGACATTTTGGGGCGTTTTTTTACATGGAGGAAGCACTTTTTTTTAAGAGCAATATAGCCTGTGAGGTTCACAGAATCGTAGAGTTGGAAGCCACTCCGGGGGGCATCTAGTCCAACCCCCTTCTATGCAGGAATCTCAGCAAAATTGCGTCCGTCTGAGATCATTTGCAGGAGTGCTGTTGTTGGTTGTTCCCCAAGCTGATGAGGCTCATTTTGCAACAAGAAGCAGGGTCTTTAGTGTCATGTCGAACATCCTGCCAATGGAGATTCAGCAGACACCTTCTGTGCCAATTTTTAAATGCCTGCTGAAAATATTTCTATTCTGTCAGGTCCATGAAGGCAGTAAATACTACATCCTTCTGCAATGGTTAATGGATGTTTGGTTTTTTACTATTTAATGGTATTTTTATTGCGCAGTTTTATGTTGCTATTGCTGTAAACTGCTTCGATTTTTTTAAAAAATGATGCAGCAGTATACAAATATTTTTTATAAATAAATAAATAGAACGTGCACTCTTTTTAGTTTATGTAAAGAGCAGCTGCAGGAGGGGATCAGGGAGTTCGGAGGAGAAACATAGTTCTCTCTCCCTGCATTTCACGGGAAGCTTCCATTGCCGCCAAAGGGATAGTCCCTGGAAAGGCAAAGAAAGAATTCAAAGAGGCGATGGCAGCTGGGAGAGAAAGGGTTAATTCTTGCCCCTTACTCCCCTGTCCGGGCTGCTGCTTACAAAACAAAAGCTGTGATTATGTGATGTCCTCATTGGCCTTTGGGCAATTAAGATTAGATGCAATTGTTTTCCACCGCCCTGAACCAGGAGCGGGCTGTCAGAACTGACGTCTTGAAGCTTGTCCAGCTCGACAGATAGTTAAAAGAAAGGTAACATTGTGACTCTACTGTTGCCTCTTGAATTTTGAAGGGGGGAACTTTGGATAAAGTGTATCTGGAAAAGAAAGACTGTTGCTGATGATTTTCTCCGTTATAAAAAAAAGGAGAAAAAAAGGTTTTCCTCTAGTGGGATTTAGTGAAACTGCAACGCAGAGAGCTTAAAAGTGAAGGACTATAATCGTGGGAAAGAATTTTCTTTGACCCTGAAGGACAATGCTTGTACAAAGGCTTGAACAAATGTTCCTGGAAGGTTTTTCAAAACTAAGTGCCCAGCTGGACCAGATGCGTCAGGAGACGACCTTGATGACGGAAGTTACCAGAGCACAGCAGCAAGTAAATGGAACTCAGTTAAAATATCTACAAGTATATGAACCTGCTGTAGTGATGGAGGCTTCAGAGATTGAGGGACCTTTGGACCGGCAGGATCAGCCTTTGAACTTGATAAATGAACTTGGGATAAATCAGATTCGGAAAGATGAAATGTGGTTAGATTTGTAAATGGGGGATGGATTGACCCCCCTTTATATGGTTATCTGGACTTTCCGAGTCTGGTGATGGGCCATCAGAGGATTGGAGTAGTCGGAGCCTCCAAGTTTCAAGGAAACTTGAAGTGGTATTATCTGCTGTCTGGCTTGGACAATGGGCATGGGATGGACTTGTTGCAAAGGGTCAAAAGTATCTTTCTGCTGGAGTACCCACGACTGAAAGGGAAACATCAAGAAGAGCTGCGAAAGGGGCAAGAAAGAGATTTGAGGGCCTCGGACACGAGACAACCAGGTTAAGGAGCCGGACTATTGAGGTTAAAAGGACTGACAATCCCGGGTCCAGGGAGAGGGACGCTGGAAGTTGACTGGATTGTGTCTGACTTATTATCTTATTTTATTTTTCTATTTTTCAATATTGGGAACGTTCATAAATGTTTGAAAGATGTTGAATGAAACTATATGGCTTAAGTAAGGATTGGTAAATGATTTGCAAAAAGGTAATGATGTAAGAATTTGGTAAATACTGAATATAAGCTTTGAGTTTTAAAGTTCTTATATGACAAGAGGGAAAGTAGAATAAGGAAATGTAATGATAGAATGTTATGAAAAAACAGAAAGGATTTGCTGTAAAAATTAAAAATTAAGAAACAAGAGGGGAGGAGGAGGAAGTCTAGAAAGGAAGTTAATAGAGATCGTAAATGATTTTATACTTTTGTTTTTCTTTTTTTCTTTTTTTCTTTATGGTTGGTTTTTTTTCTTTTTTATTTCTTTATCGTTTTTGCTTTTTGTATTTTCAATTTTTTTGGAAATTTTTGTTGTTATTCTTTGAAAATTTAATAAATATTAATTAAAAAAAAAAAAAAAAGATTAGATGCAATTGTATTTGCACAAAGGCCCTTGACACCCAGCGGAGAAATTTCAAGGTGGAAGAGATGTATTTAGGATACGTTTGAGGGTATCTGATGGCCTATTCTGGTGTTTGGGGTGTATGGGGTGTTAGGGAAAGACTATACCTCTGGTGGAGGACATATCACGATCTTTTGGGGTATTTTGTCCACCTTTGGTCCCCCTCTTGCACTCAGGTCTCACCTGTGGCTGTCAGAATGCGACAGCGGCCACACCCTAGGAATGGCTCTGACTGGCTGGCTAAACCAGGTGAGGGTAGTCGATGGGCTTCGTTGTTGTTGTTCAGTCATTTAGTCGTGTCCGACTCTTCGTGACCCCCTGGACCAGAGCACATCAGGCACTCCTGTCTTTCACTGCCTCCCGCAGTTTGGTCAAACTCATGTTCGTAGCTTCAAGAACACTGTCCAACCATCTCGTCCTCTGTTGTCCCCTTCTCCTTGTGCCCTCCATCTTTCCCAACATCAGGGTCTTTTCCAGGGAGTCTTCTCTTCTCATGAGGTGGCCAAAGTCTTGGAGCCTCAGCTTCAAGGTCTGTCCTTCCAGTGAGCACCCAGGGCTGATTTCTTTAAGAATGGATAGGTTGGATCTTCTTGCAGTCCATGGGACTCTCAAGAGTCTCCTCCAGCACCATAATTCAAAAGCATCAATTCTTCGGCAATCAGCCGCCTTTATGGTCCAGCTCTCACTTCACCCAACTGCAATTGCCTATCACCTTTGCTGGAAAGTATTAGTGAAACTGATACACAGCCAATGTAAGCCTGCAGTACAGATCTGAGAGTTGCAATGCAACTGCATTTCGGGACTATTTTGGCAAGAGGATGGGGGTCTAGCCCTGACATTAGGCGGCCCAGCCCTCTGTGGTATTGTTCCCCAGAAGGCCGCAATCTCTCTCTGTCTACAATTTACAATCCAACCGTCATAAAGGCAAGCATGCTGCAACTGCTTTTTAAAAGCAAAGAGCTCAACAGCCAGCCAGCCATAAGGAGGCTGTTTCTGCAATTGCTCCGTCTGGTTCAGCGCAGATAAGAACAGAGCCCAGAACATCTGGAGGGTGAAAGATTGGGGGAGGCTGGGTTAGACAAATCAGAGGGACATTGTTGGCTATAGGTTACAAGAGCCAATGTAGAAGGACCGTACCCAAGTAATAGATACCAAGACAACACATTCTCCCCTCTGAATGAGGGGCATTTGACTAGATACGAAAAGGCTTTTGATCCAATAGAGACACCCACAAACAAAATGGAAGGTTGGGGTTTTTTTTGCTGATTTCCCTATTCTCTGGCATTTTTCCACCCTGCATCAGCTGCAGAAGCCAGGAAAGCTACCACCAGGGCCAAGCAGATGCCAGCAAGGTTAATGAATAGAGTCAAGGAAGCTGGTAGAGGCAAGGAACACAAATTGCTGCAGAAATGGCAGTGGATACTAAGGGAGGCAATAAATAAATTTGAGGAGCACCACTAAACAAACACATTTAATGCATTAGGAAACCCGCTAGGCAGTTGGATCTTTGGACCAAAAGGGAGTTAGAAGGAGACTTCAGAGAACCTGAATGAACTACCGTATTGGCCTGAATAGAAGCTGCCCTTTTTTTTTCCAAATTCCAACTATGAAAAATTAAAGTGCGGCTTAAATTCGCGACCTTACAAAAATTGGCTCAGAGTTACAATTCTACCAACCGCAGCAATTTTCAGCCTGTAACCCAATTTTAAGGGAGCGGCTTATATTCAGGTATTGTCTTTTTTTTATTTCCCCCCCCCCTTGAATTTTAAAGGTGTGGCTTATTTGCAGGCGCGGCTTATATTCGGGCCAACGTGTTATTTACATCTGTCTTCACGGTGAGAGATGTAGGGCAGATCCCTTACCTAAGCTAACTTTCTCAAGAAGAGAGCCTAAGGGACAGAGGCAAAAGGTGATGACGGGAAATGACGTTCTAGGCCTTCTTGAGAAATTAAAAAGGAACAAATCATCCACGGAAGGAGTTCTTAACTCAAATGTGGAACTGCTGGTCTTCCAGCAAAAAAGTTGTAACTTGTCCCTAAGATCAGCTTGACACTTGCAGCTGTACTTGTGCATACAGTTCTGGTCACCATACCTGCAAAAGGATATTGTAGTGTTGGAAAAGCAAAGAGCAACCAAAATAAACTGAGGGGTGTAGCAACTTCCGCCAGTTTACAGCAGCATCTGTGTGAACAGAATCCTAGATCAGATGGCCTTTGGGCTGATTCGGCAGGGTTCTGTCTTATGCCTTTAGCACCAGGCCCTGCAAAATTCCTGCTGGCACCCTATGTGATTCAGAGTGAGGTCTAAGAGCCAGAGTTGGGATTTCCTCTCTGAAAATCTGCGTACATGGGCAAAAATGCATATATAAATCAGCACACGCAGATCTGTGGGCCTGTACCCAACTCTGTCAAGTGACTAGGAATGCCCCTGCCTAGACAGGATGCAATTTCTGAGCTACATTCAGCTTGGAGGGTTCTGAGTTGTGCAAGATGGTAGCAGAATTTTCCAGCACGGCAACAGCTGCCAAGAAGCACACATGCAAGCATTTGTCCTTCACAGATGTTTGCAAATTGTCTGGCATACGCTGTTCCTTTGGCTCCAACAATCACTTTTTGTGTTTCCAGATTTCCCTCCTTAGGCTGAAATCCTAACTCCATTTGCCTTTAAGTAACTCACATTGAATGCCATAGGTCTTACTTTTGAGTATGTTTTTCAATAAGGTTAAAACGCACACAATAGCAATATAATATTTTACCTTTTTTTACCTATTTAACCCTCCTGGAAAGGAATGGGTTATTATCCCTTAAATGTACATACAACCAATTGATTAAAGGTCCATAAAAACGTGTTTTCTCCATATACATTTTTCTTTCCAGTACTGGAGTGTAGATTCATTTTTCGTAGGGGTTGTGACTAAAATAGAAACCACGAGCCAGATTCAACTACTCATTTCCGTTAGCAGAAAACAGAACAAGGACTCCCACTAGGGCAACATGGCTTTCCCCCTCTCCTCCCCCTGCATGCCCCCCTATCTCCCCCAAATCTGCTCTGGAGGATCGGGGAAAACCCCCCAAATAGCTGGGGGAGGAAAGGGGAGATTGTTCCATCAGGCAAGCAGAATAGCCTGCGTTGAGAAAGTAATCTCCTTGCAGTGTTTCTCAAACTTGGGTCCCCAGTTTTTGCTGGACTCCAATTCCCATCATCCTTAGCTAGCACTACCAGTGGTCAGGGATTATGGGAGTTGTAGCCAACAACAGCTGAGGACCCAAGTTTGAGAAAGGCCGCTAGGGCTACGCTGAATTCTACCCCAAGTCCAGGAATGGAGGACGGTAGTTATTCAGGGTTAGCCATCACCCGAATTTTGGACATTTCTCTTTCATTGCTGGACTCTGTCTTTTTAAATCCGTGTTGTTGAATGCAGTGGTACCTCTAGTTAAGAACTTAATTTGTTCCGGAGGTCCGTTCTTAACCTGAAACTGTTCTTAACCTGAAGCTAATGGGGCCTCCCACTGCTGCTGCCACGTGATTTCTGTTCTTATCCTGAAGCAAAGTTCTTAACCCAAGATACTATTTCTGGGTTAGCGGAGTCTGTAACCTGAAGCGACTGTAACCCAAGGTACCACTGTACAGTGAACAAACTGCGTCAGAGCTGGGGAACCAATGGCCCTCCAGATATTAGCTGGGCTACAATTCCCATCGTTCCTGACCACTGGCTATGTGGGTTGGGGCTGATGGGAGTTGGGAGTTCAGCAACATCCAGGTGACACCAAGTTCCCCTACCCCTGAACTACATGGTGGAAGCAGCTACTCTGCTGCGGAATGGTTTGTTTTGTTTTTAAGATACACACGTATGCACACAGGATGAACGCACAAAGCCTTCTAATTTAGGACAGTGGGGCTTAATTCTGAGTAAGCCATGTATTGAATCAGGCTATGGGGTGGTTTGATTTCACAGAAACACACTTCACCACTCACATAGCTCAGCCAGTTGAGCATGAGACTCTTAATCTCAGGGTTGTGGGTTCGAGCCTCGCTTTGGGCAAAAAGATACCTGCATCTCAGGGGGTTGGACTAGATGACCCCCATAGGACCAAATTTACCCCCGTGGTCCCTTCCAACTCTGTGATTCACCTGACAGCAAGCTAAAACTCACAGGCCTATCCCAAAACTTGATCTCACACTACGAAACCAAACCCTTTCCAATCCTGTGGCTGCACCAATTGTTTCACCTGTCGCTGGTTGCTGTGCGGAAAAGACTTGCTACCTCAGCCCAAGCTAGGCAAGATTGCAGGTTGTCCAGATTTTTTTAAAGCAGCAAATGCAGCAACTGACAAAGGGTGACTTGGACAGTGTTAGCGGATGTGTGTATAAAGGCATTTCCCTTCAGGGGCAAATCAAAATATAAAATATTTGCCGAATGTGAATAGATATCTTTTCAAAATCAAGTGCCACTGGGAGTTGTTTCTTCTTGTTTTCCAAAGTGTTTCTTATTTAAAAATAAATAAATCTGTGTGATGCAAACAAATTTTTATTGCCCAGTGTTGCCCAGACTCTTACTTAGTCCTTAATTGCTAAACCACAGTTTCTCTATCATAGCCATTAGGCTTCGTTTCAGTTGCTTTCCAGCTGAAAGGCCACACCTATGTTGCCCCACTTAATCTCAAAAAAATGTGCCTAGAAAATTGCTGTAGGCAGGCCAGCCTTTGCCAAATTAGTTCCCGATTGTACCTCCCACCAGCCCCAGGTAGCAGGGTTTATACCTAGCTGCTGAAAGTTGATGAGTTTGCAAACCAAACCTGCTCCACTCCCTCGCCTACAAGGGGGCAACACTTCTGGGCAATTGCACATACGGATGCTCACAGGGCACGCATACACGTGAACTTGTAAATCTGTGCTTTGCTATCCAGAGCTTAAAAACAGGTGTCTTTGGAGAGGTTCCCTGCAGAGAGCCGCTGCAAGTGGGCGCAGACTGGGGTAGCCATCCTGGTGAGCTCCAGATGTTACCCAACTCCAGCGCGCAAAATCGCTACCCATTGATCATTTTGACCCAGGCCATCCAGGAGGGCACCACGTTGGCTACCCCTGACTCCCAACAGGGCAGCTCTCTGCGTTCGGGGATGGAGAAGTGTTTGGACACGTCCTGCCACGTCCCACACGGAGAGGGGAAGCGAAGAAGGCGAAAGAGGAGGAGGAGCGCAACGCGCGCTCCGGGGAGAGAACCAGAGCGCCGCGGGCCCGGCGCGCCGCTTACCCGGCTTCTTGCCCCACCATTCCGCCGCCCACACGGTCAAGTCGCTGTCAGCTCGGAGCCAGATGGCGAGCTCGACGATCAGGTAGATCAGGAGGCCGGCCGCCGCCAGGGCGCAAACGACACCCCAGCACACCATGGCGAGAAAGAGCGCGCGACAGGCAGCCGCCGCCGCCCTTAAGAGGCAGAGGGGACGGGGCCAGGCGAGGAGGGCCGCCCTTCTCTGCCAGCAGGGAGTGTCCGTGGCTCCGGAGAGGCCCCATACAGGGCTGAGCCGTCCCCGGAGGGGTGGAGTTGCCGCGCGCGGTTCTCTCCAACAAAGCGGCTACCGCCCCCTTCGTTGCGCGCGGCATTCTGTGCAGAGGCTGGAGGCGTGGAAGGTTTCCAACTGCCCAGAGAAGGAGCCCTGCTTGGCCTGTTCCTGTGGCTTTCACAACATAGAATCGTAGACTTGGAAGGGATCCCGAGGGTCTTCTAGTCTAGTCCAGACCCCTTGCAAAGCAGGAATTTCAGCTAAAGCACCCATGACGCATGATCATCCAACCTCTGCTTAAAAACTTCCGAGGAAGGAGAGTTCGCCACCTCTCCAGGGAGACCGTTCCACTGCCGAACAGCTCTTGCTGTCAGAAATGTTTTTCTCGCTCTCGGAATATCAGCGCGCGTGTGAGCATCCACTGTTGGAAGATTCAGGATGAAGAAAAGAAAAGGCACCACAAAGCGTTGATGGCCACCCATGACTTATGTTTATGGCTTTTGGCTAGAACAATAAACTTTGTGACTTCCCTATGTTCATATATTGGTAATTTCTAGGGTCTGTGGTGCCAGATGATGCCAGTGTTGTTTTCAGCAATTTTAAAGACACTTAAATTGCACCTACAAGCAGCCTTCTGCTGGGCCTCTTCCAGCACTGGCAATTCTCTGCGCAGAAGAGATGTTCGTTTGCTCTCCCCAAGCTTGCTTTCAGTAGGTTCTCCCTGGAAACTAAAAGTTAATACTGTTAATCGTTAACTCGTTGCATCCAGCACCCTCTTGTTTACTAGAACCCTTGGAGGTTGTTTCTCTAGAAGGGTACAGAAAAATTACTCTTGGAGGCCACTGGTTACACTCCTCCACACAACTAGCCAAACTTGTTATTGTGGGTCCAGGCAAAATACTGGCTTTCCAACCACAATTGTCTTGGCTGTAGTTTGCGCCTTTGGTTTCATTCAGTGTTTATTGCTCCCTGCCCCCAAAGAAATTTGAAATACCACCCAAGCTCTTGTCTCACTATAAACTGCTCAGCATAACATGAATGCATTAAAAGATAAGGAATTGACAGGAGCAATATTTTCTTTTTGAGATTTTGCTAATTTAAACACCACGGTGTTGTGAAAAAAGTGAGTTTGTTATCTTTTTTTGGAAAGATGCATTTGAATTATTTTTTATCCTACCCACCCCTCTCCAAAGCATGAGATATAGTAAAGGTACCCCTGCCCGTACGGGCCAGTCGTGTCCGACTCTAGGGTTGTGCGCCCATCTCACTTAAGAGGCCGGGGGCCAGCGCTGTCCGGAGACACTTCCGGGTCACGTGGCCAGCGTGACGAAGCTGCTCTGGCGAGCCAGTACCAGCGCAGCACACAGAAACGCCGTTTACCTTCCTGCTATAAAGCGGTACCTATTTATCTACTTGCACTTAGGGGTGCTTTAGAACTGCTAGGTGGGCAGGAGCTGGGACCGAAAGTCGGGAGCTCACCCCGCCGCGGGGATTCGAACCGCCGACCATATGATCGGCAAGTCCTAGGCACTGAGGTTTTACCCACAGTGCCACCCGCGTCCCCGCCAAAATATGAGATATAGAGTATGCATGAGATATAGAGTATGCAAAAGTTATTAAATGACTGAGAGTTCCTGATGAACCAAATAATCTGTGTGCCAATATTTCTCAATGGAAAAGATGTGGTTTAAGATAATATTGCTTCCCATAATTGTAATCTGTTGCAGCAACTGGAATTCCACTCAGCAGACCATTGAAATTACTGGTACTAGGATTAAGCAACAGCAAAACCAGATGCCTTCACCTGCCCCACATGCAACAAAACATGTCTTATAGCAGGCGCTGTAACTTTCATTGTCTTCTGAGGCTGACAGATGCCAACAGCAGTCATGTCCATTCATTTTAATGGTTCTATTCAGAATAGGGTCAACATTGGCTCAGACCCAGTATGAGATAAAAGCATGCAGCAAGTTTCAGAAACGAAAGAGTCTTGTGCCACCTTCAAGGCAAACAATTTTTTGATACTGCATTCATAATCCTTCCTGAACTAGAGCCCACAGCCTAATGCATAAACTCCTATGCCATAATTAAAGCTTAGTTCTTAATGTGCTGCAATGAACGAAAGCAGGAAAATCAGCTTGCCCCTAGAACATCTATAATACAAAAAGGTTTCACGATTTCCACAGGAAGTAGTAGTAGTAGTAAATTAATTATTTGTACCCCACTCATCTGACTGGGTTGCCCCAGCCACTCTGGGTGATTTCCAACAAATATAAAATCACAATAAAATATCAACCATTAAAACAAGGCTGCCCTCATATTTCTTCTAAAATTCAGATAGATCTGACAGGAGGGTGTTCCACAGGGCAGGCACCACTGCCAAGAAGGCCCTCTGCCTGGTTCCCTGTAACCTCACTTCTCACAGTGAGGGAAGTCCGGGCTGAACGGTGGTGGTGGTGCAGACGCTCCTTTATCTACCAACAGTTGTTGCCTCCTTTCTTGGGAGGCATAGTCCTACACCTACATAATCCTGCAAAGGAGAAATTCCCAACACCTAAAGAAGAACAAGCAACTGGTTTGGCAAACAATAGGATCCAAATTCCGGGTCTTGGCCAATGATGTAGGCGTTGGGGTCATGTTCTGCTGGTTAACGTGTGCGCCCTCTACTGGGCATTCTGAGGCAGAGCACAAAATATTATGCATCCAAGCCATGCATGCGTGAGAGAGGAATCATGAGAGTTTCATTATGTTCTGTGTATCACAAGTTTCCGTGTTTGCCTCGCCAGAAAGTGGCGGTATGGCAGGGAATCTAGCAATTCTAAAGTAACAGTCAGCATGACCTTGACGGAAGGGATAACAGAACCTGTTTTAGCCAGCTGGACTCAGCTTCTGGGTCGATCCAACACCTTATGCCTTTCCTCTCCTGTTACTTCCTAACATATGAATCAAGTCCAGGATGTACACCATATACAATCCTTAAGGTATAGAACCTATTTAATTAAATCCAATGCAGATATATTTCTTCCTTTCTTAATACATTCTTGTACTACACAGGCCTCGAATGTGATTAAGGAAAGGTCCCCGGATTGTCAAGGGACGCGGGTGGCGCTGTGGGTTAAACCACAAAGCCTAGGGCTTGCCGATCAGAAGGTTGGCGGTTCGAATCCTGCTTGGTCCCTGCTCCTGCCAACCTAGCAGTCCGAAAGCACGAAGTGCATGTAGATAAATAGGTACCGCTCCGGCAGGAAGGTAAACGGTGTTTCCATGCGCTGCTCTGGTTCGCCAGAAGCGGCTTAGTCATGCTGGCCACATGACCCAGAAGCTGTACGCCGGCTCCCTCGGCCAATAAAGCGAGATGAGCGCCGCAATCCCAGAGTCGTCCACGACTGGACCTAATGGTCAGGGATTCCTTTACCTTTACCTTTACCTTTATCCCGGAATGTCACGGACAATACAGCTGATGAGGTTGGCTAACTATAGGTAGCAGACACAGGCAGGCTGGCCCAGGCAGCTGGGTAGGCAGAACAAGGTTTCCGGATATTTCCTTATTTCGCCCCGAAGGGCTTCCTCAGCTGTTAATAGTTCTAGATAATATAAATATAGGCACTTGATAATACAATGATTACTATTTGACATGTAGAAATTACAAATATAAATCTGTTATATCATGACTAAAAATATAGAATTCATACATTATTAAGCATTATCAAGCATTAGAAGATACAGAGGTTGTACATACCATCGAAGTGTGTAACGATTAAATAAGCAATGATTCTTGGACGATTTCCCAGGGTGTAGCCGCTGTCACATGCTGGCAGCTTCTAGTAGCCACAGGTGAGAGCTGAGTGAAGGGTGGGGACCAAATGTCAACAAACTAATATTTAGTTATTAGATTTATATACCACCCTTCATCATAAGATCTCAGGACGGTTCACAAAATAAGATACAGAACAAAAACAAGTAAATAAGTAAAGCAAAACAGCAAAATAATAAGCACCACCTTCCCACAGACAAATTTAAAAAGGTTGTAGAATATTGTTCTGTCAAAGGCCTGGATGAAGAGGAATGTTTTTGCCTGACGCCTAAAATATATATAATGAAGCTGCCAGGCAAACCTCCCTGGAGGGAGCATTCCATGAACAGGGAGCCACTACAGAGAAGACCTGTTATTGTGCTGCTACCCTCTAGACCTCACATCGAGGAAGCACACAAAGAAGGGCCTCTGATGATGAATGCAGAGTCTGGGATGGTTTATATGGAGAGAGGCAAGTATTGCAGTCCTGAGCCATTTAAGGCTTTATAGGTCAAAACCAGCACTTTGAATTGTGCCTGGAAACTAGAGGATGACGTGTCCCTCACCAGAGATACTAGACTTTCTCTAACATCTGATACAAAAATAACATAAGTACATGAGATTTTATTTTAATGTGTTGTTGTCATCTTACTGGGTTGTATCCAGCCGTCTTTCTGTGCATTGCATAGAGTTGGACTAGAGGACCCTTTGTGTTATGTACTGAAGTTCTCACCCTGGGCCAGCAGGGGGATACTGTACATAGTTTTCACTCAGGTCCACATATGCAAATAAGGGATTGAAAGTGACTTTCAGTGACTGGATAGTTACAGAAAGTGGTTACTGTTGCGTTGTAGTGGAGCTCTATATAAGCAGGCTGGCTGAACCCTTCAGTTCAGTTCTGTTCTGGCCTGTGAATAAACAAGAGCTGTTTGAAAAATCGCTGTGTCGTCTGATATGTTCACCCACAATTTAACACTTTGAGTCCTTTCCAACTCTCCAACTATCTCCCCACCCCCAGCAGTCCTCTGTTTGATCCATTCTGGCCAGGGTTGAGATACCCTCTGCTGTAGATTTGAGGGAGCACAGAGGGCTACTAGGGGAAGGAAGGGGCAAGTTCTGTTATGCAAGTGGAACCCTACTCATGTGACACTGGAGCTGTGAGCTGCTGTCTCTTTAAAAAGACAACTGTAACTTCTCCTTCAAGAGCGGGGCAGGGTTTCTGTTGGCACTCGGAACAGATTTTGTTTGAGAAAAACAAAATATATATATAGTCATCTGTTTAGATAAAAATACCATTCGTTCAGCATTTTGTGGTGAGCTTCACTGGTTATCTCCGTACTTGCCCTGAGAATGAACCTATCTGGAGTGGGAGAAATCACCTTGCTTTTGTTGTTCTCAGCTCTCCATGGTCTCATTTAGACATTTATTCCAAGCCCTGCCTGGAGGTGCCTGGGATTGGACTAGGGAACTTCTGCATAGTCCATCCTCATTGATTTGAAACATACTGTGATCTTAAAGTGCCATGTGGAACATCTGCTTTAATTCCTTTAGCAACGCTGCTGTGGAAGCAACTAGAGACAGATTCTAGTCAATAATTTTTTGTAAGATTCAAGTTTTCTATAAACATTTCACAGTTGTGTGTTCCGACATTCTCATCTGCACACACATAGGCTCAAAAATATTTTAATTTGCTCATGAGTCAAAGACAGCATGAAGAACATGCAAAGTCATTTGGCAGCAGCAAATGTTCAGATTTGTGCTGTGAGTGATTGGAAGCTGCAAGAACAGCAGCACACGTCAGTTGGCTCACATCTGCCAGTCAGTTGTGGCCCGAATTGCTGTCAGCTCACTCACTGTGGCCATCAGTATTCAAACAGGTGAGATGAGAGTGGAATCCTGGTCTCACTAAGGCTCCTGAGGTTTACCAACAAGTCTCTTGTGTTAAAAACTTCCGTTTCATAAGAAGTTCCAAGCCCTTTAAGTGTTTTGCAGTTGGCCCAATGATTTCAACTATGCAAGGAAAACAGTAATGTTAAGAAGCACTGCCCCCCCCAAAACCCCCACAGCTTTTGCCTGGGAAGCCAGGCACATGTTCTGCAAGCAAGCTGAGTTGCAACAGCACCTAGTAAATGCATTGTCTCCTTTCACTCTAAATCTCTACGGTTCCTCCCTTATCATTTGCAAAATTGAAATAAACAATGCAGTATTCATAATCCTCTGAGAAGTGTCAAACCAAGGTAACCGACATGCCAGTCCTTCATTTCCCCCCTCCTCACAGTGACTGAGTAGTTCTCAGTGGCCTGAAGTTCTTGTCAGAAGAGATGAAGAGATAAATAAATTTCTTATTGAACAACAAAAGCAATATAGGAGACGAACAATAACAGAATAATATAAGTTCAACACTATGAGCATTTGATAATGATGTCAAAAGAAAAAAAAATCAGGAGCAAATGAAATGGATACAATAATAACTTTATAAATGTATAAAATTACAGCTTCTATTGTACAATGAAAGTGTCGGGGGGGGGAGAAAAATTGCAACTATTTACTTCAATGGTCAGCTATCTTCATTTTACAGTGATTGGTTAGTTTCTCTGTGACTCACAGATTTAATAGCATAATGCTGTTTTTAAACTTTTTAAAAATACTGATTATTAATACTTTGTACTGTATTTGATTTTTATTTTGTATGTCATTTTGAGATTTATTTACTTTTTGTGTTTGGGCTCTGTTTGGTGTATTCTTTTATTTTTACATACACTTTGTATATTGTTTTGAGATTCCTTTATAATATATTTGATTTTTATATTGTATATTGAGATGTGGTTTGTTTGTTTTGTAGTTGATCTCTATTTTGGTAGTCTTTTCTAAGGTACTTGACCTTTCTTTTGCCTAATGTCCTGAAACTATGTTTTACTGGATTTGGTTTTTATTTTCTTTTAGATTGTTTAGAATGTAAAGTGATGAATAAATTTATGTAATAATAATTACTCCTACTGGAAGTCTCCAGGCAATGGGTGGCAAATTTCTGGAGCTAAGTTTGGTGTAAAGTTGCACCGTTGCCAGAACATGTCAAGCACTAAAGGAGTATAGTACTGACAGGGAACATTTTTCAGCTTGAGGCCACATTCTTGTATGGGCAACTTCCTGAGGGGCACATGTCCATGGTGGGCATTTGTTGTTGTTGTTGTTCAGTCGTGTCTGACTCTTTGTGACCCCACGGACCAGAACACGCCAGGCACTCCTGTCTTCCACTGCCTCCCGCAGTTTGGTCAAACTCATGCTGGTAGCTTCGAGAACACTGTCCCACCATCTCGTCCTCTGTCGTCCCCTTCTCCTTGTGCCCTCCATCTTTACCAGCATCAGGGTCTTTTCCAGAGAGTCTTCTCTTCTCATGAGGTCGCCAAAGTATTGGTGCCTCAGCTTCAGGATCTGTCCTTCCAGTGAGCACTCAGGGCTGAATTCCTTCAGAATGGATAGATTGGATCTTCTTGCAGTCCATGGGACTCTCAAGAGTCTCCTCCAGCACCATAATTCAAAAGCATCAATTCTTCGGCGATCAGCCTTCTTTATGGTCCAGCTCTTACTTCCATACGTCACTACTGGGGAAACCATAGCTTTAACTATACGGATCTCTGTTGGCAAGGCGATGTCTCTGCTTTTTAAGATGCCGTCTAGGTTTGTCATAGCCAGAGGTAAAGGGGCACAGCAACAGATGTGACTATTAGTTTTGAACAGTAGGCTACATTCCAGCAATACAAAAACCAGAGGCTTCACATACACACATCCAGGCATGCAAGAGGCATTTTCAGAATTTAAGCGTCTATTGTTTCCACACCAAAGGACTCGTGAAGGGTTTGGAGCAGAGCTGGTGTGAGGTGTAGCCTGGGAACTGGCCTTTAGGAGAAGGCTTGACCCAGGAAAAGGACCAAGGGCCAGATAGAGATGTCTGGGTAGCTGTATTGATCTCTAGAGCATGAGGTTCCCCACTCCTGAGGTTTAGGATATGGCAGAAAGCAAGGGGCAGATATATATCTCTCCCCACCCTCTAAGCCAATTTTGACAGGTTTGGGGCCCCACCTACCTATCGATCACTCTACAATTCAATGATTCTGTGATCCAGTTGAAATTCCTGTATTGTAGTGGGTTGGACAAGATGACCTGTGGTGTCCCTTCCAACTCTACAATTCTTTGATTCTATGACTGATAGGTGGACAATCCCACCACCTGTCAAAGCAGACACACAGGGTGGGGGTATGGGAGCGCCCAGCAGGACTTACCCCTGACCGCTTGCTGATCAGCTTATACCACCCCATGACATCAGGTGAGTGACAAGTGGAGGTAGTTAGGGGAGCAATGACCTTGTGGGCCAATTCACTGGCTGATCCACAGACTCAAGGTTCCATAGCCTTGGGCTACAATGTCAGTGTGCCTCCTCTGTTGCAGTTGCCCACATTCTGCTCAATAATTTCACCCTATTTTAGCCAATGCATCTGAGAATTTTGCATAAGTATCTGTCATGACTGCAACCAGGGGCGTAGGAAGGGGGGGTGCACCCTGGGTGTCATCCCAGAGGTGGGGTGACAAAATCCTCTCTGGGCAGATCACCGCTGCGCCAGTCACCCCTCGGGCGGATCGCCACCATGCTGATTGAACCCCTAGGTGGATCGCCCCGCCCCCTGGCATGTGCATCGCTCCGGGTGTCCGAGCGACTAGTTCTGCTGTTGACTGCAACACAACTGGCACTGCAACAGCAGCATGGAGCTTATAGGCCCCACAGCCACCCCACCAATCTTTTAAAAGATAGCAAACAGATGGTTGTAAAACTCTGTCCTCCTCTTTTGAAGAGTTCTCCAGAGCAGGCAAGTTCGGAAAAGGCACGTCCATAATATTTTCTGTGCTTGGGGACTTCTGAAATCAGAGCCATACATGGCTGTTTTAATGGGAAGGAAACAACATTATTGAACAGCGCTTAATCTCTTTCATATGCATCCACACACAGATACCAGAGGAGATCTGTGTTTTTCTTATGTTTTGGCAATACTAGTATAACTAGTCCTGCCAATAATTTAGGACTGTGGTTGAAACATTCTCCTTTCCCTCTGGAGGAAATGTGCAAGAGCTCATTCATGTTCTCTGTTGACATACATCCAGAGCTTGGAAGTTCACGATTCAAATCTTACTCCAAATTAGGGACTCACTGGGGCCACGTTCACACCTAACATTCAAAGTACTGTGATACCACTGTAAACCAAAGGCTGCTGTTCTTACAGCAGCCAACCAGATGCCTATCAGAAGCCTGCAAGCAGGACCTGAGTGCAGCAGCAACTCGCTCCTCTTGCAGTTTCCAGCACCTGCTATTTGAAAGCATACAGCCTCTGCCAGTGGAGGTAGAAGAGAGGCATCAGGCAGGGCCGGCCCACCCAAGAGGCAAGGTGAAGCGACCACCTCAGGTAGCAGAATCCAGAAGTGCAGCAAATCCCAATGTAGATCTTCACCATTCACCCTTTGTTCCCTGGCGGCAAGGAAGGATGCCATTTTTTGGTTCATTCACCTCAGGCGCTGAAATGTCTTGGGCCGGCCCTGCTATTAGGGTTGGTAGCCATTAAGATTTGGGCATTATTGGCTGAAACAAAAGATAGACCTTGTCTATAGTTGTGTACACAGCTCCGAAAATCCCTCCTGAGGGAAGTTTGTCTCAGCTCCCCCTATAAATTTTGGTGGATGACAAAATACCCCCCTCAAAGGTTTTTGGCTTCTAACATCTGGATTTAATAGTTGGCTGAAGATGAGCTGCTTATTTGTAGGCATCACTCTGTCTCCTGCAGATGCTTTTTGAATGTTGTTTTATGCTGTGCTGACTTCGGGAATTAGCAATTTTAACTGTTTCATGTGATGACTTTAGTCGCACCTTTTACTATTTACAGGAAAAGTGAGGGGTAAACCTTTTAGATAAACAAACTCAACTTGTGGTCCTCTGGATTTGAGGTACATTAGTTCTCCTACACTAAGGCAAAAAATAAAATTTCACTTGTAGTTAGTGGGGTCTCCTGATACTTTCACATGTACTGTACTGTATATGCTTGTATTATTATTATTTATTCTACCTTCCTGAGCAGTGGTTCTGCTCCTGCTGCTTTTTCTCCTAAATCACTTTCCCTTTTCCTCAGCCTTTTGTATTTCTGCCCTGCCCTGTAGGGATGCTTGTTCTGGTGGAGGTCTGCCGTATTTTAAATCTCCACCCGCACCCCAGGCACAAATATTCCGGTTTTTTCCTCTACCAAAAGCTGTGGAAGAGGCTACAGTAACGTTTTATGGGGGATTTTTGTGTGCAAGCGTGTCCGTTTAGCGAAGAAAACACGACCCTCAATCCTGGGTGGGCGGGAAATCGGCGTGTATTATGTAAACAGCAGCGAATGTTTCGGTTGCTATCCCCCCCCCCCGCCATAAATTTATTTGACCAGCACCAGTAAATACTAATACAAATATTAATACTATTAATAACAGAAGTGTGGTGCGCATGGTGGGCTGCGCCCGCCTGGCCGCTTTCTCTATTTCCAAAGCTTCCCTCAGCCCTGAGAGAAGACGAAGGCCCGCTGAGGGACGAGGGTGATGTAATAACCACCCGGCCTCAGCAAACAACTCCGCCTCGCCTCCCTCCTCAGCCAGCCCCAACATCCGGGCTCTCGCCGCGCGCTGCGCCACAGCCGGCGGTACGAAAGGGAAAAAACCACCAACGACCGTCGAAAGCTGCTACTCAAGGAGACGCGGGCGCGGGGTTGGACGGACGGAGGGGAGAGGCGGGGCAAAAGGCTAGAAATCACGCGCCCATTGGCCGCTCAGGGAGGCAAGCTCGAGCCGGCGTGCGTGCTTGCGTGTTTAGTAGGGGGGGGGAGAGACAACTGCGCGTGCACGCACGCACGGCACGTACGCAGGCCAGGCATAGGAGGCCGGCGGGAGAGTTCCTTTTCCCTCTCTCTCCCTCTCGCGGGCGTGCCTCCCCTGCCTTGTTATACAGCCGACTCGCCCCGCGCACGCGCGGTGTGGCGAGGCGAGCTCGCGCTTTCGGCGTCTTCTCCGCTCCGCGCTTACGTCGTCCTCCTCCCCTCTTCCCTCGCGCGCTGGGTGGTTCTCTTTGCGCGTGCGCGACCCTTTGCTTGCTCGCTCGCTTGCTTCGGTTGCCCGCCCGCCTGAGGGAATTGAAGCGGAGTTGAGGCGGGTGCTGGTGGGGTGCGGACGGGGAAAGCGCGTGAGGCGCCGTTGCCGCGAGGGGAAGAGGGGAGACCCGCGTGCGGCGCGGGAGGGGAGGGGTGGGCGACGGGGAGGCCGGGCGAGATGAGCGCTCGGCTCCCCGCTAGGGCCAGCCAGGAGGAGCAGCAGCAGCAGCAGCAGCACAAACAGCGGCCGCGGCTGCCTTCGCCGCAGTCGCCGCCGCCACCATCGTCTCGCCCCGTCTGAATGAACTGAGGCGAGAGAGGCCGCTTTCGCCGGCTCGGCCCGGTCTGGCTCAGGCCTCCTCCCTGCGCCGCTTCGGAGCGCCCACTCAGAGCCCCCTCTCCCGTAGGGTAAGTGGAGGCCCCGAGGGTGGCTGAGGGGAGGCCTCGGGTGCGCCTGGGTGGAGGGAGAGAGAAAGGCCCAGTAGCAGCAGCAGGAGGAGGCCGCCACCGCCGCCGCCTGGATCTTGGGCCTGGAAGCCAGTGGGGAGGAAGGGCGAGGAGGCGCCCGGCCTGCGTGTCGTCGAGGATGAGGCGTCTCTCTGTGTTGTAATCCTCCTCAAAAGATCCGGCGGACCCGGACCCCCCTCCCCCCCCCGCCGCCAGCAGCTGGCATTTTAAAACACGAGCTGCTGGGGGTGGGGCAGAGACGGTGGCAAACTGGCTCTGGGAATCGGATGTTTCCGTGCGCGGATCTGCCCCTAGGAGCTTACAGTCGGAAATCCTGCACGGGGGCTTGGGAGTGGGGGGGTAAAGCAGCAGCTGAGGGTGAAAGGAACCAGGGTAGCTGAGAAAGACTTAAATGTCTTCAGTTCCTGGTGTTGGCGAGTTAATTCCACCCCCACTTTTCCTTACTAGTATATGTATGTATGTATGTGGGTGGGTGTGAATTTGGGAGGCCTTAAAAGTAAGCAAGTCAGACTCTTGCACTCTGAGTCGTTGGTTCGAGCCCCAGGTTGGGCTGAAGATTCCTGCATTGCAGGGGGTTGGACTAGGTGGCCCTCGGAGGCCCTTCCAACTCTGATTCTGTTATTCCTAAGCAAAAACCATGCTCTTTTATTCAGTTTATTTTAAACACCCTAATATGCTGAGCCTTTAGTATATACAGGGCGCTAAATCTGACAGGCAAGTCTTTACGTGTTTCCTTGTGGGAGGGAAGAAGACTCTTTGATTTTGGCAGAACTTATTTATTTAGCACCGCAATCTGAAACAGAGAGAAAGGTTTTAGTTGTGTGTGTGTGTGTGTGTGTAGAAGGCGGCCAAATGTTTGGGATTTGATTCCTCTGTGTTCATTGTTCATGCCAACCCAATCCGGTGATGACGTAGCTGGATGTCTGTATCTTCCCCTGGAGGGATGGTGGTGGGCGAAAAAGCTTGCTGTCTGCCAGGATTTATTAATAATGGTTATAAGCACACATTCTCCTCCTCCTGCAAAGCATTCTGCTATCATTCACAGAGAACCATTAATAAATGAGTCTATTTATAAAGCGCCCCACCCTGCTGCATCATCCACTTTGCTAGGTATATACTTTCAGATGTGCAATATTTATGAAGCAGTCTGCCTCAGTGATTGCCTTCCTACACACACAGCTATTGCTGTCTTTTTTAGAAGAAAAAAAAGGTGTGGGAAAGGGAAATGAACCCAAACAAAAAAGGGTTATGTAAATGTGCCGCTTCTTGTGATACTTTGAATAGTGGAAGTGGGTGTGAGATGCTGTTTTCAGAGGGCTGTACTATTGCCCATTGAAATGCAAAAGGTAATTTATTATATTTTTTTCAAGTCTGCAAAGTATTTTTTTTTTTACAGAACAGTGATGCTATAGTTATTTATGGTGCACGTTATGATTTTGGCTCTGTCTATTTCGTGCTAAAAATATTCCAGATTCTGCACCAAGCAACTATGAATTCTGTAGCCTGTGTGTGTGTGCGTGTGCGTTCGTGTGTGTGTATTATGCAACACAAGTTGGGGAGGGGCATATATATGACACAGAAGCCCATCTCCTGATCAGTGTAAATTTTGCTTAGCCTTCTCACCCCCAGACATTTCTTAGCTATAAAGGGGGGCGGGGGAGCCACAAAAGCTGTGACTTGGTTGTTAAGTTTTGGATCCATTATGCAGTCTTGCGTTTAAGTAATTTGATAAGAATACACCTTTCTGGTGCTTGTAGTTTAAAATACAGATCGTTTTATAATTCTATAAAAGGGGATAATTTTTAAAAACACAGATTTTGGGTTTAGGATTCAGATTTTGTTGTAGAAAACAGCAAGTTGCATAGTTACTTCAGTGTGATGATTGTCCATCTTATGATGTACTAGTTAGAGTATGTGATTTCCTCACAAACAAGAATTTAATCTCTTCAGCTTATTGAGGAATCACTCTGCAAACATGTGTTTTGTTAAAGCAGGTATCTATATTGGAACATGGAGAGAGCAGTTTCTTATTACTAGTGCTTTTTCTCTAAAAAAATGCTTAGGGGTACTCATTTTTCTACTCATATTGAAATACTGCCCCTCAATGAGGCCAAACTTAGATTCACAAAATGTTTAGGGGTATGCATACCCCTGCGTCCCCCCCCAGAAAAAAGCACTGCTTATTACCATAACCTAGTACAGGGGTCTGCAACCTTTAAGACAAAAAGAGCCACTTGGACCCGTTTCCGAAGAAAAAAAACTGGGAGCCCCAAAACTCGTCATTATAAAAATAACTTTTTTGTCACTTTTTATTATTTCTTTGTTTGACCCCTCAGAATTACTCCTCCTCATAGAAATAAACGTTAAATTAACAAGTTACCTTTTTGTGTGTGTGTGTTCTTCACTCCCCTTCAAAACAGTGACCAGCGTACATGCCCCCTTTCAATGCAGTGACCAGCGTACATGCCCCTTACAATGTAGCGGGCGGGTGGGAAGGTGACGTCGGGACGGTGCGTGACTAACACACGCACCGCCCCCATGCGACGTCACAGCCAGTACAGCGCCCGCCACAGTGGGGAGTGTCGGGGCGCACAATGCGCCTCCTCCCCTCGCTAGTATCCGCCCCGGAGCCACGGCAAAGGTGTAAAAGAGCCACATGCGGGTTGCAGACCCCTGACCTAGTAGACAGACATTTTCCTCACATGTGTTTTGAGTTCTCAGGTTGAAAAAGAAGTTGAAAAGACCCTTCAATTACTACTGTTATAATGATGTTTAAAAATGTGACCTATCATATTTTCCCTTAGTCTGCAGACAGTGCTGCAGTGCTTGTGCTGTTGAAGGCGTTGTCAGTCCCTAAGAGTGAAGGTAAGATTTCACTCCTCAGAAGAGTGAGCCTTAGAAGAGCCCTAATGGAAGTAGTTGAGCTGTCAGATTTTCTTTCCCTTTATAAAGCTGTGTAAATAGTAGAAATGAGTACTGTGCTTAGAAGCACAGTTTGGCAGAAAATAGGGAATATGTGAGGATATAGCGTAGCCAGGTAATCTTCCTCTGGGGCTCTGCTTTCTTTCAAGAGCCAGATGGGTGGAATATTTATACATGCAGATGACAGCTAGAGACTAATACTAAACATGGCAAAATAGTTTAAGAACTCTCATCATACCACTTTCCACCCACTGGAGCTGGGCTTATTGCCGGAACCCCTGTGAGAGCCTTTGCTTATTCCGGTTGAAAGCTCATATGCTTTTCACTCCCTGTTATAAAGCAACTGTATGGCAATCAAATCCTACTGACTTCTCTTCCATATACTATATTAAGGATTAAGTGATAATTGTCTTGGGCTAAATTGTTGTGTTTGTGGAACAAGGTCCAGTCCTGCAGCAGAACTATCTCCCCTCTCCTCCCCTTATGCCTTCTAAGCCTGCTCTGGAGGGTTGGCAGAACCCCCAGAACAGCTTTAGGAGGTGCACAGGGGGAGGATAGAGAAGAAAGTCCTGTTGCACAAGTGTACTTGTTCCCTGGACACATACTCCATTTAGCACTGCATAGAATTCCACCCCACGTTTTACTACAAAGAGTCCTCACATTCTCTAGTGTGCTTAAGGAACTACCTGCGTTAGAAAAATCTTTCCATTTTGTGGTTGAGGAACTAAGATAGTGACTATATTGAAAGCCACATCATGACACTGCTGTGGGGACTCCTCTTTTTCAGGTCTAAGACCAACCCTAGTGCAGTGTTTCTCAAATTTGGGTCTCAAGCTGTTGATGGATCACAACTCCCATCATCCCCAGCTAGCAGGACCAGTGGTCAGGGATGATAGGAGTTGTTCAACAACAGCTGGAGACCCAAGTTGGAGAAACGCTGCTCTAATGGCACTCATTTTTATTCATTCTTTGGGCTTTGTCCTCATTCATCTTCTCCAGTAGCCTTCAGATTAGTTCAAAATTTAACAGTGAGTCTACCCATCTGTGTGTACATGTGTCATGGTAAAAAGTTCTAGAGGGGTCACTATGTTAGTCGGTTGCAGCACCTCCCCTTTTTTTACACCTTAAAACAAATTAATTATAATGTAATATTTTGTGGTCTAGAATCCATTTCCTGAGAATTGTTATCTTTTCTTAGCTGGTATATATCCAAATGGCCCATAGATCTGGTTAACTACTTGTCTAGAATGAATTACTTGTTCTAGGAGAGTGGCTAATTTCACATCTACTCTCAACAGTCCTGTGAGGTAGGTCATTGTTCATTCTGGTGTAACGCAATATATATGTGATAGCAGCTTCAACAAATGATTAGAGGAAAGTGAGGGAAGTGGTTCAAATGTTCCTTAATGTGGAAACCACTAACCTATAAGCCAGGCATCCCCAACTTTCGGCCCTCCATATGTTTTGGACTACAATTCCCATCATCCCTGACCACTGGTCCTGTTAGCTAGGGATCATGGGAGTTGTAGGCCAAAACATCTGGAGGGCTGCAGGTTGGGGATGCCTGCTGCAAGCAGTTCTGTATCAAGATTGGGAATCGTGCTGCATTGGAGGGAAGGAGTTTGACCAGTAGAGCAAGGAAGTATAGAACAGGGTTCCTAATCTGGTGAGACTGGAAACCAAGTCCACTTTCTACTTTTTGTGGGGATTAGTGACTGAGTTCAGAATTTTAGATTTACTTCAGTACCTTCATCAGTCTAGTAATCAGTAATCTTAGTAGACTATTTGTCAGGTTTGAGATTATATTTCTATAAAATTCTAATAGATTTATATTAGAAAACCAAAGTTGGTTAAATGCTATGAAACTACATTATAAATCTTTAGAAAGGCCTCATTTTGTGGGTAGGGCAGATGAGTCATATGTAGAAGACCCTACATCTGGTCCCGGGCTTCTCCTATTAAAATGCTTAGGTGGCAGGTGTGGCAAAGACCTTATTCCTCAGACTTCAAAGAACTGCCACCTGTAGATAGTACTGTACTAGATGCACCAGTTATTAGACTCTCTATAAGCTTCCTCTGTTCATTTGATATATCCCAAATAATTAATTTTTGAAAAACAATTTTAAACATGCAAACTGTAAAATGTTAGTCTGGAAGCTGTTGCAGAATGCAGTGAAGAGCAAGCTGCGTAGAGTGTTTTGCTCTTACTTTGGCTCAGCTTCATTGGTTGCCTAAATCTGGACAGAGTTCAAAGCGTTGGTTGCTTTAAGAAGCCCTTACATAGTCACGGTCTTATCTAGCTTTGGCATCATCATCACTTTTGTCGCAGCTTCTTGCTTTAGTGTGATGGCCTGACATCTTTATCTCTGCGCAGTGTCTTTGACCATTTCTCTGGTGTTTTAATGGTTGGTTTAGAGTCTTTGACCTTCGGAAGGCTATTTAGTGCTAACTAGTGATTGGATGTCTATTTCTGCTGCTGTTTTAGTTATTAATATTTTCTTCTGTAATTTTTTTTGTGTTTTGGATCTTTTGTGAGCTGCCTCATATTGAGTCCAAACAATGTACTTTAAATAATAAATAAGATCTTATATCTGGCCAATGAGATATGTTAGGCCAATGAGATATGAGATATGTTAGGCTGAGAGATAATTTAAGGTCACCCAGGAAATTTCATATCTGAGTAGGGATATGAACCTAAAACACTCTAACCAAAGTCCAGTTCTCTGGTGTATACCACAGTGGCTCACATTATGGATGCTGTTGTGGATCCTTTTTTTAAACTGTTTTAATTGCTGTTGATGGTGTTTTAAATTATTTTACTGATGTAATCACACTAATTATTTTTATATGTTCACTGCTTTGGACACAGCTTTGGCAGCAAAGAATGCAGTACAGAAATGTTTCCTGCTTTACAGTACAAACCTATACATATGAACTAAGGTGAACTTCACTGGGACAGGTAAAAATAGGGTGGCAGCTTTCATCAGAAAAGGCAGTTGTGGGTACTTTTTGGGGTGGTGTTGCATGCATTGCATTGTTCAGGTTTTTTTGGGGGGAAACACCACTTAAATTGAGTTTTCTTGATGTAAAGACTTGCAATAATGGTGTGCTGCTGTAGCTACCACAACGTGCTGTGTGGGAGGTAAGTAGGGTTGTATGTCTGTTTTGTGCTTTGTTATGCCATTCTGAGTGGGTACTGACACCTATAACAACTTAGGTTTCTTTTGATGTAGCTGGCTCCATGATGGCTAGAAAGCAACATTTTAAATAGTATTTTATTTATCATTTTCTCTTTTACAACAAACAACAGAGCATTTCATTACTTCCGTTCCCCTTTTTCCATGGTTCATTTTAGTTTTCTTTATCTAACTGCATATTCAAAAAGCTCAATCCCCCTTAAAATTCCCCCTATAATTTCATTTTAATTCATTTCCCTGCTTCTATTATTCAATCCGCTCATTCCATCAATTTTATCTGCCACTCCTATTTAGTCGGTACTACTGCTTAGAAAGCAACATGTTAATGATGATAGCATTGTTTCTCACCCTGTTGCATGACCTGATGTCCTGGGTATGTTCATTATCCCAATGAATTAAAGCATTTGTTTCTTGATGCTAGTACAGTGATCCTAATTGTTTAGCAAAATAGTCATAAGGTCAGACCTCTCATATTTCTGTTTCTGGAATACTAAATTAAGCAAGACAGTATAACACTGATAACTTAAGTAGCACATTTGTGAAAAGCAGGTGGATCCCACAGCCTTTGTTCTTTTCGGTAATTGGTGCTTGCTTTTGAATTTTAGTAAGCTTTTGTCTCTATTTCAAGTCTACATAGAGTATCTGGGGCTGTTTCTCCTTTAGGTGACATAATATCTAGGAGCTGTGTCTGCATGATATGGCAGTGTGGCTTATCATGTGGGTCTTGGAATTCAGTGCTGTGGTGAAGACTCAATGATTAGCCCTACCTACAGTATATGGTTGCATTATCCCATCCATGTGGGATCACTTCATGGGAAAGTAGCTAACCACATTGCTACATCTAAAGGGTACCTGAGCATCCCAAGGTAATCAGTAGCTGTAGCTTTAACCCAGACAGGAGAGAAGACTTGCCAGCTTGAGCCCTGCTTCACCCAAAAAGGATTTCCCTGACCCCTTAAAGCAGTCAATCAGAAATATCACTCGAACGTTGATTGCAAACTAGGGACACATCCTCCATCTTTGGTCTTTGCCTTTAATGCTGATCTTTTTTCCTCCCCGCATCTCCCATTTATTCCTCCTGATTCCTTGAGCCTATATTTTGCTTTGCATCTGAATTTTTACAAAGATTTTACAAATCTTTTTTCAAAAGATACTTTGGAAATGAAATGTGGTGTCAAATATGAACAGATAAAAGTTTCCTTGGAACAGAGAACACTAGTTTAATAAACATTGAACAAAAGTACCTCCTTGTGGTTATAAGATCAGTTTGAAATTGAAATGTCTAAATAAAAAGGTAGTATAAATTAAAATGAATTTGAGTATCTGTCAGCACCTACAATTTAGTTAAATATCAAATATCAACACTGGAGGTTTTAAAGCAGAGATTGGATGGCCATCTGTCATGGATGCTTTAGTTGAGGTTCTTGCTTTGCATTGGGTTGGATTGGATAAGGGTCCCTTCCATCTCTACAATTCTACGAGTCTATGAAACTTTCCTCAGTTGGATAAGATTGAGCCAAGCTAGGTATAGTAATATATTACTTCTTTATCTCCTTTATGTTTGCTTTGCAAAACTCAGCAAATGTGTTTTCATGCTTTTACATAAGCAGCTTTGGCTTTCATCCAAGTATTGCTGCACATATTTTAACTGTTACACATGTGAGAAGTTGCACTGACTTAAGTACACAAAAGACTGGTATTATATGCCTTTCTGGATCAATAACTATAAAACACAGTGATTCACATTTATATCAGAATGTTATATTTGTTTCAAGGTAATTCCCCCCCGCAAAAAACAACAACTACTAGACTAGAAAACTGAACTCTACAACAGAAGACACGATTTGTTTATATCATGACCAGTAATGTGATGTCAGCATTTTGTTTAAAAATGTCTTAACATAGATTAATATCTTATTGGATGAACTAGCTGCTCTAAACTCCAATGTAGGGATGGGGAACCTATAGCCCTCCAGATGTTGCTAGGCAGTAACTCCCGCCATCTTCTGATGATTGACCAAGTTGGCTGGGACTAAATGGAGTTGGGAGTCTAAGTACATCTGGAAGGTTTCTTACTCCTGCTCTAGTGAAAGCAGCGTTAGAAACTGAAGTATGAAAGCTAGGAGCTAAATGGCACCTTAAACCTAGGTTATGGGCCCAACTACGGAATGTCTAGGCATTTTTTTAAATAACAAGAATGCAAAGCTGAAAATGAATGAACTGCAGCTAAATATTATGTTCATTTTTCACATGGTCTTGTCCTTCCCCTGCCCACCCCCCTAATATTCTTAAGAGGGTCTCTTCTCCAGTCTTCAAAGAGTAGCTGGAAGTAGGGAGGCAGAAAAAGGTCCTTCTTTTCTTCTACTCTGCAGTTTAAATCTGAAATCTTAGGCGCAGTACTGTGCCCAGAGCTCAGAAACTGCTCATGCTAATGAAATTCCCTGTCGCAAAACGTGTCTACAATAGGCACCCCCAAACTCGGCCCTCCAGATGTTTTGGGACTACAACTCCCATCATCCCTAGCTAACAGGACCAGTGGTCAGGGATGATGGGAGTTATAGTCCCAAAACGTCTGGAGGGCCAAGTTTGCCTATGCGTGGCCTAGAGCAATGGGAGTTTTGAACACTGAGTTTGGCAGCATATTCTACAGCAGATAATCTATTAACCATGAAAATGTTGATAGAAAAATGTGACGACTATACCTATATATGTTGGATTCATTGACTAGGAAAAAGACTTTGATACTATTGAAACCTGGGCATTACAGTGGCCATTACAAAATTACAGAATTGATATCAGTTGCAACCACCTACTACAAGAAATAGCAGACAAGGCAGCAGCAACTTATCATCTCCATATAAATACCAATCCAGTACATTTGAAAAGAGGCATAAGACAAGGAGATAACTTAGCTAATTTACTCTTGCCTTGAAAGATGTGTTTTAAAAGCTTTATTGGCCAGAAAGGGGAATTAATGTTAACAGAGGATCTACGATATGTTGATGATACAGTCATAATAGCTAAAATAAATCCTGGAAGAACTAAACCAGAGGTTCCCAAACTTATTTGGCCTACCACCCCCTTTTCAGGAAAAAACAACAACATAGCGCCCTCTTGGGTTCAGTCCGATCTGCCCCAGGGGCGGGACCGGTGTCCACTAAATTAACTAAACTAAATTAAGAATTAAAATGGTAGGACTGAAGATGAATTAAGCTAAGACAAGTTAGAGAAATAGAGCAGGTTGAAGATTATGCTTAGGACAAAAAGCAATCATAAAAGTATGAAGTTAAAAGGCACATCTGCGGGACATGCGCTGAAAGATTTCTCAGGCTGATGGAACATAGGAGTGCTACCGTGCAGACCATACAATTTTAAAAAAATCTAGGTGATGGCCACTCTTGCAGTGGGTGGACGATCTAAAATTGACAGCAGGCCTTATGATGCAGATAGCAAACAACACAATGTTGAAGAGAACTTGAAGAAGTGTATATCCAAACTTGAAGAAGTGTATATCCAGAAGAGAAGGCCTTCTTCACTTGTTTATCCCTGGTATCTGTATCTACACATTTAAATTCTATTCCTTTGCTAGGCGCCTTGGTGGGAGTAGGTATGTTACTTCATAATTCAAGTCCCTTCTATTTGTAAGCAAAGGGGGAAAGGGGCTGCAGTTAGGAAAGCATGCAGGACTCTGTAAGTGGTATGAGAACATGATAATGTCAGGGCAGGAAGCACTATTCTTCCATTCTAAGAGGCAGGAAACCACCAGAACTTTGGGAAGAATACGTTAAGTTCTCCCTATCCTAAGGTGAATGGCTTGGATTTACCATGCTTGAGGTAGGAAGAAAACATTGGAGCCCTTGCTTTTTAAAAATCTATAGAGCATCAGGACATGTTTCCCAACACAGACTGTCAGTCAGTCAATCAATTAATTAATTTCTACCATCCCCACTCCTGGAGGCTAGGGAGGCTACTTACCTACTCACTAAATTTCTGTGCCACCCTTCATCTGCGGATCACAGAGTGGTTTACAATTTAAAAGTTCATTTTTGCCTAGCGCCTAAATATACATAACAAAAATGTCAAGCAAGCCTCCCTGGGGAGAGGCTTCCACAAGCAGGGAGCCACCGCAAAAAAGACCGGCTCTCATGTTACCACCCTCATCACCTCGTGAAGGAGGGCCTCAGATGATGATCACAGTGTCCAGGTTGGTTCAAATTGGAAGAGGCAGTCTTTGAGGTATTGTGGTCCTCAGCCATTTAAGGCTTTATAGGTCAAAACCTGGCGTGCTCTGGTCCATGGGGTCACGAAGAGTCGGACACAACTAAACGACTAAAACAACAACAAAGGTCAAAACCAGCAATCTGAATTGGGCCCAGAAACTAATTGTCACTAATTGGCAGCCAATGCAGTTGGGCCAGAATTGATGTTATATGTTCGACTTGACTTACACTGGTGAGCAGCTTGGCAACTGAATTTTGCACCACCTAGTTTCCAAACCGTGATTAGAGGCAGCCCCACGTATAACACATTGCAGTAATCCAACCTAGAGGTTACCAGAGCATAGACAATAGAAGTTAGGCTTTCCCTGTCCAGATAGGGGTGCAGCTGGGCCACCAGTTGAAGCTGATGGAAGGCACTCCATGCCACCAAGGCCACCTAAGTCTCAAGCGATAGTAACGGATCCAGAAGTATCCCCAAGATGCATATCTGCTCCTTGAGAGGCTACAAACATGACTACCACATACCCAGAATATATAAGTTTGCTTCAGATAGTCAACTGACATTTGAGTTTTCAGAACTTACTAGCTAGTTCAGAATCTAATTTTTGCCACTTTATTGCCACTTATCTAGATGTTTACTATATATTTACACTTTTGCACTTGAACAAAGTTGTTAAGACATCCTGTTGATCTTGTACTGTGATGACATTGACAATCTATTCCTATGCTTTCCTGTCTTAGTATGCTTTTAGAAGGCTATATTTATGCTTTTGATGTTGGGTGCCTCCAGAAAGCATGCATGCAGTCATTGCTATACCCTTTATAACAGTTTGTCATCACTTCACTTTATAGCACGGTGTGCAACACTGAAAATATTTGGGTCTCTGTCATATACATTTCAATACCATTGGTGGTACTTGTTGGGTACTTTATCCATCATGAGAGTGCTAATAAATTAGCAAAACATAGTTACTTTTCTGTATTCAAGAGGCCTGCTCTCTGGAATAATTTCTGGAGATTTGTGTATGAGTCGAAATGCTGAGCTCTGACATCATTAGCACTACATTAAAAGAGCATGTGAACTGTTGTCATAAACAAACAGATGTTAACTTTGGAAACGTTATGTGGTTTGTCATGGGGGAAACATGGTTTCTGAAAACACACTCTGCTACTTTGAAAGCCTTTCCCACTGCTGTATATCCAGAAAGTATTTCTCATTCATGTCATGTACCCACTTGTTTGGCATTTACCCAGAAATAAGCAGTAAATTGTTTTGGAAGAGTACATATGCACTTTCTTGTGAAGAACTTGGTGTACACTTCTTAGCTGAAAGGCAACTGCTGGGAAAGTCAGTATTATTCTGATATGCGGAACAGGAGTTCTTTGATCTGAGAACATAGACCCAAAGCACTTAGTCCACCTTGCTACCACAACAGTAGAATGAGATGCATTTTCATGATAGTACTAATGATAATTAGAGGTGATGCACTTTAATATATAATTTCTATTTGGTCAAGTTGAGCAGGAACTATAGGTGACTTGTGGATAGTATGATGCGTTTGACTTACCCTAGCCTTGCAAATCACCTTGGCAAAAAAGGTTGCTAGTCTGCACATAAAAGATTAGCCCACCCTACACAGGTCAAACATTCCTTGCATATAATTAAAGTTCTTGTTTAAGACTAGTTTCGTGAAAGCAGTTTTAACTTAATGCCTACTATATATAATGCCTTCTATAAAATACTAAAGTAGTGAATATCATTATATACAAATACAAACAATCCATATAAACACTCTGAAATCACCACATAATTTTGTTGCAACATGTATCAAGATAAGTTTATAAACTCTTTTGAGTCTTAAAAATATTGAATAACTCCATTGTTCACATCATCCCTTCTGAACCTTGTTTCTCTTTTCCGTTTCTTTGCTATCTTCCCCACAATAAATATTTTTAATGTAAGCCCCCTAAGGCAAGCAATCTGTCTGCAAGCCCCCATATACTCTGGTACTATTCCACATATACTCGAAATATTAAGAGTAATATGGTGGTTGCCTGTGGGCAGGCAGTAGGCAACAGTCATAGTTTAGCCGTGGGTGGTTCAACTCGTGGCCCAAGGTCCACATGCAGCCCTCAAGGCCTTTTTGGTGGCCCTCAACAACATTTGACCCTCAGCCCCTGTGCTGTTATCCCAAAGCCTTGTGGGTAAGTGAGGTTCTGGGCTTTGAGAAGGAGGCATGGAAGCTTTGACAGGGTCCTAGAGTCCTCCTACCTCTCCAAAGCCCAGTTAGCACTTTCCCAGCTTTTGGAAGGAGGTTGGAGGGCTCTAAGAACCTGCCAGAGCCTTGCACACCATTCCCAAAGAACGGCATTTCAGTTACCGTTGCTAAACTTCGGAAGGCAGCGTGAGGGCTTGGGGGGGGGACGTCAGATTTTGGCCTCCCCCCAAAAAAACAAGTTGTGTGCAGCCTCCAGGTTCCATGCCGAAGAGCTTTTGCAACCACTTGGTATGAAAAGTTGGGCCGCCCTGGTTTAGCTGGTGATAATATATAATGTTCAGACTAACTTGCATGCAGAATAACTGACCCCAATATATAACAAAACATGATAGTAAGGGATCACTACTATACAATCTATTAGATACACAAAGTTCAAAAACCTATGATAAAATATTTAAAAATATTGTTGAAGTTAAAAGCAATATTCTGTGGAGACAGTGTGTATAGTGCCTGACTGGTTCCGCTCCTTGAGATCCCTACTGCTCTCTTTTCATCCTCAACCAGCAACAGAAAAGTAGCAAATACTGAGCACAGTGGGCCAATTTGGATTGGGACTCTGGCATGGGGATGTAGTGGGGCTTTAATTCTATGCACCTTGATGTGGCTTTGATCAGGATTGGTATTTGCAGTTTGCTTTGTCAAGAAGTGATCCATTGGAGTGAATGTTGGGACCATGTTGGATTACATTGTGCCATAGCAAGGAGCAAAAGATTAAAGTCCCTCTTACACTCCCCCAGCAAGGGTTTCTATCTGGATCAACCCCTTGCTGGTTTGGGGGGGGGGGAATCTATTGGAACGAATAGGAGCCTTAGTGCAAATTGTAGTGAGGAGCTTGTGTGTGAATTGAATAGATGGTATGTGTGAAAGAGAATCAATGAATGGGTGTGCTTGCATGTGAGCATGACTTGATGGAATGGGGTGTGTGGCTGCGGAGTGGCACTCCCTTTTATCACTGGTATGTGGCCCCTGACACATTTTATGCCTGAACGGATGCAGCCGTCCCAGGAGGAAAGATTCCCTAGCCTTGTGTGGAACAGGCCCTCTGCTCACACAAACGAATACTCCTCAATGTTCCACTTCATTTGCTGCTTCTTGGTTTGTGGGAAATCATAGTTTTCTGTTAAATCTGAACAGCAAGGTGTGGTTTGTTTGCCCTGCAGACCAGGTCAGATTCTTGTTTACACACTTCGTTTGCATGGCAAGTGTAAACCATATTTTGCTAATTCAAATATTTTTGGCCCCAAGACTGGAGAATAGTCACCCTGAGGAGTGCAGCAACTAACTCATCTCCTGTAAACTAGAAACATTTATTGAAGTGTTAGAGAAAATCCTACAAATAAATAAATCTCTAGATGACATCATTCTTTTCTGGAACACCATACCAGATCAGATGGAAGCCCCTCTTTCATAAATTATATGCGGTGGACTTGGTTGTAGTTGTGACTCCTGGAAACAAGTGAATTGTGCCATTGTGTTGACCATTTATGTGTTTGCCCCATGTTTCCGCTTGAACCTCATGATCATGCGTAAGGATACATGTAAGTACAGCGTGTAACCCATAGGAGAAACTAGGACATGTAATTGATTTGGGGCAGGGGAGCAGAGCATATTCACCCAAGGATTGCAGGATGCCTGTTGCAAAATGAGGAGTGTGTGGGCTTGTGTATGCACAGACCTGACTTTCTCCCTGAGTCTTGCAGGTCTGTGAAGCACAAGGCCTTCATTCTTGAATAATCCCATGATGATATAAAAAGAGACTGCCATGTATGCATTCCTGACTTCATGTACAGTGGTACCTCGGGTTACATACGCTTCAGGTTACATACGCTTCAAGTTAAAGACTCCGCTAACCCAGAAATAGTACCTCGGGTTAAGAACTTTGCTTCAGGATGAGAACAGAAATCGTGCAGCGGCGGCAGCAGGAGGCCCCCATTAGCTAAAGTGGTCTTCAGGTTAAGAACAGTTTGAGGTTAAGAATGGACCTCCGGAACAAATTAAGTACTTAACCCGAGGTACCACTGTATTATTTGACCTGCATCCCAGCCCTTATATTTGGAGGAATTGCATTCATATGATAACCACTTTAGCCTTTTGGGAAGGAAGTGAACGGCAATGCAATGACAGTTTCAACATATTTGTTTAGCTAAAAGACAGATAAATATATTAGCTAATAAGGGATTGAGGCACATTTTTATAAGATTTCCCTTTGTGCTTTGTGGTTTTATGAATGTTTATATGGTTTCTTTCAGTATTCATTGCTCTTCTCATATTTTGGTAATGCTTAAAACTTTTCTAAGGTAGGTGATAATTCAACTGAGACTGTTCACAGCTCAGGTTCCTGGCTATTATGATATACAATATCTGGTTATGGAGCTTGCTGACTCCTTAAAAAGGAGAGGGGTATAAAAGAAAGGGGTCTTGATAAGAACCTATCAAAAATCTTTTACCCAGCCAGATGGGTGGGGTATAATAATAATAATAATTAATAATTAATAATTGATAATTGTAATAATAGTAATAATAAATTCTTCAACAGTCTGTGAGCAATTACATACTTTTTTGCTCCACAATTCAGAATAGATAAATTCCGGTCTTAAGAGTCATATATATTTCCCTGGTATTATATATTCATTATTCAGAATAGTTACATCCTGCTTTGTAGCCATGAGAAGCTCTCCAAAGCTGCTTACAAAAGATTCTTCAAATAGAATCACTCTGAGATCTAATACAGGAATAATAATAAAAAAGACACATGAAACAGCATATTCAGGCAGCATTTCCTGCTCTTGTACTTGTTCTTTCCCCTGTCTAAACCTATTGTCCCCAGAGATTTCTGCTTCATCTCTCTCTCTCTTCTATTTCCTGTTCTTCCATCTTTATGACAATAGTGTCCCTTAATGACCCTCACTGTGCTACAGCCAGTGTTTCCTGTTGCAATAAAGGCTTTACATACACAGCTGGTTAGCCACTGTGAGAATAGGATGCTGGACTAGACAGGCCTTTGCTCTGCTCCAGCAGGGCTCTTCTATGTTCTCATCCCCGAACCCAGGTCTGTGGCCAATTATTCTTCTGGTTCTTACCTCTGTCCAGCAAGCAGGGTTACTTCCTAACTGTGTAGACAACTGGCCTGAAATCTATATAGAACGCTTAAAGATCATTCATATTCCACTGTGTGGGAGATCATGCCATGCCAGGCATGCACAACATATGATCTTAAGGCTGAATGCAGTGTACTGTATATTGTGGTTTTGCAGATGTTTGGCAGCTTGGTTGATTGAATATTTGATGCATTGCATTCAGGTTTGGTTTTTTTCTGAGGGGAGAGCTACAGATTTTGCCATCTTGTACGAAACTCTTACTTTTCTAAAAGGTGTGAACTTTACTCAGAATATTTTAGAGGCTTCAAAGCAATCCAGTACAGTTGTTAGTTGAAATTGTATGCACGTCCCCATTTACAGATGACTGAAACATAGTTGGATACTTTTATTTCACTATAGCACTTTAGGGTGTTGTATATAATGTGGAATTTGTATGATTGCTTAAAGACTTCTTTATGTGTTAAGAATAAGATACATTTTTTTTAAATAGATGTAAGATTTCTTTGGAAAACTTCTTCAATAACTATTCATCTTCAGTAATTATGGCATGAATGCAGATTTTGTTTCTAAAATGGGTTCAGGTAGAATAAACAATGAGAATCTACGAAGAAAAACATCACTTAAAGATGTATGATATACTGGAAGAGTGTGCCATTACCATTTACCTGTTGTGATTAATACAAGCTGTGCTCTTTCAAACAAAACCCACAAAAACCTAAAAATTAATGATGCTAAGCAGATGCAAGTATGATTTACAGTCTTCTGTCACAACTATGTCCATAGCCCAGTTCAGTCAATTTTGTCCTCTTATTTTCCCATCGGAGCACATCAGTTGTTGATGTAGCAGTACAAATTAGGCAAGAATAACCAGCTGCACAAATAGAAGATGAGGGATACCTGGCTTACATGTGAAAAGGATCTAGGGGTTCTTAGTAAACCACAAGTTCAACATGAGTCAACAGTGTGAAGCAGCAGCAATAAAAGCTAATGCTATTCTAGGTTGCATCAACAGAAAGTATAGTGTCCAGATCAAGGGAGGTAATAGTACCACTCTATTCTGCCTTGGTCCAGTTCCAGGTGCCACAGGTGCTACTCACTGAAAGATAAGAGAAAAATATTTATGTAGATTTCCCAGTATTTACAGATTACTTTTCACCATAGATGGGCAATACATGGATTTATTCATTTATTTAGGGGTCTTATAGCATGCTTTTCATTAAAAATCTCGGAACAGGGCAAAATGTAATAGACTTGAAACCAGTGAATTGATTTTGGGCCAGTATAGTCACCATCACACACACACACACACACACACACACACACACACACACCACAAACACACACTCTTTGCTTTCCAGTTGGGGATGTTCCATTCCAGGTAGCTTCCATGACGGCTACTGACCAAGTGCATGACAAGATGGATCTAGTTAAATCTGGGTTTGGTGTGTTGGTATACAAATGGGTGACTGAAAATATTACTGTACAGTGCAACCAAGAATCCACTGAGCTTTGTTTATTTCTTAAGAGTCTGAGCTGTGGTTTGATTTATTTACACTTACTGCAGATGTTTTGATAAAAGCCACATTAATAAAGTGCAAGCCATTCTCTTGCATAGTAACAATTTAAATATTTATAATAATACACAAACTATTCCCAAGAGTGAAGTTCACAAAGCCACAAGCTGAACAGTTCAGCTCCCCGTTAATTAAACATATTCTGTCTGTTTTGTACAGTAAGCACTGCAGTTCAGGTTCGTGTTTTCTTTAAGCAACATGTTCAGCATATGATTAAACTGCTAACTGTCTTAAAAATAGCTTAACAGCAGATCTTTTTGTCTCTGCAGATCTTAAAGGACAAGACATCATGGGAGCATTTTTAGATAAGCCAAAGATGGAGAAGCACAATGCCCAAGGGCAGGGCAATGGACTACGTTATGGGCTAAGTAGCATGCAAGGTTGGCGAGTTGAGATGGAGGATGCGCATACAGCTGTAATTGGCTTACCAAATGGACTTGACGGGTGGTCTTTTTTTGCTGTGTATGATGGACACGCTGGATCCCAAGTTGCCAAATACTGCTGCGAGCATTTATTAGATCACATCACAAGCAATCATGATTTTAAAGGCCGTGGAGCTTCGCCATCCGTGGAGAGTGTAAAGACAGGAATCAGAACAGGTTTTCTGCAAATTGATGAACAAATGAGGCTACTTTCTGAGAAGAAGCATGGTGCGGACAGAAGCGGGTCAACAGCTGTGGGAGTCCTCATTTCTCCTCAGCACACTTATTTTATCAACTGTGGAGATTCTAGAGGATTACTTTGTAGAAACAGAAAGGTTCATTTCTTTACGCAAGATCACAAACCAAATAATCCACTGGAGAAGGAACGTATACAGAATGCAGGTGGTTCAGTCATGATTCAGCGTGTGAATGGCTCCCTCGCTGTGTCTAGAGCACTTGGAGACTTTGATTACAAATGTGTCCATGGGAAAGGCCCTACAGAGCAGCTTGTCTCACCTGAGCCTGAAGTTTATGAAATTGAGAGATCAGAAGATGATGATCAGTTCATCATACTGGCCTGTGATGGCATCTGGGATGTTATGGGAAATGAAGAGCTGTGTGAATTTGTCAGATCAAGGCTTGAAGTCACTGATGACCTTGAAAGAGTTTGCAATGAGATAGTCGACACCTGCTTGTATAAGGTAGCCAGAAGTTTTATGTAGGATATATTGAAATGTGTATTATTAGTTGTAGTGTTGGCAAACGATGGATACGGCTGATGTTGAAAGTGGTACCTTGTCAATCACAATTTTAGCTGGCTTTTGACTCCCTGGGACCAATATTGAACACACATGCTTAAATCTAACTTGCTTTGCTACTAGCTTGCTGGATTTTGTATGTAGGGAAAAGACTGTAGTTCATTGGCAGTTAACATTTTGCAATTCAGAGGTCCAAGGTTCAATCCTCAGCATCTCCATGTAGGGCTGGAAAAGACTCCTGTCTGAAAACCTGGAAAGCTGCTGCCAGTCAGTGTGAACAATACTAGGCTAGATGGACCAATCATCTGATTATATAAGGCAGCTTTCTACATTCTTTGGAGAAAAACATGTGCATTGGTAAATTATTTTAAGCTAATGATCTCACATAGCCAAATTGGACATCAGCTCTAACTTTACTTACTAATATTTCTCCACCACCACACTTTTCTTAAAATTAGTATCATGGAGGTTTGGTGGGAGCAGGTCAAAAGATACATGCAACAGCTGTTGTATCTAGTTTAGGCCAAATAGGCCCTTTATTGAAAAACTGTTTCCTCTTCAATTTTGTAGCTTAGCTAAACTACCCATTCCTCTTTTGTTTCCTTAACCTTCACTTTCATAAAAAGTATGCAAGAAGTTGGAGACTATGCCTTTAATATTATCTCTCAGACAGTGTGCTTTTTTGTTTTACTAGTATTGCAGTTGCAATCTGTATTTTGCCAAAAGGGGAGCCAGAATAACTCATGTAAGCTTTGAACAAAGTGACTTTGTTGAACAAGAGTTATAGAAGCAAATGGATACTTGCTTACATTCAGTGTTGGAGTGAGAAATTGGTGAAAGTTATGATTACTAGCATTTTCTTGTATTAATGTAAAGAACGTTGTCAGACTTGTGTGAATATTATGCTGGAAAATAGAACTTCATCAAACTCTTTTCCTTTTCTCCACCCCTCCCACTCCAGGGAAGCCGAGACAACATGAGTGTGATATTGATCTGTTTCCCAAATGCACCAAAGGTATTACCAGAGGCAGTGAAGAGAGAAGCAGAGCTGGACAAGTTCCTGGAAAGCAGAGTAGAAGGTGGCTCTTTTAAAAAAAAATAAGTAATTTTATTTCTAAACAAATGCCCAACAGCTAAGTCCTAAGCATCTATAAGCATTTTCTTAAATTCTTAAGTGCCATTCAGCATTACACCTCACAAAAAGGTACTTTTCTTGCCTTTTTGGATATGTGTAGTATGTCCTGTCAAAATAGGTGTCCTTGACAATTCTTCTTACACTGGAGAAAGATTTGAGTATAACATTTATTTTCCCAGCAATAATTCTAGACTGTAAGCAATTTTTGATCCTGGTTGCTGAGAAGACAGTTAGCCATCATAATACGATCAAATTTAAATTAATAGTTTATTAATATCTGTTATGCTTGTGTAATAGTAAATTTGAAATCAGTACTGTCATAGATAATTTAATCTGGTATTTTGCGTTTCATATAATTTTGTGCCATATGGTTCAAAACTGGTTCTGGTTTAAAGCATGAATTTGAAAGGTGTTTCACACTGTATTATAGTGCCTTTGAACATGTGCAGTGCAATCCTGTGCATGTTTCCTTAGATGTTCCAGTATGTTCAACAGGACTTAGTAAGTATGTATTGAAACTGTAAGTTGTAATATATGTTTATTTCCAAAATAAAGAAACGATTTTATTGTGAATGTTGAGTTAAGTAAAAATTAGATTTTAAAAAACTGAATTTGCTGAGTGCCTGTGGCAAAAAAGTGACCAATAAATTTGATTATGGTGGTGGTAGTAGTAGTAGTAGTAATAATAATAATAATAATAATAATAATAATAATATAGTGTAATGGACCTAAACATAAGGTGATTACACCTTAAAGGCTCTGAAGTCATAAGTCCCATGCACTAACATGAAATATTTTTATGCCTGCCATATTAATGAATGAGTTTTAAAAAATCTCTTGCACTTTATTTTTTTATTCTGTAGACGCTTAACTGTCCTGAACATAAATGTTGTTTATTTAATATTTTGTCATCTTGAATTGATTCAGTGGCTTGTTTACTGAGAGTTGGTGTCATGTAGTACCTAAGAGACTGAGCTACATATTAGGAAGTCTCTGATTCAATCTCATTTTGGCCATGAACTTACTACTCTTGACCCCCTTTCCCTTACATTTTAACTAGAGGGATCATAATATTGAACAATATTTTGGGGTGGTTGTAAGAAATACGGCAAGATTATGAATGTGAAGCACTTTGAACTCTTGAAAGTTTTGTTCAAATCCTCAGTAGTGGTAGTGATGTAATTTTATTATGCTCCTATTATAGCACATTCTCTTTACACTGGGAGAATTGCAGTTAGTGGCCACTGATATTCATGTTTTGGAGTCACTTTCCATGAATGTTACAAATTGTGGCATATATCGTATTCAGAAGGTAACTGGGGGCAAGGAATGTTATGTTTGTAATGACCTAGTAAGATGTTCATCAATATTTAATAGATTAAATGAGAAGAGGCATTAGAAAATAATACTTGTGTTTTCTTGTTTGTCCACACTTTTTCATCCTTGGGAACCAAAGTAAAGTGTGGCAAAACTGCACCAGAATTTTGCAAAAAAAGGCTTGTTCTACTGCAGCTCTTTGCCCCTCCTGAAAAGTTGCTTAGGAAGGTTTGGGCATCCAAGCAGTATTTGATAGATAGGAGGAGCTACAGCAAGAAAGGAAAATCATCTGTCCTCATCTATAAGTGTGGAAGCACTTTGTATGCATAAGCTTATTGTGATATCATCCCATATGACTGAAACCATTTCACTGATGAGTGTGTGTGTGTAACAAAATCCATGTTCATAAATGAAACTTGACCTTACAGTTCTTTCTTTGTGTAAGTGGAATTAGCTAGACTTTAATTTGTGAATAGATGCCATAGCTGTGATCCAAAGGGCAGTGTGAATATACCTCAGCATTTTGAAGATTTTCTGTTTAGTTCCCTTTGGAACTCTTGAATTGCTCTTTGAATTTTCCTGAGTTCAAAAAGCAGTTTGGGGATTTGCCACAAGATCAGTCTTAAAGGGAGCTGCCAGTTAATACAGTGTTGTCATTTACGCTTTCTTGCATTATTTTCCTATCCTACTTTTAAAAACTGAGGTGTGTCAAAGATCAGTTTAGGCATTCTTGGGACCAGTTCTGAACTGGAAACTGTCAAAGTTTCAAGCATGCCTGTTTCTATTCAGTGTGCTGTGAGTTGCCACATGTGCAATTGTTCTCTGGTAATGGGTTTCCGGTGTCAGTGTTGAATAAACTAACTTTGAGTCCCCTGCCAACTCCATAGTTGCATCTTTCTCTTTACCTCTTCCCCCCTGCAGCCCCTTGTACCCCCTTCCCCCAGAAAGCCTCTTTCGTAGACTGTATCTGGAGCTGCAGTAAAAGGAATCAGCTTTCAGGCAATTCCCCCTTTCCTCAAATACTGCTGCCCTGGACACGACACAGCCTGCAAAATTTGATAGGTCCTCCAGCCCTCAAGTGAGGCTCTTGAGCTACTGCGGCGGCAGGGAATGATCTGTGGCACAAGTTGCCTTCCTCTCATACAGTTTTGGATTACAACCCAGTGTCTTCTGGTTATGTGCAACATCCAACAAAGTAGTTCCATATATGTAAGATTTTCCGTTTGCACAAAAGAACTTCCCCCTACTCCTCCCTCTGTACTGACTCCTAAACTGTTTTGGAGGGTTGGGGTGAACATTCTGTGAAGGGGACACGGGGGCTAGTTCTATTGCACAGTTCTTGCGCTAACGGAACTACTTGTTTGAATAAATTCACAGGAAAGTAGAACTGACTATGTAACTGTTGAATAATTCAAAATGTGCTCAATAATCTGTTTCTGCAATCTCCCTAAAATGCCCTAAATTAGTGTTTTTGAAATTTGAATTATAATTTAAAAATGGACCTGTATAATGAAGTTCTGAAAGCAGGCCCATGCAAAGGGGGGGGGGACCCTGGGTGAGAGCTAAGCTGGCCAGGGGCCCCCACCAGGGACTGACTGCTTTTTTGTTTGAGTTTATAACTTTATTCTAACAAGACTTCAGAAAAGCTCTGCACAGGCCTGTCTGTAAGGAATTTTGCAATGTACAGATCAAATTGAAATTTAAAAAATGGTAGCTGAAAACAGTATTACCATTATATGGCTACTGAAATGGTGTAAATCAAGTGAGAGGATTGGACACATTTTAATTTACAGCCCGACCAGGCTTAACAGCTTGTACTTTTGACCCAATGTACTAGGAAAAATACTTAATTTCACCATTCAATTTTGTTTCTTTTTGCGAAGGAGCTATGTTGGTGACTAGTTTAGAAAAAAAAAATGGCAGCTATGAATTCTGCTGTCTGTTCTAATCTATTTTATATCAATGTCAAACAATTTCAGCTGTAATTGTGTAGGAAATAATACTAATCCCACCTGCAACTTGCAATATAAACTACATATTTGAAAAGTTTTTTCCAAAAAAATACAGATTACAGACAGTGAGTTGGATCTGGAGTTGCACAGAGTTCAGTTCCATACACTGTATGCTCCTGCAGGCAGAAAAAGATAGAGGTGATCTTCACCCCACCCCCCCGATTGGCATTCTGGTATGCCACAAAAAAACTACAATAGTGTGTGTGGGGCCGCATGGGGGAGAGGGGTAATTGATAAAAATTTATTCCCAGTGTCTGCCCATTGGAGTGTCCAGTTTGTTGAGTAGGAACCTCCATTGGACCCAACTCACTTCTGCAAATGAAAGGGAGCTCTTCATTTCATGGGACAGCAGGTCTGGATCCAACCCTGTGGGACTAGCCCAGCTCTTCAAAACAAAAACCCTCAACTTTTCATTACTAAGATCCTTAAGCTGCTCCATCAGTGCAAGCTATTGTTAATTTTTGTGGAGCTTGCACAGATGCAACACTTTAAGGACTGGGCGGGGAAACTGTTTTGAAATACGTTTTGTAATAGGTGTATGTCGACTATTATAACTGTTTAAATGTCTGTGTTTCAATGAATTAATTGAGTGTGATCACCTCGGTGTAGACTATATATCTTCAGTAAAACACATGTTTCAGTATAGATATTTTCTCTCATTTAGAAGACGGAAGTAAGTAGATCTTTGGATGCAAGAACATGTTCCCACAAGTATACAAATACAGTGTTTCTCAGACTTCTAAAACCACGGCCTCCTTTTAGATAAGAGCAGTTGAAGTCAACACTATTCATCTGTCTTTCATTAATCTTCTTGTGCTGCAGTTTGAGAAAGTGTTTTAAGTTAATAAGAAGCTACAATATGCATGGACACAAAAAGATATTGCAAGATGAAGGCCAACGGATTGGTTCCATTTGTGCCATAAATAATTTGTGGATTGTACATATATTTCTATTGAGTATAAATGTATTTTAGTGGAGAATGTATTTTAAATGTACTGTAGCTTTAGGTTATTGAACTGTGTAGTTCAGATAAATTTTAATCCCTTTATTTTTGTACAAAACATAACATAGCATTAGAATGATGTAGACTATACTAGATGTTCACAATTCACAATAAAAGAACTTGGCAAAATAAATCTGATATCTTTGCTCTTTATTCAGTTTCAGTATTAGAAGCCTTTGTCATAAATAGTTGATGGTAAAATACAGATTCTGGCCTTAGTACTTCACCTTCAAAATGTTTAGCCAAAACAAAAAGTAAAGTATTTGCTTTGAAATACTGTCCAGGATCCATAGAACTGTGCAGCTATCAATGTGATATCAAGGGAACTTGTCCCCCCTCCCCAAGAAGTCTGCTTTTGTGATGGACGTGTGGGCCTTGGAGAAGAGAATAGATGGTTTCAGTGGGTTAGTGACAAGCCCCTTGCTTTTGCCTAAGCAGCTCTTCAGATCCTGGCCACTATTCACTAATCTTTCTTTAAAAGGAAAAAAAGAGAGAAGCATTTATAGGGAATTAAATTTGATATCTATGTACTTTGACAGCTGTCAAGACTTTCCCCCGACTATTTGCTATCGGCTACTATATATTAAGCCTACAAATTGAGCTAAAACTTGCAGGGACCGAAAGGTTACTGAAAATCTGTTTTTGTGCTCCTATTCCACTAGCTGTGTTCTTGTGTCATATTGTCTGCATGTGGCCTGATGTTATAGACTGAAAAAGTTAAATTTGGTAGCACAACATTCCTTATTTTATTTTGGGTGCTACATTGCTATTACATGCAGTTTTGAGAAAACTGCACTTCTCATCAAGCTCATTTTACAGGTGTTTTCATGAAATCTCAAGTGTGCTGGCCAGTATACCAAACTGCTACTTTAATTAAAGCTATTGTATGCCTAATAAAGCATCCATTATAATCATGGGTGTTTATTGGATTGCAAAATGAAATCTTTGCGAGTGAAAGTTTCCAAGCTTGATCCCTCTAATGTCATCAGTTAAATGCTATCAGGAAGCAAAGTAGAAAAAACCTGAGCTTGAGACCTTGAAGAGCCACTTTCAGTGAAGAATGCTGCTGCGTTCCATGGAACAGTGGTGTGACATGTTCAAAGGCAAATATTCATATCCTAATATTGTCAGTTTTAATAGTTATATTTCATAAATCAACAAACAACCTAAGTCGGTGGTCTAAAACGCTTTTGAAAATCTGACCTATGATGTGTTACAATAATGAGATTTTTAAATCTTGGTTCTCTGAATAATGCAGATTATCTGTTAATTGATTTGAAGATGGATTGAGAAGTTTGAAGTGTTCAAATATTCTGTGTTCAAATACTGCTTGAAAGTAAATGATGCTGCAGCTGAAATCAGATTCTTTATTATTTCAACAATTCATACAATGGGGTTTAAGTATTGCGCAAATTAGTTTGAGCATTGTTTCCCTACAGAGGCTATGCAGTTCATCTTTTGTTGTTTCATAACTCTATTTTTATTTTTTATTTTTTTTCAAGATAGTATGTTTCCTATCATGTCACTCATGTTTTCATATTTCAGTTTATAAAACTCTTAAATTGGTCTGTTGGAGTGTATCATTTTCATTTACTAAAAATGGTTGTTACATTTTTCTGTGAAATCAATTTATAACTAACTTGTTTTCTTCTCAGGCAGTATAAGCACTTAAGATCTCAGTGCTCTTTTAGAGCAAGCTCCCTTACAATGTACTATAAGAGTATCATTGATATTTTTAGATAATGATCTAATGAGATTAATATATTGTATGCTTCCAAAAGTTTTATTGTAGGAAATACACGGCAAAGATGCCAAGGTAGAACTCTGTTTTCTCCAGCCTGCTTATTTTGTTATGGTACCAGAGACACTGTAAATACAATACTCAATATGACAAAGATTTTGAAATCTTAGTCTGTCTTAGATAAAGTAAAATGTTGAAATCTTTTCAATTGCATTTGGACTGAATTTACAAAGAAAGTACTTCTGATTCCCAGAGATCATAAAGAAGCAGGGCGAAGGAGTGCCAGACTTAGTCCACGTCATGCGTACTTTACAAACAGAGAGCATCCCAAACCTTCCACCAGGGGGTGAATTGGCAAGCAAGTGAGTTTACACCTGCGTAAATCTGCTGTTGATTTAAAATAAATAAGGCCACTCTTAAAAAGGGAGGGGCACCAAAATATTTTTAAAGGGGCATTACGACTATTAGCCCTAACCTTTTCTTACAAATTTGGAATTATATTAAATATGGAAATGAAGGCATGCGTGATACCCTGTGGCAGACTGGGAGGTGGATTCTAAAATTAAAAGTAAACCTGTGTCATACCACAGCTGAAGAAAGGTCAGGCTATTTTTAAGAGTGGCCTCATCCTTTAACTGAAGTTCTTGAATATTTACCGCTTTTAAATCTTTCTAAGTGTATGATTCTAATGGTTTAGGTATTTATATTTATATGTTTTGACTGGTTTAAACACATTAGTTTTTATTTGAGATGTATAATGCTGGTTTTTATGGTATTTCATTTTCACCAAGTTCATAGTTGCCTTCCTTGGATGATAACGCATCAAAACTTCTGATACCATGCAGGCTGCACCAGTTGCCAGTCTGCTTCTGGGGTAAATTCAAACACTGGTTTATGACTAAATGGTTTGGGACCAGAGTATCTTTAAGAATTGCTTCTTCTCACATGAAGCCATTGCATCCATAAGACCATTTGATGAGACTGTGCCCTTTGTCCATCCACTGTCAGATGGACAGTGGATGGTCCACATTTGTGTGTGGACACAAATGGTGGGGGTCTTTTTTGTACTTTTACTGAGGCCGTGGAAGGCCTGCCTAAGGAAGTTTGCCTTTCAATAAGCAGCTATCTCTCCTAGTGGTTCTCAACCTGTGGGTCCCCAGATGTTGTTGGACTACAACTCCCATCATCCCTGAGCTGGCTAGGGGTGATGGGAGTTGTAGTCCAACAACATCTGGGGACCCACAGGTTGAGAAAGGCTGCAGCTTAGACACTGCTTCTCAAAATGGGGTTTAAATGCTATTGTCTGCTCCATTTTGAACAGTTTGAATTTTAGGTTTTTTTGTCATTTGGTAGCTTTGAACCTAACCTGTTAAGATTTTGAAGAAAATCAAGGAGTCTTTAATTCTTAGTTTTCTTGAATTTATCTTTAGGTAGAAAAGTGGATTAAAATGTAATTAAATAAAAAGGTCTAGTATTACAACATAATCAAGGCTGTAATGTCAAATCGTTCTTCATTCTGACAATTTTAGATGTTAGGCTATTGGGCACGGAGATACAGGATATTTTGACTACACTTGAACCAGAGATGAATTGAGAGTGTTAAATCTTGCATCTCTGTTCATCTTAGTTTGGCAGTAAAGTTCCAAACCATCTGTGGGAATTTTCTGTCTGGATGAGCCTTTACAGAAGCCCCAGTTTTTCCTGTACTGAAGGGTATTACTGGGAATTTCATCCACATCTTTACTGGGATTCAAACCCTGGTTCAAGACATGCCCAGTTGCTTGAGCATGGAATTTTCAATCGGCATAATTGTATTGGGGCTGCTGGGAATTCAAGCCCTACTGGGTGCAGATAACTAGTTGTGCTATGCTTTGGTCCTTGGCCCTCTCATTCTGCTGACATTCTCTGGTACTTGATTAATTCTTTTAAAATAAATGTTGCTTTCCTTATTTGGGATTTTGGTAAGTAGTTCCAGTAGTTTGGTTCAATTTGCTGTAGTGTTTGTTTTGTTTCTCTGTGCTTGTCCTACCTAGTTCGGTCTGCTGATAGTCAACTGGCTACTACTAAAATGGTTGAGCGGCTGCTTTTATCTATTTCTGTATAATGATGTGTTTTCTGTTATTAGTGTTGACGGTCTTATGGAATTCTGGTAAACTACCTTGAATGTCAGTTTGCAGAAAGATGGCACACATTTTTTATATATATAAATAAGGGTTTCCTTTCCTTTTTAAAAGGTATTTCTATTTTGAGAATCTGTTTTCAGATGACAGTTGTCCTTTGGAAAATGCTGATCTTTAAAACCTTTTTTTCCCCCTTGCTTGCTTTAGACGGAGTGTGATTGAAGCAGTTTATAACAGACTGAATCCTTATAGAAATGATGATGCTGTGAGTATTAGTGCTGTCCAGCCTGTCATCCCGTCAGCCTGTCCTTACTGACCATTTTCACAAGTTTAGTTGAAAGATTGCTTTTTCTGTGCTTAAAATGTATTATGCTCATTAAAGCAAAAAAAGAAATCCAGATTTGTGAGACCTGTTTATCACTGACATTGGGAGTCCCAATGCACAGCTGCCTTCCATTTGAATTGTAGCTGTAAAAATGCTTGCAGAAAGAAACATTTTGTTGCATGTGAATGGCAATGTATTTTGGTTGTCAGAAGTATTTTGCCTGTTGTGTCAAGTTGGGCTACTCGGTTTGTTCTTGCTGTAGCTTCAGCATTGGTGGACAAGCCATTAGCTTACCCCCAGCTCATAATTGAATTATTCCGTGTGCAGTGCTATGTGACTAATACACTGAAAATCTTGGCATTTTTGTTTCACCACTTAATTTTCACAACTCTTCCGCTTCATTTTCACACGCACCCCATCTTCTGTCTCAAACATGTGCTTTGCGATTTCCTTGGCACATAACATGCCTCACATGCACACTACCCTTTCCACTTGTAGAAAGGTTCTTGGGGAGTTGAAAGGAAAACATTTTTAGCTCTGCATTCATGCATATGGGTGGCATCTACACAATCGTTAACCTTTCACTGTTGACTTTTTTTGCCTGTTCTGCCTGGTAGTGGGGACAGGTTGGGAAGTCTCTAATACTCAGAACTACTTTTTTTTTTTACTCATTTTTGTGGCCACGCATGGTCTCATCAAAGTCCTCATTGATTTTACATCAAAGTAGCATATTTCTAACGCAGTGCATAACTTTTGTACATAATTCTACAGAAGGGTTTTCTTTGTATCATGGCAGTGGTGATGCTCAGCTAAGTTGTACAAGGAATAGAACCACTGAAATGGATGGGTTCAGTTCCTTAAATCCACTGATTTCAGTGAGACTGCTTTGAGTATGACTAAGGTAGCTTATCACCCTGTATCTGGTGCACTTTGCAGAGGCTAGAAAAAGCAGAAAAGGGAGAATAAAGGGCGGAGCAATAGAAACAAGCTCATGGTGTGAGGCTGGCAGCCAGGAGAGAATAAATTTTATTTATACCCCACGCGCCCAAGACCGGGCTCAGGGCGGCTAACATCAGGTATAAAAACAATTGATTAAGATACAACTTAAAAACAGAATTAAAACACAACTTAAAATGCAGCCTCATTTCAGTGGAAGCCCTGATCAAAAACTGGGGGGAGAAAACGTCAAATCTTCACCAAGGCCAACTATCTAGACTGGTCCTACATGGGCCAGAAAAAAGCCAGGGAAGTCCCCAAATAGGGGTTCCATTGCAGAAGGAAAAGGAAAGAGGGGGAGGGGATCAGGCTGATTCCAAAGGCCAGGTGGAATAACTCTGTCTTACAGGCCCTGCGGAAAGAAATCAGATCCTGCAGGGCCCTGGTTTCATGAGACAGAGCGTTCCACCAGGCCGGGGCCAGTGTTGAAAAGGCCCTGGCCCTAGTTGAGGCTAATCTGACTTCCTTAGGGCCCGGGACCTCTAGAGTGTTGCTATTTATGGATCTTAAGATCTTCCGCAGGGCATACCAGGAGAGGCAGTCCTGTAGGTACGAGGGTCCTAGATTAAGTACTTGAATTCAGACTGCACGGGTGAGCGCAACCTCACTGCATTTTGCACCAGGCTAAATGTAACTGGGTAGACAAAATGGAGTCAGTGGAGGAAATTAGGTTGCTTAGGCTGGTCATGCGTTGTGCTTTTGAGTGACTTGCCTCTTTGGAGAACTCGTCTTAAAACCACTGGAAGATTCTTGGTGGATGGTCTGTTACTGGAGGGCTTTTTATGCATAGTCTAAGCCTTTCTAATTTGCCATCTTCCAGCACAAGGCTTTTAAATATTTTAAAAGGTGAAATAGATATATTCCTGTCATTTCTGGTATGGAGGATGCCAACCAAACTGAAATGACTTGACTGCTGTGCAAGATAACCTCCAGTTTCCCAGTTGGCTTCTCTTGAACATCAGTATACTGTATACAGAAGCATCAAAAGTGAGCAACCTCAAGATTCAGAAGCGTAAAGAAAATCCTGTTAATAACTGGAATGATACCATAACCTTTTTCTAGGTCAGCAACATTCAAAATGATTGCTTACAATTATTCAGCCAGGACGTCTTGACAAATGTAGATGCGTGCAAAACAATAATAATGCCGTATTTTACCAACACAAAAATGCCACCTGATTTAAGAGCCTAAGTCTTGTTCTTTAGAAAGTGGCATGTTCAAAGTCATGTTCTTTAGTTCTTTAGAAAGCCATGTTCTTTAGTTCTTTAGAAAGTGGCAGCTGGGTGCCCCAGGCTATTCTTATAGCCACCCTTCCTTAGTTGCTGACTGCATTGGGGTGCAGTATGCAGGAGTGATGAATCTTTGGTCCTCCAGATGTCGCTGAACTGCAACTCCTACCAGCCCTAGCAAGAATGGCCAGGGTTGATGAAAGTTGTAATTCAGTGACCTTTGGAGGCCAAAAGGTTCCCCATATCTGGTTTAGTGGGACATGATTTAGGAACATGCACTCTCCTCTCCCTGTCCCATGTGGCTGGGAAGATGACCACAGAAGCCTTCACTAAGCCAGCTAATGTTTTCTATGTCACTTGGAGACAAATATGTGGTTCATACCAACGAGATCTGTCTAAATGAGCCTGTTTTAGAAACACTGGTTTGAACTTTGCTTGTCTGAAATCCACCATAGCTAGTGCCAAACACAATTTGTCATGCTAGAAGACTTAACAATCCCAAATTGGTCCAAATGGAAAGCAAAATCTCTTAACTCTCCCCCAGCTGTGTGAGAGAAGGCAAGGAGTAGGGAAATGTGCTGGAAGAGACCATTTTTGAAGTTGGTGGTTACAGTGATAGTGTTTTCATGTCACACCACCTCCTTGAGTGGACAGGCAAGAAGGATTTGGCCTTTAACTTGGCCACATGATTTGTAGCAAACTGGCTTGAACATCCAGCCAACTTCAAACCACAAGTTAGGAAGCTGGTTTGTTAAATTAGCCGAAGTTTGTTATTAACTGTGGTTTCAACACAATGACAAGCCGAAATTAGGGTGCAGGGAAGCTAAACACAGTTGAAGTCCTGCGCAGCTGAAGATTTCGGGGTGGGGGAGATTAAAGCCAGAGTCCCTGTTTTCACAAAATCCAAGATGTTTAGGTGCCTTTGGGTTCAGTAAACATCTCAAACCCTGCAATTTAATTTGCATAGTTACCATATTTTTCGCACCATAGGACGCACCGGACAATAGGACGCACTTTGTTTTAAAGGGGGGAGAACAAGAAAAAAAAATTGCCCCCCTCTCTGCCCAGCGCCCCTTCAGTGAAGCAGCAGGAGGCGCTGCACAGAGAGGGGGAGAACTTTCCCCCTCTTGTTTTCCCGCTCTAAAACAAGGTGCCGTTTAAGGTGCGTTCAGGCGGCTACCTTGGAGCCTGGAGAGCAAGAGGGGTCGGTGTGCACTGACCCCTCTCGCTCTCCAGGCTTCAGGTTCCTTTCGACCTGCTCTTTGGGGCTGGCGGGGGGAAGCCCACCACCAGCCCCAAAGAGCAGGTCAGGGAGCAGCGGAAAGGCGCAGCGGAGAGGCTCCTGCCATAGCCGCGCGTCACCTCTCCAGCCGGGAGAGGGTCGCGGGGCTATGGCATCTTCGCTCCATAGGACGCACACACATTTCCCCTTCCTTTTTGAAGGGGAAAAAGTGCGTCCTATAGAGCGAAAAATACGGTATACATAAAACATACTAAAAGTTATATGAAAATAAGCATTTCTTGCCTCTATTTTTTAATTTGCATTTCCTCTAGCTACTTTCACCATTTCTAGAAATCTTAAATCTCTTAACGCTTTGCTTTCAAATGCCAGAGGAGTAGAAAAATCCATCTTTATCTGGGGAAATAAAGGGTGCAGTAGTACTGCTTGTCAGTACTGTGATTATGAAGTGCTGAGTTACATCAGATACTGAACACCTGAAGCTGCTGCTTACTTTAGTACCCAGGTGATGTCTTGCATCTGGTGAGTCAAGCCATTCTTCACCTCCACAGAACTGGCATGTGGAACAGAAATGCCTTGTTCAGCATTTAAACATGACTAAGGAAAAGAGGTGAATGACAGTTGGACAATATCTGTTTTAGATTAATAGCGTCTAAAAAGATACTTCTAATTATGTGAGTCTAGAGTACCAAGATTTTAAATTCTAAGGATGATTTCACTGAAACCTGCTTTCTAGCTTGCCTTATGGGGTAGGAAAACTGAAAAACTGTAGGAGAACATGTGTGAATAACTTTTGGTTTAAAGCAGAAGCTGAAAATTTAACTCTTGACACCTGAAAATAGTCTGCTTTTACGTTAAACTATTTACAAGGGAGGGCTGACCCTAAATAGCTTTTGTGTACTAGGTATCTTATCTTGTTAAACGCTCATAAGTTACTATTCCCAGAGTAAAGCTCTTCAGAATGTAAAGAACACCCGAATCCTAAAATTATCGCCGTATCTACCCTTTTCAGTCTGGATTATCCAGAAACTGCTGTAATTTTGGGCGCTCCAGACTTTAAAGGGTTCCTTCTCTTTTCTTTAAGGACTCTGCATCAACCGATGATATGTGGTAAAACTGCCATCTAAGCTGTGGAGTTTACATCCATCCTGATGGAAATTGCACCCTACCCACAGTGACCCTTCCTAACATCCATCTTCCACCTTACTTGAAGGGGAAAAGATGTGTTGGCGAAAGTGACTACACCAGGAAGCAGCAGTCCCAACACCTAGCCCAGGAACTGATGATCTTTTTTTCCCCTTTTTGTTTTCTATTGCAAAACAGACTTCTGTAAAAGTGATATTGAAACCAATATGTTGTAAATTGGACTCTAAGCAATTTTATGTTGTATGATTTTTGTTTTGTAAAGTGCAATTGTGGTTGTACAAAATGCTTATTTAATGATGAACTGCTTTACATCGATTAAGGTTAGATTAAATGCTTGGTTTGTTGCTTTGAACAACAGTAATCTAGCCCTTTTCCATTCACATTTGTGGTTCTGGATTGCTGGGAGCAGCAACCTCGCCCGCTGAGCGCTCAGGAGGTACATAGAAATTGTGTAAAGGCTATTTTATATAAAGGCAGATCATTGCAATTCTAGTATGGAAAATAACTGATAAAACAGTTCATTCTCCATCGAACTTTTAGTTGTTCGATTAAAAATAATAATAATTCCTGCGGGATCTAAAAATCCTATTGAAATAGATGGGAAGTTCAGTGAACAAATGGGACAGGTTTGCCAACCTTGCAACATGGCAGTGAAATATAGATCATGGGGGTTAAAATGCCTTGATTATTTGCACCTTTAAAAAACCTTTACCTTCAGTTAATTTTCAGTTATGTAAGAGGCTATGTCTTTATTTAGTAAAAGCCTGCAGCATTTTTATCATCCTGATTGGCTGGGTTGGCTGCTGTTCCAAGTAAAATACTTTGAATTCCATTATATCAATAAAGATTGATTTAACAAACAACAAAATTTAACAATATATGTGTAACTGCTTTCTCCCTTGTCTTTTGAAATGCTTGTAAATGAGATGTCATGTGGATAAATATTTTTTATTAACTAATTGCCCATTTATGAAATGGGAAAAACTCTTGACTGTTGCCCAAGGCACAGGTGGATATTTTCCCCCAGTTAGCAGGCGTAATATGGTTTCAGAAATGAAATCCCCCCCCCATGAGTTTCTTTCAAGATTTTTGCTTTGAGAGAATCATGTGAAGTTATACTTGCCTCTTGTTAATGAAAACTCATTTGTCAGAGTCTGACAATCTTACTTTTTATGGTATGTTTTATATGGCCCCATTGACTTAGAACAAAAACTAGTGTTTTAACAGTATGTGAGATTTGAAATACAGCATGTTCATAATATTTAACTGTTGAGATTAAATTTTAATTCTTAAAAAAAATCATAAAAGTAATAAAACTAATTTGACTTTTCTCCTATTGAACATTCAGAGATAACTTTTCAAATCAGTCGTGTTTGCAGAACTACTGTTTCGTGCACCTTGTATTTTGTCCCTTTTTATGTTGAGAATATTGTATGATCAATATGTAGCTTTCTTTAATCTTTCGGTCAACAGATTCCCCCTCCAAAGGAAAATCAACAAAATATATAAATAGGTTGTAGCAATGTAGCTAGAAATTTTTTTAAAAAGGTGTAAAATATACCTTTTTATAGGAAGCAATGTACAATGCGTTTTTCTATATCTGTCTTTCCCCCCCTAACTTGGAAATATACATTTGTGTGTATATATAGCCTTAAAACTGTTGCAGAGTTAGGGAGTGTTGAACAGTGTTGAACAGTGAAAAAGTAACTTAATAATGTCTCAACTAAGGATAGCATTATACCAGCAAACACTTTTATTTTATTCCTCTTGTTTGTGTGAGGTGCTTAACCTTGACATCATTGTAATCAGTTTGTACCCTGTTAAAGCATGAAGAAAAACCTTAAGCACTATTTGTATTTATAAATTTATAGCGATTTTGGGTTAAAGAACCAATCCTTTCCCCTACATACAAATAAATGGTTAAAATGTACAGTTTTGTTGAGTTCAGACTATAAAGATGTCAAAACGTATAGGATCACGAGAACCTATTTCAGAGACCTGTATTTAAAATACTACAAGGTCAGCTAGTAAAGAATGTTAAAGTGGTTCCAGGATTGGTAAGATAACTGCTCCTTTTTCTGTGCAAACTGAAGTGCAGTTCTTTAATTTTTTTTCTCCAGAACTTCAGGCTATGCTGTGGAAACTTAAAAGTTTAAAATATTTTATAAATCACAAGTGGAAAGCCATATGTTAAAACAATAATTTAAATGTCATAATGACATAGCGTATGTTTAAAACATACCGCAGGCGCACCCTTTAAACAAACAAAAACACAATTCTTCTGCTGTTTCTACTAGTGCTAAGAAAGGGGTTGAGGGGGGGGGAGGCAGGGTAAAAAAAAAGAGGCACGGCAGTTGTAGAGCCCCCCTCCCTTACATTTGGCATTTTGAAGGGGTCAAAGCACTGTGTTAGTTATGCCTGCTAAATACACTGCTATTCTATGTATACCAAAATGAGATTAAATCCATATAATCAATGCACCACATATTCTAGCAAAGGCGCTTGCTCACTCTTGTTCATTCGTCTGCAAAAAAAGGCACTTTTTGTTTTTGCAACTTTTAAAAAATGCTAAAAAAAAATTTTTAGAACACCTCAGGGGCGATGCAGCAAAGTTTTGAAGAATTGTGTGCTATTTATTTCCCTAACTTGGAGGGGAGGAGTGGATGCCTCTGCTGACAAAATAAAGTAATATGATGGTCCCAAATTTACCTGTAAGGTGTTAATATTTTGTTCCTTTGCTTTTTGCTTCACGTCCATACGGCTCTGTATATTTTTCTTAACTTCGGACAGCATTAAATTTCTGACTATTACAGTTTAGATCTATCAGTGAGTTCTGAACATTAATAATACCAAGTTACACTTACAGTAGTCCACATTGTTGAATTCAGTATGTGTTAGAGTTGGTTTACAGAACGTGGGTTCTGACCTATACCATTGGCCTATATCAAGCTCCTATTATATTGTAGCTTTTTACACAATTCCACCTATTCATTAAACAAAATTGGGCTGGAAGCACAAGTTTTCATTCATTTCTACAGGTATCATTTCGCCCCTGTGGTTAATGTTTGTTCAGACGTGCACCTAAGCAGTTTAAAAAAAAAGTATACAATAAGTTTCAGCTACTGAAATAGTTCAGTGCCTGAAATTCGTAGTTTCATCATGCGAGGAGGCCCCATGCAACCAGACACTTAAACTTAGAAGAATTAGATATTTCTAATCTCAGGAGTTAGAACCCTCTGTAAAAACCAAGGTATAACTCAGTGTTATATCTGCTTAATACAGAAGTGCAACTGGCTCAGAGCAGTAGCCTGGTTTTCCTTTTTGTCATTTTAATCAATCTGGAGCCAATGAAATCCGAATTGGAAAAAATGTCATCCATGTGTGATCAGCGTGTTCTGTGCTTCCTTCATAGAATTCAAAGTACAGGGTAGCAACATAACTTACGTTGCACAGTTCTAATATTTGTATCTTACTCTTTCTTGAAGAGCTTTGGACAGATGACAAGTTATCCAGAGTTACCCATCAAACGTCATGGCAGAATGGAGCTTGAACTCCAATCTGCCCCGTCCAAGACTTCACACTCAGTCCAGTTTACTGCATTTCTGTTAGTCCATGTTGGACCTGAGATTCTGTGGTGCATGGAATAAGCTGACGCAAGTACAAATTTATGCATCATGACCATTTCCGAAAGCTAACCTTCAGTACCTGATCTAAAGGAAGGATCCTGCATCACAGAGATTGCTGATTGGCATGCCTTTCCAAATCAACTTTTAAGCCACAGCATTTTGTTTGCTGAGGCATCCCGAGGATCTATATACTGCAAGATGTGGCCTGTTTTTTTATCCCTTGTTCCTGCCTTTTCATGCATTTTGATATTTTGCAGTGGTGGATTTGTATTCAGTTTAAAAGGCGTCACATAAGGGAGAAGAAGAAACCTGCACCTCAGGCTATTGTTTGGAGTTGGTAATAACTGATCAAGCAGGAGAGAAGTTCCCGCAATAGGTGAATCCTTTTTTAATAATAATAATAATAATAATAATAATAATAATAATAATAAATTTTTATTTATACCCCGCCCTCCCCAGCCAAGACCGGGCTCAGGGTGGCTAACAACCAATAATAAAAACAAGTTGATTAAAATACAGTTTAAAAAAGATTAAAATACAACATTAAACCATTAGAAGCACCTTTTATATCTCTGCAGGGAATTATTTTTTGGTAGCCCTTCGTCCAGTCTTCCCTTGGAAGAAGCAGTTGTGTTGCATTCTAAGCCTGCCAAGAGACTGGCTTGCAGACTGCCCTGGGCAGGGAGATATTTAAAAAGAGACATCTGGTAGCTTAAGATCAAACAGCCCCATGATTTCTCCCACAGTGGTGGCATGAGATGGTGCACTCTATGGAGGAAGGCTAAATGATGTGAAATGGCTGGTGTTAGAGGGTATAGGTGGGGGACACAATTTGTCCTGCAAGATGCACTCTTAAGGAAGCTGTCAAATAATGTTGCTGAGATGGCCATTTAAAATGCCCTAGCAGAATGCACTCTGCTCTTTTCCTCAGCCAAGCCTTTAAAACAGGAACGGCAAATCAGCAAATATCAGCGTTTCTGCAAAACTGCCCACAAACAGTTTTTTTTCCAATTCCATGGGGCATTGGCCCAAATGGCTGTAGCTGCTTCCAGGCATGTCTCTGGGGTGCTATAGAGCTGGCTGTAGTGCTTCCTTCTAGTGCAGCCTTTCTCAACCTTGGGTCCCCAGATGATGTTGGACTACAACTCCCATCGTCCCTGACCACTGGTTGCTGCCAGCTGGGTGTGATGGGAGTTGTAGTCCAACAACATCCGAGGACCCAAGGTTGAGAAAGACTGTTCTAGTGCATGGGTAGGCAAACTAAGGCCCAGGAGCCGGAGCCGGCCCAATCACTTTCTAAATCTGGCCCGTGGACAATCTGGGAATCAGCATGTTTTTATAT